ATATCAAGCGTAGGCGACAGCCCTTCGGCATCCTGCTTCAGTATGCTATTAAGAAGGATCTCCTCCTCGATTGGAGTGAGATTGCTATTCTGTGGCATATAGTCCTCTCGAGCAGGACTTCCTTTCAATCTCCGAAGCAGCGTTGATTTTGAGACACCGTAGGTTTTTGCAGCAGCATTTACAGATCCTATGTCACCTGATCTGAAAGCTGATATTGCAAGCAGTACACTCCCTTCGTTTGAGCTCTTTTGGACGCGTTTTGATGGTGCCATCGCGTGTTGAAGTTGTTGTTGTTATGGACACGTAATTCGTGGACCACGCCGTGGGGTGGACCGCGCTCTGGTGTTTGACGTTACCGGATGATATCATTGCCGAACGCCTTCTCGTCTCGCCGCCCGCACCTACTCGGGTAATCATGGCTTTTTCCTCGGATGGATTCGCATTCGCATTCATGATCAATAAGGGAAGTTGAGATAATAGGAACACACAGGGCGATAGGTTCATCCGGTCTGGAAATTGGGCAGACAGCAGCAAAGGACCCTCTGCTTTCATTGATATCTCCGAGCCACTACTGTGTTGGTGCATAGGGGACAAACAGCCCTGGAGGGCTTCACTCTTTGGGGTGCGTGGAAGCCTCGTGGGCGTCTTTTGCCTCTCTCTGGAAATTATTACGTCGGTGGACCGGCAGCCCGCGTCCCTGCTTTAATTCCTAACGCCCCCCAAAACTTTCCGCGGTGCATAACGTCGCGTCCTGTATATTTATTAACATTCAATTACCACCGACCTGGCACCAAGCGACGACCATATTCGAAAGACGCAGAGACCAGGCACCCTCCACAGCGCATGCTAGAGCTGCCTTGATACAATTCCAAATTTCAACCCCATCCGCTTAGACAGGTCCCATTGTCTTTGATCCGTCCATGATGGACGAAGACCCTCGGGATCACGACTTCGACCAACGTCACGATGGACCGTTCGATCAACCGCGTCCATCTGTCACGGTTCCACGAGAAGCCTTACAGAATACTGTCGGTGGAAGTCCGACTGCCGCCAAAACGGTCGTAGTCCCCGATACAACCAGCTCCGCCACCTCCGGAAGTCCGACGAAACATAACGCAGGCATGTTGGCCACTCCTACGATCTCCGAACCCCAAACCACATCCTCAAATCACACTATACGCTCGTCGCCATCATTATCTGTACTTGAAAAGAACGACACGCCGCCACCACGGAAGAGCGTTCAGCTCGTAGACATACATGATCCTTCCGGCGAGCGTAATGGCAGCGTAGCTGGCGCATATAATGGACGAAAGAGCTTGCAGTCTGCACGACCACGACCCAGCATGTCATCTGCTCACCGTCGGCATAGTCGAGACTTCGACGTGCGCCGCGATGGCCCCTACGGACGGCCTTCGCTAAACATGGTCAGGCGGAGGAGCTCGATCATCGACCTCGCAGATGCCATTCCAGCACATCCTGATACCAATACCGTCGACGTGGAATTGGGCTCTGATGATCCAATTGCAGAGACTGTTGCATTCGAACCCGAACCGCCGCCACTCAACTACAGCCTATGGGCGAGAAAACGCGCCATTGCTATCTTCTGGACCCTCATAGTGATAGACTGCATCGCTATGCCCATTGCGCTGTACTTTGGATTATGGTACGGCACGAGCCTCACACCGAACATTGTCTTCTCTATCGTCACAGCAGCCTTGGGCGGTGTCAGCATTTTGGAGTACTTTATCCGATTATGGAGACTGGTCAAAAAGGACAGCACTTGTCGCGTCATCGGTGCAAGAAGAAGTTATCTGGATTGGTTTCATTGGAACTTCACGGCAGGGTGGATGATTATCATGGTGGAATTGATTGTGTGAGTACTGACCGCTTTCCATGACTTCCTTGTTACTTCAATAGGGGGCGACTTCTAGCTTGTCCTCCTTTGACCCATAACTTTGACATTACTGACCTCTTTCTAGTGGAACTGTCCCTGAACATCCACCCATCCGCCTGCTCTCCATGCCGGTAGTCACGATGATGTATGTCTTCGGCACTGAGCTCCTTGTGGTCGACATGCTGCGCTACTTCCGACAGCCCGCGCCGATTCGCATCTCTAGCATTCCCAAAGGGGCTCAGCTTCGACCAGCCATCTACAGCATCATCGAGGACGTTGTTGCTGTAGATGGCAACGGCGGGACAGCATTTCGTGAGGCACTTAATCGCCGCTATGAGGCAAGCCATGTCTTTCGCGCGATGCTCCGACGTTTAGGCGCTTACTGGGCTTTTGGAGCTCAGACTACCGCCGTCGTCCTAACCATCCTCATTTTCACGATCCACCCGGAGGCCGCTTATGTGATCGGCTGGACGGTACCGTTCGTTTGGGCAGGCATCTGGACCCTCGGCACCATTTGGTACGTCAAGCGGAAGTTACGCGAGGAGAAGATTGCATGGGCAGAGGAGATTGCCGAAAAGTCAGCACTGTCTGCAGCCGTGAGCGCAACGGGGTCGGGAGACGTGGAAGATTCGACACGGTGACGTGTGACTGGCTTTGTTTCCTGATTTCTTCTTCTTACTTTCCTTGCATGGAAACATTCGGCTTTTGCTCGTTTAGGCATTGGGACGATGACTTTTACTGCCGAGCTGCTTCATCCGTAGCCAAAACTATAGATACGTCCGGCTGCTCATCTAAGCTTCGATCGATAAGGGTGCAATTGTATCACATCCTGATAAAGAAGTGATTACTTGTCGGTAGTGACGCTCGCAGACTCGTCGCCGGTTGTTGCAAAATTTGTTGCCTACTCGACGACGTCTCGCAAAGTGTTCAACATCAGCACATGTCACATCCAGATATGACTGTAGAGATATGGCCAGGCGATCACCGTCGGCCGTTAACATTAAGGTGTTCGCCGGCCACCGAGTTCACATTGACAATATCCTCCCGTGCGCCATCCAGTCACTCTCCAGGTGCCTTAGCTCGGGAGATGACCGAAACACAGCATTTCAAATGACACAAACAGCATGCGGAGACTGGCACGAGGAGAAACATCATACCTTTGCGAACCTTGAAAGTCAACAAGATGTGAAGGCTGAGGTGCCCATGTGCCATCTAACCCAAACCCTAAGATACAACGACCCCGGCCTGGGGACTTGGGAGGCGCATTCGCCCAATTTGGGAATAGCGTGCCTGGCGGCGACACGTCCCATCGGAGGTATTCCGCATCACAGCAAGGAAACCAATTATTTCGCGTGAGCACGATACTACTAGTCATCTCTCATCACCAACCACAGTCGCTCTTTTCCTCCACAGACCGGCAAAATGAACGCGCCAGACAGGTGAGTGTTCCGGAGATCCCCGTAGACTGGAACGAAAACTTGTGTCGGCGGTATTGGGAACATGACCGGCGTCGGACTTGGAAGGGCGCAAGATCGTGCGAGGAGATGTCGATCTAAGCAACGAGAAGCGAAGAAAATGTTCAAAACTGCTGCGAATTGATAGTCGAGATCCGTTAAAGTACGCCTGTGGCAAATTGAGGATGTCGAAGATGAGCAGATTCGCTCCGATTGAAGATGCATTTTGGGAAGGCTCAAGGACTGTCAGGATATCGGGATCATTCCTTGTAGCCACGAACATGCATTCATGGATATGAAGCGAGAGACATATGGCTGATCAGATGTGCTTTTACTCGTATTCAGATTCGAGTCTTTTATCCTCGATGAAGGACAGAAAAAGGTCGAGGAGGCGCTGGAAACGCGTAAGTTGTCCCATCTCTCCATGCACGAATTGCTCTTCAAGAAGCCGAGAAGAAAAATAATAAGACCACAGCAACCATGAAAATCCCCCAAAATAATTTGACCGCTGACGTGACTTCTGACCATACGCAATAGGCGTACCCAACGCGACCATGTTCACCTTCAACAAAGAAGATCATACACTAGCGAACCTCCTACGTGCAAAGCTGGCCAAGGCCGAGCACGTCATATTTGTCGCCTACCAAGTTCCGCACCCGCTCTTCGCGACATTCAAGCTGCGTGTGCAGACTGATGGCAGTATTACGCCGAAGGAGGCCGTTGTCCAAGCCTGCCGCGACCTGGTCAACGAGCTGCAGCAGCTGGACCAGGAATTTACCAAGGAATGGGAGCTGAAGAAGATCGCTGGAGCCGGTGGCATGGAGCTGTAGAGTGATGTAGGCTTAGGACTGAGCGATGCTGCCGGACCATGATAATAATGGCTTGAGGCGAGCATCCCAACTATAGAGCCGGGCTGCGTGTCGATTGTGGCCGTGTTTGGTCATCTCAGGAGCTGATTCGAGTTAACTTTTTAATCTCAGGAATGAGAGATCTATCTGCATAGCGAAGGCGTTCTTGGGGGATCGAGTGGGGAGAAATAATTTGGCTGAGGGTCGCATCTCAATGGAAAAGGATGTCAGGACCTTCGACTGTTCTATGAATTGCTTGATTGTATTTATGATTCGACGCAAGAAGCTGTCATGTTCACGATTTTCCCTGGTTAGTTGTGCTACCCTTCACGAATACTTGAAGTGTAGAGGATCATCAACATGGTTCGTGGGTTTGGAAGGAACTTTGCAAGCCTCGTGCCAGTGCCATTGCTATTCTGGTTGTCAGCATCTGGGCAGTGCCCAGGTATCTACGTAGACTTTGCTCGACTTTCAGAGCTTGTCGATTCTTGAATTTCCCCTTCAACCAAAATTCCTGTGTTCAAAACGTGACAATGATCCGAGCGAACGTCGTCCTTGACTACACTCCTGCACAGTCGGTCGATTATCAACTCCTTGACACCTATCTGGGGGATTCATATCCGTCATAGGGACGATATCAAGTGCCAGGGCCGGAAGCATTCCGCATATTTGGACAGACGCAAGCGCCGCGAAAACCCATGTCCTGACGTTGAGCATTGGCGGTGTCCCAAAGCTGCTCAGCTAAAGCCAAAGCGAGCAGACGGTGCTTTCGGGATTTCCCAAACATCTTAGCCGCGTTGGGCAGACTCAGCACTAGTCAAGCTGTTGCTCCGCCACAAATGTTGGCGATTATGTGAGAAGTACCGGAGCTTGTGAGTACCTGGGTGTGCTGTCAACATATGACTCCTCTAAATTTCTGGCAGAGGGCTCCGTCCTATTCCGCGCGTGGGAAGCGTTTCCGCAGGACAGACAAAGGACATCACGAAATCCCGAACAGGAGCCGGGATGAGTCAATCAGCATGAGATGTGGTGTGCTGCACATGCATGAGGTCCGAGTAAACGCGCAATCATGTATATTATGAGCAGTGTCGGATCGCTCTATCCTGAGAAAACTTCCAAGTATCAATACAAGCACATATAGACCTCAAGCATACCCTCAAAGCGTCCCATTCACGGCAAGACACGCGTGCAGAATCATTGAACCCGACCCTTTCGAGCATGGCCGGCCCTCAAGCATCACAAATCGCCATTCTGGGCGCTGGTCCCAGCGGTCTGACTCTGGCTCGGCTTCTCCGCGTCAAGGCTATCCCCTACGTGATCTTCGACAGAGATGCCAACCCCTTCGCTTCGTCGGCTTCGTCTCCCGCTTTCGATGGAGCCACAGCGATACCGTACATTCCGCCAACCCTCAGCAACCAGGGCGGCACGCTAGACATTCACACCGAAACAGGCCAATTGGCGCTCCGTGAAGCCGGTCTATTTGAGCAGTTCGAGGCGCACGCGCGCTACGATGGTCAAGCATTTGTGACAGTCGATTCAGCGGCGCAAGATCTTACGCGGCAAGTGCCAGGACCTCACGAGCGCGGACGACCAGAGATCGATCGACCAGTGCTGCGCGAAATTCTTTTGAGAAGTGTGCTAGAGCCGTTAGATCCTGCGTCGCCGGGACAGGAATCAACGGCAGGAGAAGTAATCTGGGAGAAGAAAGTGGACTGCGTGGAGAAGTATGAAAAGGAAGGCGATGCGAGCGGATGGCATGTGAGGTTTGAGGATGGGAGTGTGGCTGGGCCATTCAAGTTGGTCGTAGGCGCTGATGGGACGTGGTCGAAGACGAGGAAAATCGTGAGTACATCATCCCTGACTTGAACCCCGCCCCCCCTCAACGTCGACGATCGCCATGCCACGTCGCGATGATTCAAATGAAGGTAATGCTGACTTCGGGCCTCACTTTCTCACAGGTCACTCCGGCCACCCCGATCTACTCGGGCATCACATTCTTGCAATCTCGCATCTCACAGGCCAACCCTATTTACGCTCGCGCGGAGGAGCAGATCGGTAGGGGAACCTACTTCGCCGTGACTGGCGGCAAAACAATGATTTGTCAGCGCATGGGCAACGGAAGCTACAACGTATACGCTGGAGTTCCGCTTCCCGAGAAGTGGACCAACGGCAACGGCGATATCTTGGAGTCGCAAGCGGCACGAGAGCGTTTCATCCGCGAGCAGTACGCAGGCTGGGACAAATCGCTGACCGATTTGATCCTGCACAGCGACGCCGGCCGATCTCATCGTTGGCCGCTGCACAGTCTGGCCGCGAAGGATATAGGCTGGGAGTCCGTGTCGGGTGTGACTCTGATTGGAGACGCGGCTCACACAGCTTTCACCAACGGCGAAGGCGTGAACATCGGAATGTTCGACGCTCTGCAGCTAGTACGAGAGATTCAGCGATGTGGGTTAGAGCGACTGGACGAGGCGGTCACGGCATATGAGAAAGATATGTTCGTGCGCGGAAAGGAGCACATTGAGAGCGGCGACCATCTGGCGAAGATCTTTTATGCGAAGGATGCGCCGAGGGAGGTCATCGAGTGGCTGAGAAGCATAGGATTTTGATTGCTGCAGGGGAATTGAATGGGACCTCTTGTCGAAGGGCCTTTGGGACACTTTGAGTGAGCTGGAAAACCTCCACTCTGTGATTGTACAATCGAGCACGCGGCGGACGTATGAAGGCGGAGTTCTCCACAGATGTTGTGATATTTCCATTCATCATTAAAACATCAACTTAAAGAGGCACACAGGCCACCCAAATCGCTCATCATGGAATATGAACTACGGTGTTTAATGTCAAATGTTTGAAGAGTGAGTGTTGCTGTCTTCATTCGCGGGCTTGCAGGTGTCGCTCTGATCCGTGCAGCATGTCCTGTGAGAGCCGCCTGGCAATGACAAGAATCACTGCATTGAGGACAACGCACCGCTCCCGTATCGGGAGACCTACTTTGATGACTTGAAAAAGAGGAAGTAGTGAAAAGCCTAAGGGTTGTGACGATTTCTGCTGGAATGCAGAACAAAGATGGCCTACCTCGCACTGGCTCTGCGAACCGTTCCAAGGTTATTAGCACTTCCCTTTCTAACGCAGGTGAAGAAGGTGGACTGCTATCGTGTTGCCACATCTATACAGTCGAGTCAATCGAGCGGGCCTGCCTTTCGAAAGGGCACACATTGACTGTCGCCTTATTCGTTGGTCATGAATTGCTCATGCATCGTCGCCACTTCCCGATCTAACGCTCGAGTCGGAGACGAGGGCACTGTGCATATGTTTGAAGGTTGTCAATCCTGCCCGCTGATGTGATCTGCCGGTACTATTAATTCGTTGTGAATTCTTCGCGTGAGGTGAGCCTGAAACTTCCTCATGTCTTTCGCTTTGTGGGCGTATGCGCAAGTGACGATTGTTCGGACGTCCCAATTTAAATGGCGAGGCAACAACTTACCTGGGACATATACCAAATGAGTCTGCCGTATGCATGATCTTTGCGGGAACAAACGACTGAGAAATTGCGCAAATTGCGCGTATTTATATGTTCGTCATGGCGCTGATTTTTTCCCCTCTCTCTCCTCTTCTCCGTCATTTCTTGCCTCAAGTCGCAACTCTTATCACATGCTTGATGAGCTGTCCGAAATGTCCGAACCAAGGAACCGATGATGATGCCAATGCGGGGGCGCGTGCGGAGGCTCAATTAAACGTGCGGATCTATCCATGCGTAGACCCGTCCTCGAATCTCTTCACACAGGCAGGATTGACCCCATCATCAGTTCGATCCGGGTGCCTGCAATAAGCAATCCATGGATAGCTTTTGGACCACATCATCACCCACGTACGACTTCAAAACCGTCACGGGAGATATATCTCTCGATGTTCAGTGAACGTTCTGTCCACCGCACTATTCATAGATTCAAAACAGAACTTGGGCATAGTCGTAGCTGCTGTCGAGCTGATCAGCAAAGTTCTTGATGCCGAATCTCGTGAGTCGAGATCCGTGGGAGAGATGTTCGAGCGTCCGCAAGTCGGTCGTCGTGATTTGGGAGCATGTGAGACGTTTCGATGGACTGAGGCGCTGACGTCGCTGCGCGTGGTACGAAACGACGAGGAAGGAATTGGAAAACCATGTTTGATCCTACACGATGGTCATGCGCGCAGAATCGATGCAAGAGAATGATAATAAATCAGTGACAAGTTAGCTGATAGGCGGCCTATGTATTTGTCGTGTCCATACTCACGAGCGAGTCGTGCTAGATGTAGCTGCATGTGCGGGAATAACGCATGCGATCGTTATCGATCCGAAAGAGGAGACGAAAAAGACGCAGGCGTTATGCTGTCATCAGATACAATATCATATCATCCGCCTTGCCGACAATGAATATTGCATCTCACTCGGCTATGCGATTTTGTGGATTGTGTGCTCGGAACCAAAGATCGCGAGAGTGCTTATCCGATATCTCAGGTAGCACTTGTAACAAGAAGCAAGAGATCGTGCAATGCCACGATATGTCATGGTACTATGCATGTCTATTTCAAGGGAAACTCGTAGGACTTCTATCCCGAAACGCCTGATTCAGAATAGATGCGACCGTGACTGTCATTGGTGTGGCCCGCCGGGCGTGTTTAAAAGCGCCCAGGTGACCCCATCTGGGCAGTAGAACAGAGTTTAGCAGGCGTGTTACCTCTGCACCTCTGCACCTCCCTAGCTGTGCATGCAAACATAGGATCGTTCTCGCAAACAGTGTCTACAGTAGTGTAGATTGTTTACGGTGCGTGCCGCATCGCTGAACACACTGCGTGGCTCGTCAGCGGTCTGTAGGGTGTGAGCGTATACACCATATACTTGTAACATCGCGCTTGTTGCGTACTTCTACCGTCAGACCTGGAAAGGATGATCACAAGGTCGTGGTGGGGGCAAACGATGACGGTAACCTTGGAATGATGAGATACCTGTACTGCACTGGACTGTGCGTAACTCTGCGTACCTGGGTAGCCGGATGCAGGTGGGCAGTCGTTCTCGCATACGGGCCCGAGCCTCAATTTGAATACACGCGCGGGCGGTAGTGACAAAGCGGTCGTCTGGTGTGTCTGGTTGAACTCATCGTGCACACCATCGATCTGGATTACCTACACTGGTGGATATGATTGTACGTACCAAGGTATGTACCCACAGTGTACTACTGTGTGAACTGCGCCCCCCAATCGTGCCATGATTTGCGGGACCAACGTTTGGTGCTCGCGGGATCTCTAGGCAGACGAATTCTGGAAACGTCTGTTGCTGTGCTGTACCGAGCACTCTCTTTGTCGCTGGGTTGCCCATGACCTCACCGAGTGCGGAGATGAAACTGCACAGCCATGATCTCGAATTACATGCATCATGATAATCTCCATTGTCTAGCAATTAGCGGCAGGCGGCAGCAATTGGTCTCCGGAAGTGCGTCCAGAACGACATTGTTGCGTGTCGCACCCGCATTGATCACAGTGTGAGATGAGAAATGAGATGATCAGAATCCCCACCCCGCTTCTCCGCCATTTGGTGCATGATTTGCTGTTGTCTCGGGCGAGGGACGCGAGTCTAATCTCACTGTGTGCCGCGAATGGAGATCAAGACAGTCTCGGCATTAATCGAGTCTAGCACGACGACAATTTGGATCAGTGGTACGCTTGAACCGATCCGCTTGTCGAGACCTCATCAGCACGAAAAACGTTCCTTGTCAAGGACGTAGAGGCAGCTGTTTGAAGGCGCCGCGACGATCGAGATACCTAGTCCGAACATCCGCGCCCTCGGGACCCGCCGTACAATGTGTCTCCGTGGTTTGCGCAATGCATGTTGCTCTGTGCGTTTATTAAGGTGCACATGAAGGCAGTGGCGCCCGGCAGGTGGCTGCGCTCTGGCCTCGGCATGTGAGAGTGCGAATCACGACAGGGACCGGCGACGAGAACGAGCATGTCCCGTCAACGCATGTGTTCAGCAGCTGTACATCCACTCACCTACACGCAAGCCTTCCCACCGATCATCTGCCCAACGGCGGCGGTGGGATGCCGGCGAGATGCCCTATTCGAGGTTTACTACTGCACTCATTCTTTTGCACTGCCTGTCATAGCTGAAGCATCTTTGCGCGGTGCGCAGATCATCACCGCTCCAGCTACGCAGATGAAAGAAGAATCTTTGGGCTTAGCGGTTGCGGGGATGGGCGCAAGTTGCTTCTTCTTTCCCGGTGTCACAAGGATACTATGAAGACTTGTAGAAAGTGCATGAAGCATAGTTCCGGTGAGTGCAGACGTACAATTTCGATAGAGTGAGCTCAATGATGGGACAATCATCCACAAACCATGGCACAACGTTATGCAGTGCCTGAGACCCTCAGCCGAATCGAGTTGAGTTCGTACATGTAGATTGTTCCTCGAGCTAGATCGTGTGGTCGCTTCGGTCGCTCCATCCCGTCTGCGGTGATTGGCTGAGCTCGGCTATGCCCCAGCTTTTTTTCTCTCGTCCACCTCCGATCGACTTTGCCTCGGCTGGATGGTCCCGGCACATGGGGGGTTTCTGTGTGTGCAGGTGCGTTTCTCCTTCACAGGTCGGAATATGTTCCTGTGGGTGTTTGGCAACGAAGCTGGCTGTAAACCAAGCGTGATTTGTCGTTGCGGTCGGTTGGATTCCAGCGCGCGTATGATTTGTATATGGTGGCGATCAGGGAGACAAAGCGACATTCGCCTTTCCGAATGCCCCTGGTTACTATTTTACACACCCGGGCACAGTGCAAAGTCGCAAGTCAAGTGGCACTGCGGAGTAGCAATTACTGTCCGGTGGGAATTAGATCTACGTGTGTGCACGCGCGAGTCCCCATGTCCGTTTGAGGCGATAGTGATAGGACGGTAGCGCCGTGGTGGAGTGGAATGGAGGTGGTGGCGGCGATGGCAATGTTTTACTCCCTTGCCTAGGCAGTAACAATCAGTAAACTTAACCCGAGCAGTAGTTTCTCACGGCCGAAACACTTGTTATATCTTAACACTCCGCCTGCCCCAGCTCGTTTCCCCTCCCCTTTCTCTTTCCTTCAGCGTGAAAGTGTTTCGACATTCTTTCCTCTCCTTCCACCAAACGACCCACATACCTCACCACTCGCTCTCTCCAACAGAGCGTTTGTTTGCGTGACCGCCTACTGCTCAACACATTCCTTCTCGAAACACACAGATCATCGTCGACATGGCGTGGCAACCATTCCCCAAGGAGGAGGAGAATGCCTACGATGTCCTCATCGTTGGTGCTGGTATCTCCGGTATCAACGCCGCATACCGTCTCCAGGAGCGTAACCCCAACCTCACCTACAAGATCATCGAGGGCCGCCACGAGATCGGTGGCACCTGGAGTTTGTTCAACTACCCAGGTAAGTGAATCGTCGCTGCGTTTCAGCATACGGCTCGCACCAATACCCTGTACCACTATCGAGACTAATCCCGCTTCCCGCAGGTATCCGATCCGACTCGGATCTCTACACATTCGGCTTCGCTTGGCGCCCATGGTCGGACAACTCGTCCATCGCCTCCGGCGGCTTGATCAAGAACTACGTGACCGAGTCTGCTCGCGTCGCCGGTATTGACCAGCACATCGAATTCAACACCTGGATCAGCAAGGCCGCTTGGTCGACCCCAGACAAGACATGGACCCTCCAGGGCACCGCTGGTGAGAAGAAAGAGCCACGCACATACAAATCGCGCTTCCTCTTCTACTGCACCGGTTACTACAACTACCACGAGCCCCTCCAGGCCGACATTCCCGGCATCAAGAACTTCAAGGGCGATGTCATCCACCCACAGTTCTGGCCCAAAGACCTCGACTACACGGACAAGGAGGTCGTCGTTATTGGTTCCGGCGCCACAGCCATCACCGTTCTGCCCGCAATGGCTGACAAGGCCAAGAAAGTCACCATGTTGCAGCGATCTCCCTCATACGTCATGTCCATTCCTCGTGAGGACCCCATCGAGAAGATCACTCGTTTCTTGTGGTGGTGGGCCCCCCCGATCCAGTCCTGGCTGCTCCGCACCAAGTGGCTCATCACTCCTTTGATGCTCACCAGCTTCGCCGCTCGCTACCCCGAGACTCTGCGCAAAATCTCGCACTCACGCATGGCTGCCCAGCTCCCCAAATCCATCCCTCGCGACCCGCACTTCACTCCCTCTTACCGCCCATGGGAGCAGCGTATGTGCTTGTGCCCTGACGGTGATTTCTTCGCCGCTCTCCGTAGCGGCAAGTGCGACGTTGCCACCGGCCACATCGAGAACATCACCGAGACTACCATCAAGCTCAAGTCTGGTCAAGAGTTGAACCCCGACATTATCGTCACCGCCACTGGTCTCAAGCTCATCTTCGCCGGAGGTATGGATGTCACCGTTGACGGTAAGCCGTTGAACATCCCCGAGAAGTTCCTCTGGAAGGGAATCATGCTCCAGGACTTGCCCAACGCGGCCTTCTACATTGGTTACGTTGATGCCTCGTGGACCCTCGGCGCCGACAGCACTGCTCAGCTCTTGTGCCGTATGATCAACACCATGGCCAAGGAGGGTGTCACCGAGGTCGTGCCTCGTTTCACCGCCGAGGACAAGGAGACCGTCCAGGAGCAGGACCTCCTCCGCCTCAACTCTACCTACGTGACCAGATCCAAGAGCGTCATCCCGAAGGCTGGTGACCGTGGCCAATGGCTCCCTCGTTCCTACTATTTCAAGGACATCTTGACCGCGTGGTACGGTGACATCAAGAGCTCCGCCGAATGGATCAAATAGATGCAATGTCAACAAGCGTCTCAAGTCGATGTTGGTTTCATACAGCATCGCCTCCAGATAAGAGTTTTGCCGGGAACTGCGAGCGAGTATCATCTCGTTGTCGCTGCCGTTGATGAGAGACGATCAGGAGAACTACGTAAGCCGACTATCTACCACTGCACCAGCATCAAGTTCGAACAGCGGATAGCCGTCGGCTGCGCAGTTTGCACCCACTATTTGGAACATATCCGGACACTGTCCAGTTCTACACCTTGACAGCCATCATGAATGGTTGGCCAACGTTTTTTGATGTGTGAGGATATTTGCTCATACCGCACTTCCATCGTCATGTTTCGCACGCCGAAACCTTTTCTTTTTGTGTTTGAATGAGACCAGTAGAGAGGCAGTTTGGAAACGCCATCGCCATCTTGGGAGATGGCATATGTCGGTTTAATGGAGTTTTCGGGATAAATATGAAAAATTTCAAAATTATCAATTCATACATTCTCCATTGCCTATCATTTACAGTAGCAGCGGCTTGACGTGACCATGCCTCTTACAAAGGTACGGATGTGAGCCACGTTTCCTCGATGAATGTTCATCACATCTCCATGGCCATCGAATGCAAAGAAGTTCTTCGCTGTGTCTAACGTAATTCTCCAATCAACTCACACGTGCTGAGCTGTACGCATCATGAAAACACAGCAGGGTCCGGAGTCGGGCCTGAAATTTGAGGGCACCGCGTCATTACATTTGAAGTGCAAGACCTAAGCAGCTGTTGCATGTTTTAGCAGCTCGAAGTTCATCCCAAGTGAGTTGCTCGTTGGTAATCATGCAGACCGCCTTATCACGGACTCTAATGCTTCGTGCTATCCGACTACAGCCTCAAAAATTGGCTACACACACCCGTTGCTTGACGACGACGTTCCCGAGGCATCAACAACAGGGAACTGCAAAACCGACCACGCCAGCGCAGCCCATCACAGCGAAACAGCCACCGAGACAAGGTCACAAGGATCAGCTTCCTGTCATCCCACTAATCGCCTTGTTCTTCCTGGGATCAGGTGCTTTCTATCTCCTAGTGCACACCCGCGCTGGAACTGGCGATAGCCATTACGTCTTGCCCGACCGAGCACCGCCGAAAGATCAGTGGCCTCGAACCAAGGATCAACAAAGCTCATAGAATCAAGAGAAGTCTATAAAGTGACGGCAGGAATTTTCACGTCGTGATCGGATAAACAGCTACATCAACATCATCATGCCTGTCATTCCGTCCTCCGATGCCGCGCTACCAGCGACGGAGCGCAAGCAACCTCTTTTCTCGCCAGACGATGCAGCTAAAAACCATGCACTGGTCATCTTTGTCCTCGGTGGGCCCGGCGCAGGAAAGGGAACCCAATGCGCCAACCTCGTCCGCGACTACGGATTCAGACATCTTTCCGCAGGCGACCTGCTGCGCGCCGAACAGGACCGGCCAGGGAGCGAATACGGCGATATGATCCGCAACATCATCCGCGAGGGCCAGATCGTGCCGAGCGAGGTGACAATAGCACTACTCGAGAATGCGATGCAGGACACCATCTCCTCGGCGAACAACCGCCGCTTCCTAATCGACGGTTTCCCGCGCAAGATGGATCAGGCGTTGGCGTTCGAGCAGCGCGTCGTGCCATCCCGCTTCACCCTCTTCTTCGACTGCCCTGAGGAGACAATGCGCGAGCGTCTGCTAGAGCGTGGCAAGACGAGCGGCCGCGCGGATGACAATGCTGAAAGCATCGCTAAGCGCTTCCGCACCTTCGTTGAGACGAGCATGCCTGTCGTGGAGCACTTTGAGAGTGAGGGTCGCGTGGTCAAGGTCAATGCTTCGGCGACGCCCGAGGAGGTCTATCGACGTGTGCAGGAGCAATTTGCCGCGCGAGGAATCTCAAAAGACTAGCCGTAGATGACTACTTTCCCTTGCAATCATAGTTTTGACTATAACCTTTGTGAAGTTTCTCCTCGAAGTTTGTAGATTACCGAGACGAGCGCCTTGAAAATCACCCCCCGGCAGCAAGGACACTGAGAACTACGATAGACGTGATCTTTTCAGGGTTCAGAAAGGGAATAGCCAGGAGTCGCAGGAGGCCTTTATAGCCTTCTTCGTTTGGTTCTCGGCTTGAAGACTGGAAACCGTGTTGCTGGGCGATCGTGAAACGATATTCGTATTAATTTCTATGTTGCGATTGCTCGTTATAATTTCCATGTTCCGAGTTATCCAAAATCAAGGCCGTTCCCTGCTCAACTATCTAAATTGCCCAGCTATCTGCAAGTGTTCTGAGCATTTTGTGTCGATCCGGGCAATGATGAACGCCAATGGGCCAGTATGATCGACTACTACGTCTGGTCTGATCTGCACAAAGCCATGAGGATAGAACTGTGATTGCGACCATATTTGTTGATGGTGGTTTTGTTGGGTTCCGCGACTCGCTTCTCAATGCTTGAGTTCGGCGACGAATTTGACACGATATTCCTTTATTGGGTCCATCAACTGTCGCAGTATCCGGGCGTGGTGTCGGATTCACCATTGGCCCACGCAGACACTGTCAGCGCCGTCGTATAGGTCATCATGCAGATGCCGAAAACAACGAGGAGAACGTCGACGACCTTTTGCCAAGTCCGGGTGGCAACAACGCGATAGTGCATCAAAGGCTGTTAGAAAGAAAGACAACAGCGTTAGCAGGTGCAATATTTCATATGACAGACAATGTAAGATGAAATAGTTGAAGATAGTGAAGAATGGACATTGACTTACCGGATAAATATTCACCAATGGAATGCACGCGAAACTGCCCACGAGACTGACGAATTTGTCCAAGTCGTTGGCACCAGCCCATGCGATCAGCGCACACAGCGCGACCATGAAGAAGCGGAAGATGTTCTTCTTCCACTTGATCCATGGGTTGTACTTGCCCGTGCGACTGAAGAGCTGCTGACTGGTGATCTCGATGGCAGGATAAATCTGCAATGGAGTGGAGAGAAGGATGGCGAGGGAATAAATGAATTGCACCGCGTTGACTAGCTTGTCCTCCTGCGGCATGTTTGAAAGGATGACCGTCTTGGTGGCGCTACCGTAAGCAGCATACGACAGTGCACCTGCGGACACGAACACGACGGTGACGATGGCCATGACGGTAGCCAGAACGCGTGGGAACTTGCTCGGATCGGCCATGCCAGATTGAATCGGAATGATCAGTCCGACACCCTCGAAGGTGAAGATCGCCGTACCAATAAGCAGCGGCCAAGAGGTTGGGTTGAAATGATGGATGTCTGCCACGCCGTGGTTCTCGACGATGACCTTGACATCGGTGAAGTATACGTAGACCAGGCCAAGGAGAATGAAGAGATCGGCAACCAGAGCCATCTTCTGGATGTGATTGATGTTGCGATACAAGCTGAGCGGGAGGAAGATAATCATTTGCATGAGGATCACCCAGCCAATATCGATGTCCGTCTTGCAGCGAGAGACGGCCAGGATGAACGAGCGCAGATTCTCCGCGACGAAGACGATGTAGGCTGAACTGAAGCCAACCTGGCTCAGCACAAGGGAGAAATTGATCATGTTGCGGAAGTATGGCCCGAAGATCTTACCGCCCATGTCACCAAACGACGCATGGACCTTGAGTCGCACATTCACCAACAAGATGAAGCAGTAATAGGACAGTGCAGCAATGATGAGTAGCACGGCATTGGAGAAAGTCATACCTCCGTTCAGGTAGGCACGTGGCAGGAAAAGCACACCAGTGCCCACAAAAGACTTCAGCAGGAGCATGGCAGCGCCGGTGGGAGTGCCTTTGCCTGTAGGACGGGTCTTTCGCTTGCGTCGGCGCTTGCCTGGGGTCAGGAGGGCAGAGGATTCGCCCCAACCGTCGTCGGAACGATCGTCGCCTTCAGTGGTACCATCGTCGTGTGCATCCGAGGAGAAGTATTCGTCGACTCCCAAGATCTCATCATCTTCTTCTAATTCCTCACCAGCGAAATGGCCGTAGAGTGTGAGAAACTCGATGAAATTTGCTGTAGCAAATTGTGGTCGCGTGGGCTCTGTGAACGCTCGCGATACCGCGCCATAATTGGGTCGCCGTGTGTTCTGTGCCGAAGGTGCTGGCGAGGCTGCGGCACGTCTGATGTGATCACGCCGAAAGCCGCCCGGTACTTGAATAACCGACGCAGCATCTTCTTCTTCTTCCAGCCGATTCGGCAAGCTCACGCTCTGACTCCGCTTCAGGTTTCCTCGGACGTCCCGATCTTCTTGCTCACGCTCTACCCGCTCTGCATAACGGTAGATGTGTCGTGTTGTATCTCCGCCCTGGAGTTGTAGACTCGAAAATTCCGCCTCCTCTGGTGCAGGTGACTCGCTCCGGTTGAGATTCGCAGCAAGTAAGCTTGACCTCTGATATGAGCCTGGCGGCGAGGCTGTGTTGGGTGCGACCAAGTGTCTCTTCAGCACCTCAATGTCTTCCTTCGTAGTGGGGCTTCGACTCAAGAGGGCTTGATCGGGAATGGGAGAGCGCACGGAGCTGGGCTGTGAATCGCGATGCGCATCAAAGCGGGACGGAGAGGAGCTCTGATGTCCTCGCAGGGCCTGCGACAACGAGGATGCACCTGGGCCTGGGACTGAGGTTCCAGAAGCACCTGCCAGCGGCTCATTGGAATCGATTTCTCCACGAGACGGACCTCCAGATCTTGAACTGGAGCGAATGGAAGGCGAACCAACGACAGGCGTGGCAGCTAATCGTGCAGTGATCTCGGCGCGAGAGGGTGAGCCCGAGATCACATCTGATTGCTCTGCTCCAGGGAACGAATCGTGCGACGCGGCCTGGCCGGCCATATTGCTCTGCAGCGTTTCCTTCACGTCTGAGTATTTTGCTCCTTTCTATCGTGATGCGAGTGAGGGCAAGGTCAGGCTTGCACGAGTAGCTATAACAATGGAGACACGCGGTCGGTGCTCAGGACTTGTCAGATCGCTGCTGCTGTTGGACGACAGCTGATCACAAGAATTCTCAACGCGCGCAAACGGCTGCACCGTGTGATTTGACGGTTTCTCCGGCTGACGTAAAGATTCCAAGATCAAGGCGTGTTGTTCAGTTCACAAAACGTACCCGTGTGAATGACGAGAATGGAGCATCATCTATGGCCAATATCACATGCGAGAGGTCGTATGCAGTGGACTGCTTGCATCTAGAGACCGCAGTACTTCGACATTGGATGAATTCTGTGCGGGACCTTTACCTCCGAATCCCGAACGAAGCTCCAGAACAGACAGAATGCATGGCACGACTAGTAGACGGATAGATCTAGCTACCCATACACCGGCTAGGTAGGCACTACCGTCATAATGATTGGGGACGAATAAAACCAGGTCGGTCAAGCTTTGTGCAATAACGATTCAGCACACTATACCTAGGTAGTTGCCTGACTATTATCGTCGGTGACACAATACTGTGGACAGTGTGTCCCCTTCGCAAGATTGTTCGTCACAGGGGCTGGATGTACAATAGGTATATGGTCATTGTACTGGAGGCCATCATCTGATCAATGATGCACGAATTTCATCAAAATTTTGCTCGTAACGATCATCTCTACTTCGACCACCTCCACTTACCTCGGGGTGATGCAAGTAACTGTAAATTAATCATGCCTCGTAAGTTGTGAGCGTTCTGTTCATATTTAACCGGTCCGCACCCATCTCAGATCTCTAGCTTTCTGCCTGTACGTCTAGAACATTGATAGGGTCAGTAACCATGTATCCCCATCAACGTCCACGCGTCTTGAAATGTTCTCAAAATGCTCTGGGCTTGAGGTCCGTTTCATGCTGGAGCGATCGATCTCTCAGATCAACCAAGGCCTCGCTTGTCCGCATTTTAGGATGCTGCTTGAAGCATGAAGATCTCCTTTAATGCTTTAGGATCCATGGATGCCATGCGCTTCTGCTGGATATAGCGCTGTCGCGTAGCGTGTCGACTTCCGTTGCTGATTACGGCAGTGCTTACTACCGCTGCAGAAGGCTCTGCGATTTGCGGTGCTCCCTTTTGCGCTTTCTTACTTGCTTTCAGCGCCCTCCGCTCTCGCCTCTCTTCTTTTCGTTTCCGTCGTTCCTCTTTTCGAGCGCGTCGCTCCGCCTTTTCACGCGCTTTTTGTGATGTCTTCTCCGCGGTTTTCGACCCTTGCTCTGACTTCGAGCGCTTCTCTCGGTACTTCTCTTTCGACACAAGCTTCTCAGCCTCTTGTCCACGATCTTTCAATTCTTCGTTCTCCGAGTCTGAATATCCACTAGAACTTGAAGAGTCTGAAGTCGCTGCATTCCGATCCTTCAGATTCTTTTCGATCGAGATCTTCGGCTTCTTCTCTTTGGATTGCGCGGCTGTTCCCTCTTCGTCTACAGCCGAGTGCTTACGCTTCGTAGTCAAGCTTGCAGCTGTGCTTGCTGACTTCAGTTCAGCCTTTGTCTCCATTTTGTCTCCAACCAAGAAGCCTCCGCTGACGAAATTCATATGTCCATATCTTTGCTCGTGCTGTATTCGAATCTCTGCATCACGACGGGCTTTTCGCTGCGCCTCGAGCTCATCATCGGTCTTTCCATTTAGCCTTCCGAGTAGGCCTGAAAACATGCTGAGCCCAAACGTTTCCGCATTGCCCTTGCCGATTTGTGCGCCCAGCCCAAGGTTGTCCTCACGGAGCATCACTCTAATATGTGATGCATTGGCAGCAGTGTAATGGTCGGCGTGATTGGCATTTTCGGCCCCAAGGTAATCGCCTGGTTTCCATCCTTGCGCGGCCAATATCCTATGACCAAACCCATCTGTGTTCTTCGCCCAGGCAGTGTTGTTCGGATCATGCGAAAGCTTCGTCCGACTTGGTCAAATATTTAGCAGATATAGTGCCGTGCATTTTCATTGTCCTTCTTACCTTCTCTGTCCACTGAGACCCATGGTTGCCGGCTGAGAATTACAACTTATCACCAACCACCGGGGAATGGTTTCGCGATCCCAGAATTTGTCCAAATCTTTCTTATCGAGGGTCCCAGCCAGACGAAATCTTGGCGACAGGCGGACGGGTGCTGCCGTGGGATTTATCGACGCTATCTCCGAGAACGCAAGTGGCAGGACAACCTTGGAAAGGTGCAGCCCGAGCGTCTGTAGCATGCAGCTAAAATATATGAAAGTCAGTAGCTGCAGCAATAATGCTCCTTTGAAGGGTAAAACGTCGCGCAAGTCTTGCGGCCACCTCAACGTCATCAGGCGCGTGGATTTGATCGTGCTTATCATTCGCCAGGAGTCACGGCCATAGCACACACGCACGTGAGTCTGAATAGATTGCATGTTGCAGTTGGTCTCACTATCATTTCTCTGAGATGAAGCTGTAAGTTGATCGCATCTCTTCTACCAAGTTCGATAACGGAGTTGTCGATTCCAGGCCAAAGCATGGGACTAAATCAAATATACAGCACGATTCGTGCGACACGGCGCGATGCGCTCAATAAATTGGCTGCGTTGTCCGCCAATAGCGCCGCCGCGTTGGACGATGACAAGGACATCACGAGGCTGTGTGCATTGGGCCGACAGCGAAGCGGACCGACGACAAATGGCATGAAGAGTTATGTTACGGGAGGCACGGCTGGAACGCACTCGGTCCCGATGAGTGTGCGAGAGCTCGAGGTCCTCATTGCATTGTGTAAAGCAGCGCCATTGGTACAAACTAGCAGTGACGCCGAGAATTTGCTTCAACAACTCGCACCCTATGTCCCTGAGGCGCACCAGCAGGCCTTCACTCCGTCTATGATCCAGCAGTACTTGCCACCCTGGGAAACCCTCTCCAACGACCTCACCACGGCTGTGCTCGCCCTTGGCCACAACCATCCTTCTCTCCGCGAGCAAGTCTGGGCCTGTATCGATACAACTGTTACTGCGCTGGCGGAAAATGCAACTAAAGCCTCGCGGGACCAGCAAGATGGTCAGGAGAACGTCGATCGTGAGGTGGACAACCAGGTCTTGAACGCCATTAAATTAAGCGTCTCTCTGCTTGGCTTCTTCAATGCGATTGGGAAACACGTGCAGGTCTGGGATCCGGAAAGGCGTAGTTCGCTGATTGCGCGGCTTCGCAACATTCTTTCTGAAAAATTCATGGTTGCGCTCGAGGGTGGTCTCTCTGCTGTGCGCAATGCCGATCCCACAACAAGAGTCGTCAAAGATTGGAAGCGATGGATCAGGCACTATGCTGCTCAGGGTCAACCTTTAGGGGCAATGCTCTTGCAGCATGCATTCATGATCGTCGTAGAAGAGAGTATCCTAGCTCTCCTGCCCATCTCAGAACCTCCAACACGTTTGGAGTTCCTAGATTTCCTGCTGCAGCGAAACCCTCGTCTCCCTCAGATCAATTTTGGCGCCCAAAGTGTCATGGTTGCGGAGATGACTAAGACCATATCCGAAGAAATGCGACTTCTGGACGCCAATGCGGATTACATTTCGATCGGTACCGCGTGGCAGCAGCGCGTGTCTCGTGAGGTGAAAGCCTGCTCCCTTCGCAGCTACCTCTGTTGTGCGTTACTTGACGGAGAGGCGACGCATGCAGAAACCCTGATGGGCTGGCTCGATGTGATAACTGACGATCCCACCCAGATGGCGGATGAGGACCTGGCTCAAACAGCATTGAAATGTCTGGCTGCGTTGGCGAAAATTTCGCCTCCGATTGCTTCCACCTTGACTCGATCGCTGCCGAGATTGCTGGTGCAAGGGCGGATGACGCCTCCAACTGCCGCGGTCGCTGGCGAATGCCTCGCTCGTATGCTGAAGGATTTACCCCAGGACAATGCCATCAGTCTCTTGTACAGCCTTGGTAATGTCTTAAGCACTAATGCAGTCGAGCAGGGCAACAGTCGATCCTCAATCTTGGAAGGCGTCACAACACCACAATCCATTCAACGACTGGGCAGTGCAATATCGCTCGCCGTTAGCGATGAAGAAGAGACCGCCATTGTGTATGCATCTGTTGTGCAGGCAATTGTTGCGATCGCTGTCGCCCGCAGCGAAGCACAGCTCACTGCATTGGTCATCTCAGTCTTGGTCCAAAAAGTCGGCAAAATTAGCCAAGCTGTCGATGCCAAGATCATTGTCGAGACCGCCGCTCTCGGTTTGTGCGGAGGATCCAATGAGCTTAGAGGGCTTCTCCGACTCTATGCCCGTATCGCGAATGATGCTACAATAGAGCATAACACTCTATTGTTGAGCGCGGTGACCGAAGCGCGTACACGGCTGGCCACCTGGATCAAGAAGGACTCTCCGCTCTTCGAAGTCTACTTGTTGCATCTCACAAGTCTCTGCGTCAGCAGCGGTGAATCTACTACTACCCGTCCCGCGGATATCGCACTTCCTGCTAGGTTGATGGCGCAAGTCTTCAGGCCTATGGCTTTGCTAGTATCGACTGACAAGGATCATACGCCAAAATTTGATGGTGAAGATGAGCTACTTAACTTGAGCCGGGATTCTTGGTTCAACATTGTCGTCCACGGCTACACACTGATGTCACCAGCTGCCAAGGAGTATACGGAAGAGCTCCAAATTCTGGCATTATACAGCCTTCCTCTCGTCGATGAGGATCGAGTCGATATGCCAGAAAGCAGCATCATCTTGAACCCGGTCCTGCGACGGGGTTCGAGTCCGCAGCAACTGGCACAGCAAAGACAGGCATTACTGGCGGCGCTGCCACAATGTGAATCGGACATCAAGAGCCTGGGGTACCCGGAATGCGTCTTTCTGAATGCAGCTCTGCTGATTTCCACTCTCCGCGCCCGCGGAGGCGATTGTACCGCTGCGTTGCCGTACTTCCTGGAGAACAAGGTCAAAACGACCGCACTGGGCAACTGCGTGTTTGCCCTATCGAATCATTGTGTTGACACCTACCTTCGGAGAGCTTTGCAAGGCCAGCGACAGGAATTTGCGGCCCCACAGGTGGCGCTACAGCTGGCAAGTATCTTCGAAAACTGCTGTCATAGGATCGCAAAAATACAATCTGCAGCCTTGGCGGCCTGCGATCGCATCATAACGCAGATTCCATCGGCGCTGTGCCAGAAAGCATCGCTGTTTGCCCTGCTCGAACTTCTTTCACTGATGTGGAAAAGCTGTTTGGATGCTGAGACCGACGAGTACGATTGGAAGTCTCACTATGCTTCGGAGAAGGGCAACGTTTCCATTCAACTCTCAGACGACATCAGCTATCGGCAGTCGACCCTGAACGTGTTCCATCAGCGGAGCCGAGCATGGGTGTCACGGGCAATTGAGATTGCACCTCTGGACGTCAAGGGTCTGTTGCAAGCCTATCTTGAGGACTATGAGGATGACGGCGCTTATGGACATATTGCTCTGGGCAGATCATTTGCTGTTGAGATGGGCTCAATTGTACCAAAAAGCGACCAGAGGTTGACATCGCTTGATCGTCAGCGGGACATGGGAGTTAATACCGCGTCCGATTTCATTGCCCAATACACAACCCGTCAGGAATATCGTCATCTTGACGGCCGCATGAAAGTTGAAGATGACTGGACTCTCGTTGATTACAGCGGCAAAACATACGATGCAATCACAGATGGTGTGGCGCCTGTTCAAGACGAAGCGGCAGAGCTACGTACTCTCGCTCAACGACTGCAAAATAATGAGAGTGTGCCTTTCACTCAGGTCCGAGATACGTTGCGCAATGCTGCTGCCATCCTCAGTCGAATCCTGTCCGATCGTGTGCCGCTCATTCAAGACCTAGTTGCCATTCCTTTCATCATCTTCACAAAGCAGTCCATCAATTTGGGAATCTCATTGTGGCTTGGAGTCATAAAAGAAAACCCAAGTCTGGAAACGCGAATTCTTGTCGAAGTCGCTCAGGGCTGGGAGAACTCAATCCGTCAAAAGAGAGGCTTCTTCGATAACACATTCCATCATCTCGATCCTTTCTACATTAAGGAGGAATTCGCTCCATCTAATTGGGAAGCGATTGTTAAGAGGCAACAGATTGCAAGCAATCATATTGCACCACATCTCCGCTTGACCCATTTCCTGTCCAGTCACTTTAATGCGTCAAGGTTGACTTCGCCTTCGGTCGAACACATCTACTTCCGCCTTATCCGCGCGACACTGCTCGCGATGCGCGACACTGTCAGTCACCCTCTAGCTCGAGAGGTACATTTCCATATTATACTGCTGGGGCTCAGAGTGCTGAAGAACAGCACATCGTCGAGCGTTGCCTCCCGATGGCGTTTCAGGGACGCTATCCTCTCAGCTGCTTTGTCTTGGTTTTCAAGCCCGCCCCGATGGTCGTTCGGAAGCAACAGATTACAGGTCAAGGCAGAAGTGAAGCTACTTGGAGACGTGACTGCTATGTTGGCTGCCCTTGACGGCGATGGCAGCTCAGGGACCTCGTCGCTGCCGTCGCTCTCTCAAAAACAGGAACTGTTCCTACAACTCGTCAGTCACGAGATCGGCCGGCTCACAGTATGGATCACGCCGCTTACTCACGAGTCTCGGGGCGCGATCCTCCAGCATGAACCGGATGTTAGAGAGTCGACTATCCAATCGCTTCTGCCCATCGCATGGGCCGAGGACCCTCGCATCGCAATTCAACTACTTGCGCGATTTCCCAACTCAAAGGACCTATCACAGGCGGTGCGAAGTCTGCTGTTGAAACGCCCTGAGCAGGCCCTGCACGAACCAGACGCCCTACAGACTTTACTGGGCCCCGAGCTCCCGTCCGATGTCAAGTTTCAATTGAAGTATCTACTTTACTGGGCGCCCATCAACCCGATGGCAGCAGTTACTCACTTTCTGCCTGCGTATGGCAACCACCCCTTCATCATTCAATATGCTGTCCGCGCGCTCGAGAGCCACTCTGTTGATGTTACCTTCTTCTATGTGCCTCAGATCGTACAGGCGCTGCGCTACGATGCGCTCGGGTACGTCGAGCGTTACATAGTGGAGACGGCCAAGTTCTCCCAACTGTTTGCCCACCAGATCATCTGGAACATGAAAGCCAACGCGTACAAAGACGAGGAGTCTCAGCAGCCAGATTCAATCAAGCCTATGCTGGACAAAGTCCTGGCAGCGCTCATCGCAAGTTTCTCCGCCGAAGACAAAGACTTTTACGAGCGAGAATTTGAGTTCTTTGGCAAGGTCACTGGTATTTCGGGTACTCTCAAACCACTGATCAAGCGACCCAAGCCCGAAAGGAAAGCGAAAATCGAAGAGGAACTCCGCAAGATCGAGGTTGATGTCGGGGTTTACTTGCCTAGTAACCCTGAAGGGGTTGTCATTGGCATTGATCGCAAGTCCGGACGGCCTCTCCAGAGTCACGCGAAGGCTCCATACATGGCAACGTTCCGCATTCGGAAGGAAGAATTTGAAACTGACACGCCGGAGACACAAGCAACGCGACACGGACAGATCGCGAAACGCAAGACTTATGAAGTCTGGCAGTCGGCCATTTTCAAAGTGGGAGATGACTGTCGGCAGGATGTGCTTGCCTTGCAACTGATTGCCGCCTTCCGAGGCATCTTCAACAGCTGCGGCTTGGATGTCTATGTGTTCCCTTATCGTGTGACTGCGACGGCGCCCGGATGCGGCGTTATCGACGTGTTGCCTAACTCAATCTCGCGGGACATGCTTGGTCGGGAAGCCGTCAATGGACTCTACGAATACTTCGTCTCCAAGTACGGGTACGAAGACTCTATCCGTTTCCAACAAGCCCGCAGTAATTTCATCAAGAGTATGGCGGCATATTCAATCATCTCTTACCTCCTTCAATTCAAGGACAGGCACAATGGAAACATTATGGTCGATGATGCCGGCCACATCCTGCACATCGACTTTGGCTTCTGTTTCGACATTGTCCCTGGAGGCGTCAAGTTCGAGCGCGCCCCCTTCAAATTGACGCCAGAGATGGTCGCTGTGATGGGCGGTTCAACACAGTCGCAACCGTTCCGAGCTTTTGAGGAACTGTGCGTCAAGGTCTTCCTGGCCGCCCGACAGCACGTCGAGCAACTGTCGCACATTGTGTTGACGATGCTGGACTCTGGACTCCCTTGCTTCAAACCGACGACAATTCAACACTTCAAAGAGCGCTTCGTGCTGGAGAAGTCGGATCGAGAAGCGGCCGACTTTGTGCGCAAACTGGTCCAATGGAGTGCGGGAAGCTATTCGACCGGAGTGTACGACTACTACCAGTTGTTGACGAATGGAATTCCCTACTAAAGTTGAGGCGATAGAGCGTCTTGTTGGGAAGAAATATTACCCTCCGATCGGCATACATACGCCTGCAGACGCATGTACGTGTAGCGCGCCAGGCTTCGAGCGTGGGTGGGCGGTATTGATCTTTCAGATTGTCTGCATGTATATATGTAGGTCCATGAGCACCGTATGCACGCCCCTGTCTCTTCATGTACTGTACATGTATGCAGCGGCGCCGCAGCGTGTGTTGTTAATCGGCGAGGGATCGGCATGTTACAAGGTTGTGTCAAAGTTTGTTACCACCTTACGTGTGGATCGTGTACGGGTTGGAATTGGAGATAGTCGCCTGTTTTGGCATATACAGCGCTCGACATTTGCAGACCATGCGTACAGAAGGCCTTCGACATTAAATGCGGTGAGATGCATGGCAGTGTGGCAACTTCAACAATTCACGACCACTTCCGAGGTGCCGTAGACCTCGAAAAAACGTGGAGGGGAAAAGGCTGCATGATCGTCTTGTCGCGTGCACTGTATTCATTGTCCCGGTTCTGTTTCACGTGTCTTTCTGCGACGCCGATGCATTATTCACATTTCAAATAGATGCGCCCTGTAATGCATGCATGCATGCATGCAGGTGACTGAACGCAGGGTAGTATCGTACAGCTGCAGCCTTCATGAATGTTTGTATGCAGGCAGGGGATGATGGAGGGCTGAGATACAGGTTTGGGGTCATGGCAGATCGATTCGTTGTGTCGGGTGACCCAGGAGGATTTGTATTGAATGAAATAATGCTGGCTCAAGACTTGTCATTTCCAATGGATCTTGACGCTTGCCAACAACTGTATAGACAGCATCGAAACGCTATCACGACATTCAAAGCCAACAGCGTTGAATGATTAAATGACCACTCCCGAGTAAGCGTGACCTCTTCGGGTGCGAGGGTGGAAATGCTCGGCGAATGCGGCAGTGAGCGGCACTCTATCTCCCAATGTTTCGGGCTTCGGCACCAGCGAGCCACCAAGGAAGCTCTGCTTTTCACCACTCGTTCAATCACACCTAGATAAGCCTACCAGATCGTAATTACCAGATCGTAAGGACCGGTTGAAGCGTATGGCGTGGTGAAATCGTAGGTCTTGCGCCAACGACCAAGATCACGATGAACCATGGGAGTCAGACTGCCCAGGTGTACATGTATGTAGATGGGCGCCCGGAGATCCCCGCTATGCCCCAAATGCATCTTCTTCGACGAGTGTTTGCAGCCGACGTTTGTCCTCACCTTCATCTTCCGGCACCATTCTCTGTTGCTACTGATCAACTCGGGAATGCACACGTCCGTCAGCATACGCTAAGTGATTTAGCGAAGCGTTGTAGTGGAATGGTGATTGGATTTAATTCGCACTCACTGTGGCCACGGTTCGTCTGATGTGTAGCAGCTGTTTGACCTATCGTCCGTCGCATCGCGACTTGTTGGCTCGCGATTGCCAGGTAGATGGACTGTTATTGGAAGGCACTTGGTGTGAGGCCTAATGCCATGTCACGCCTGCGTGCTCGTGAGAGGCATGTGCATGTCGGCTTCCTCTCCAGCTACAACCAGCATCGTAGCGGAGAAGTGTCCCAATCCGCGCGTTTGCCACAATTGGAGCACTGTATATATCATTTCATTTGTAACGTCTAAGCTCGGCATTGCCAGCTCGCGAGACGCCATAAGGTCGAGAAGTGTTTCATCGGTGAGCTATCGCTCGCACCCACTTTTGCTTCTCACCCGAATGTTGCTCGAGGAAAGATCAAGACTTCAATCTGCAATACAGAACCAGCATCAGCGCCGTCATCGGCGGCGGGATCGCCATCATTATCATCATCATGAGCACAAGGCGCCGCAAGTAGTCATCATGGCATGCAGGTGATCTTTCTTGGGCCCACTGCCAAAGGCCTGGGCCTATGTGTACAGAAGCGAGTGGATATGTGGAGACATTCCTACATTGGTTCAACGTATGACAATTATATGACGGCAGCTGCCTGCTCCGAATGCCTAGGTAGCGCTGCATGGTCGCGACTGTATCCTGTAGGGCTCGGTGAGTTACCTAGGCACGATGTTATTATGGCGTATGTACCTTCCAAGGCTGCTACACACTCCCTGGCACCACAGCACTCGTCCAGTATCATCACGCAGGCCGTGAACTCGCACCCACAGTACCAAGCCACAGCATTGGCGACAGGGTGACGACATCCTTGGACGTGGCTCCGGCGGGCCTGATCGATGAGTTTAGCAGATGTCCGCCGACGCCGCCGATGCCTGGATTGCATTTCGATGATACGATCACATATTTTTCTGAGGGAAAAGTCGATACCGAGTGATTCAAACAGCGGAAATCAACGTGCTGGATACGATTCGGAGTACACAAAATTGAGCACAAAAGTTCCTCGTCATCACCAGATTCCGTGAAATAGACTGTGTCTTTCATCCGTCTCCTCGCGCCACAATTTCCTCGACCCACAAGGGACCATTGCAAATGTCGGCTGGCTATTAGCACGGAAGGGAACTAGCAGACGGGCGAAGGGCCGGACAAAAAACACATGACAGATGAAGTAGTACTTACGACATCGACGGAATCCAGCTCCATGGGATTGTGAGAGTTTCTCAGGATTCCATAGTCCGAGTCATGCTATAGTTAATACCTAGGTAATCAAGTAATTCGAGGATCGCCTTGGAATTGCCATGATCAAAACGGTACCTAGAGCACTCGTCTAGGTAGGTTTAACCTGAAATGTCTTCAGAGCTCACTTTCAGAGTCGGATGGTATCTACCGTACTGTATAATCAATGCCCAGGTGGGGTTTCTTCATCGAAAGCAGGAAAGAGGGACGAGTTCGTCGATCTGCTTCGAAGGTTTGCCGCCGACCTCGCCTGCACAAGCCTTTCTCCCCCCCCCATCCTGCCCGAATAAACTTCCTTGGAATTGCGCTTCACATCCGTTCCACAAGTCCTTGAACGCCACAGGCACACACACGTCCAGTGGGGCCCAAAAGCATTGACTCGGAGTGGCGATGCATCTACTGCACGTCCAAGATGTCTTGCCCCCGAGATGTCTTGTGCTCTTCGCTTCGTGCAACATAATATTGCATCGGCAGCATGTTCAATGGTCCGATGAGGTGCTTTTGTACATGTGCATTGTCCAAGCCCCTCGCGGACTGCCATTCTTCGTCATCCCTCCGGCTGATTACGGTGTCATTCAGGTTTCGTGATAATTAGCAGATTGAGTTTTCAACGGCTTTCCCGCGCAGCACAGCCTGTAATGAGGGCTTGTGGTAGTCCGGCGATGATCTGACGACAATCAACATTCCTCCACCGAGGATACAGGCACACACGCACCGCAAGCTGCTGCGGAGGCGATATCAGACGCACACAAGGCCGTGGGCGCAGATCTGCCGCACTGCCGGTGAGCCAACGTCGCCCCATCGTCACTCGTGTATTTGGAAGACGTGTGGACGTCAAGCTTTTCAATTCTATCCCATGTCTCTGCCAGTCTCACTGAATACTGTCCTGTATGTATAATCAATGCGCCTAGAGTGTTTGTGGCTATTGATTTCCGGTCCGGCCAATCCATCTAACAGTCATGGCATCATCCATCCGGTCCCAGGTGGCCCGAAAAAGCATGGCACTATAGCAATGTGGCATGCACCTCTTCGCAGGGAAATGAACGCTCCTCGTACAGAACTTGGTCATCGAGGCAAGAAATATCGTAGCGTGCTCTGGTACACCGCTTTTCGCAAGGAACATGACTGAACCTTGCTACGGTAGAAGACCTTGCGATTCTATAGACAGACTGCCTAGCTCTGGAAGGCGCGGCAGTGGATTGTCATCAATGGAGTATTGCTGGGCGAGAATCCTCGCTTCCTGCTCACCAATTTCATACCTTACGCCAAATGCCCTCACCATCTCCAGCAGTCTTGATGACGAAAGTCTTCAGTTCGAGGCATCTGACAATGCGTCTGAACGCCCTCGTGCGCGCTGCGAGCGCCGCGAGAGAATGAACCCCACTGCGCGCCTCGGCAACTGCAATATCGTTTGCTAAATGTGCAATATTTTGCACACACGCCATATTGGCGCTTTCTTCCGCACCATCTGGCGGCGTGCAGCCACGGTGGCAAATGCCGCCCAGCGCCCGGTCATCTCCTGGCTTGCATTCGACGGACCTCCACGGCCCCGGCGGACTTACATACGCTTGCCCGATATCTCCAGTGGCAACGAACGTCCTCCACGCACGCTCTCACAGTCCTTTCCGGTCTGACAGCCACACAAGTCAATTTCTCCATAACCTGGTCTTGTCCAATTGTTCCTCATGGTCAACCAGGGCCCATGGCGCCGGGCCTGGTGTCAATTTGGCGTGGGTCCATCGGGTAAGTGTACCTGATGCAGGGTCATCAATCGTTCGGGAGGCCATGCGCGCGCACCACCTTCGACGATGCATACATGCAGCATGAAAGGCCCAAGTCCTCCGACGGCACCTCACTAGTGTCGCGCGCCTCTTGAGGCGCTGTTGAGGATCCCGGTGAGCTGACCTGCCTGGTTGCGTGTGCAAATCATTCCTGGCATGTGAGCGCCTTCCGATCGCATTCGTTCCTGGTGCATCCCGCCCTCGTCTGATTAATCATCGCCGGCTCTTGCCCCGAAATGATCTATTCATAACCATTGCGCTCTCTCCATTCGCGAGTGGAGCGTCTTCTGTTGTCTTTCGATCCTTGTTTCCATCCCAATCGAGCTTTACTTGTTTGTTGCTTTCGCGGCGGTGATCATGCCTGACGGGAATCCCACGAATCCTGGAACTGTTGAGCAGCCTGGAAGATCACCCACCGCTCAATCGTCCTCTGAACAAAATGAAAGGTAACCGAACTAAGTACAATTTCCGTGTCGCGGCCATGATGAATTGACAGACTCCAGTGCCGTGCCTCGCAGTCAGCCCGATCTCGGCCGTCCTTCAGGGCCTACGATTGTTGGACATGGGGTCCATTCACCACAGCACTTTAATATGACAGCCATGGCGGGAGCATTACCACCTGTAGGACACGATGAAGCCATGTCCCGTGGTCCATACGGTTACCAAGGCGCCTCACAAATGGCTCCACTCAACACTTATCAACCGACACAGCAATACTTCGCACACAACATGGGCTACGACCATACTGCAATGACACGTGCCCAAGCGGCTCAACAACAACAATTCATGAATGTCCAATATGGGCAGGCACCTGGTCTGCCGCCGAATCCACCACGTGGTCAAATGTATCCTATGCATCAGCAGATGCCTTACAATCAGATGGATCCATACGCATATGCCATGAATGCCGCTCAGTATTCGCCGCTAGACCCAAGGATCTCCTCACCGTCTTCCTACGGTCTCCCAGCGGTCGTTTCCCCAGAAATGGGTAGCGCTTACACCGATCTAAACCTACAGTAACTCGTGCTAACATGTGCTTCAGGTCAATTTTCAAGACGCAGCTCGACAGATACTGGCCCGATTCCGACCTTCCCACGTGGTCCTCCTCGCAAGCCCAAACAGTCTGGCCATGCATTATGGGTCGGAAACCTACCACCTGCCGCCACAGTCATCGAACTCAAAGACCACTTCTCACGTGACGCAACAAACGACATCGAAAGCGTCTTTCTCATCTCCAAAAGCAATTGTGCATTTGTGAATTATCGCTCCGAGGCCGCTTGCGCTAGTGCAATGGAGCGCTTTCACGATTCGAGGTTCAACGGGGTACGGCTCGTATGTCGGCTACGCCGAGGCAGCGCGCCTCCGAGTGGCACGCCCACGGACAGTATCGCAGAGTCACCTATCGATGGCAGTGCTTCAGTGACGGCAAATGTACGAGAGGAGTCGCGTAGTCCCGATATCAATCAGACGCAGGTGGTCGACAAAGGAAAGGGCCCTTCTACAAAGCGAGAAAATGTCGGGACAGGTCCTCCATTGTCGGATGAGCGGGTACCGGAAAAATACTTCATTGTCAAGAGTTTGACTGCCCAGGACCTGGAAGCCAGCGTGCGCAACAAAGTATGGGCTACACAGTCGCACAATGAACAGACTCTCAGTAAGGCATACAACTTGGCGGACAGTGTGTATCTAATATTCTCGGCGAACAAATCCGGCGAATACTTCGGCTATGCACGCATGACCTCCACCATATCCGGCGAACCAGTCAACTTATTCCACATGTCCAACGAGCAAAGCAGCGAACAACCAGCCCCTGAAGCTACAGGTGCACCACAGTCAATATTTACAGTAGCCACAGCCACAGCACCTCGAGGCCGGATAATTGACGACTCGGCACGCGGCACCATCTTCTGGGAGGCGGACCATGAAGAGGAGGAAGACGAGGTACCGGAGAGCCAACGAGCAGCGGTGGGTGACGGGCAGAATTGGGGCCGGCAATTCTCTGTGGAGTGGATGTCGACTAACCGATTGCCGTTCTATCGAACTCGCGGCTTGCGCAACCCGTGGAATGCGAACCGAGAGGTCAAGATCGCCCGCGATGGAATTGAGCTGGAACCCAGTGTCGGCAGGCGCCTGGTGCAGATGTTCCATCGCCCAGCCCCGAGTCCCAGTGGCAACAACAACAAGGCTGGTGGTGCCGGAGCACCAGGTGGTTCAGGGTCCTACCGCTAAAATATCGCGGCCAAGTCCAAATTTCAACACGAACTGCTGTCGATCTTTTGCATCAATGTACAACCCATGGATTTCCAGCGCTATGCATACAATTGCGTCAATCATTGCCTCCTTCTTCACTGTACTGAAGGAAAGACCCTGTCAGGTAGACCATCACGATGCGCAATATTCAACTTTCGGCGATCATCGGCGCTGAGATTGTGCATTACGCCAGTGAGCACAGTCCATCTATTCGGACGCTGGTCGGCCGATGGGTAGTACTTATTGCTTTTTAATTGATAATGACATTGATGTGACATCACGACAACAAGCGCAAATCATCCTCGAATTGCTCGCACGAGAGTGTGAAATGAGTCAAATACATGAAGGGGATATCGGACATTCAGCCTGCTTATCATGACCTCCCGTTGACCCTTGAAGTTTTGGACAAATCACGGGCGGTCTCCCAACAAAACCTTGGAAACTTCATTTTAGAAGCAGAGTGGAGTTTTCCTAGGCGACATGGAACCTGAAGAAAGTTGGACACCCGACGTCGTTTCAAGGCTGCGGGCTAGCCGACTTGAGCGTTGGCGTCACAAGCCACACTTTGTCACCGAGCGCCGAACGAATCAAAAGGAGATTGAAATTTCAGGGTCCTAACTCTCCAGGGCAGCCATCAATTTCACTTGTGCTTTGTTGACAGCGCAGGAACCCGTGAAGCTCATGATTGCCTAGAGACATGCAGCGTAATGTTGACGATGTTAACTTTGGCTGGCACTAGTTACAATGGGTATACAGCGCAAGACATGATCTCGTATTCTCGTAAAGCGTAAGTCATGATACTGGTCCTCATTACACGAGTCATGCCGGATCGTGACGGCTCGTCCGCCGTTGATTGCGCAACGCTCGAGTGGAGCACGCGGTCCAGACCACAGTCTTGCAATCGAACTATGTGCAAGTTTTTCCGAAGGTATCGTAGCGGGAGGGAGTCTTAATTCAGCAGCTTGGTCTGTTCGAAGGCAAGAGCGGAAATCGAATCATGATGGCTTGTGCGCGTCGACTATTTATGTTCTTCGATGCCGCACTGTGCTATTAGTTTGTAATGTCCCAGATGTAAATCCCTGCGGGCATCAAAGTTCTGTTCTCACATTGTTATGACCAATGCCAGGGCAAAGGTTGGAGGAGGCGATCGAGACGGACAGCAATGGGAGCCATTCAATGTACACATACGGTGAGCATTCTGTTGATCTCCGCCGATACTCATGGCTGCGGGAACCAGAGGGTGTCTGCACACTATGCGTCGCCGAGCTCGTCGAAGCGATCACTGATCGCGACTTCAAGTTGTTGCACGGTGGTCGCAAAAGCTTGTTCAATCTGCACAGAACAGGCCTGCATACGGACTTCTAATTCTCGCTGGCGTGCCAGGAGCGCATTCAGCCGTGCGACTTTGGGCTGACGGAGGTCACGCCTATGTTTCGTGGCAACGATACAATGTCAGAACCTCTTTGGGCACGGATACTAGTCATGCATCAAGCGGCGTGTTCATTTTACTCACATGTGCCTCTCGTGGCGGTGTCGACAAGCTTCCGCCTTTTGCGCGATGCTCAAGAGAGTGGCTTGACGTCGTGCTGCGATCTCCGCCAGACGCGTCTGTTTACGTGATTCGCACTGGTGTAAGTGTTAGCTGTGCTTATGAGCATCCCTCATAGTTATCAGCCCAACTTGTTGCTGTTGTTTACGAATCGCAGTCTTCATCGAGTGAGTATGTAGGTCTATCAGAGAGGCCTCCTGGCTGACCTGCGACGACATGTTTCGTGTCAATGGTTCGCACGTAAAAGTCCGGTTTTGATTTGCCCTAAAAACGCTTCCACGCGAGAGAGACGATCGATGCGTGTAAACTTCTGTGTGGAAGATACGCCGAAATCGAGCGTGGAAAGGTTGTGACGCATCAGCATCTTCAAGTCGAACGATCAAGATTCCAGACTGCAGGTGGAATGTTGCGGGCTAAATTTAGCCACAACTGAAACGCTGTTTACGACAATTTGCCTGTGCCATACAGTACGAAAACAGACGCAAAACAACACTTCTGGTGAGGATCATGGGAGAAATGTGTTTTGTGTTTCGCTTACCAGCTGACTCCACGTAAGACTCTTCATTGAAATTACAGCAAGCATCGATATACTTGTCGAGTGATTTTTAAAAATCCCAAATTCTGTAGCCGGTACGACCCTCGTGTTTCTGGCGGTCGTCAGGACCCCAGAATGACGAAGCACACAGACACAAACAGCACACCCAGTTTATAGCTCCAGGGCTGCTGCCGTTGGCTCTTAGTCAGGGTCCATTCATCCATTGCGCACAACTGCCTGTACCTCCTACAGTACACACCCTCTTTACTCCAAAGAATCAGAATCGCTCACCAGCGACACGAACAACCAAGTTCTCACAAGCATTCGATGCAGGCGCAACCTCATCAGCTGCAAATTGCTCTAGGTCATTTGCTGTAACATAGATCACCGCGATCAAAATCGCGACCGATTGCTCCACCCGTGGCGCAGCAGTCGACGCAAGTTCCAGTGTCCTCATCTCGACGACCAGACCTGGACGTCCGCCGAGTCCGCCGACCCCGAAACGATTCCGACTCTACAATCACGACACAAACTTCTCGGTAGTCAGGGAGCTTTTACAATGAGCACGTTCGCCAATTCATTCTGGTCTGCCGACTATGCTGGAGGTCTGAGAAGTCACCATCGCTGTGCCGCAAACATTCGAAACTTACTGATTTCTCTACGACAGGTCTGGGTGTACTTTTTGGAAAACTCCAGCAGGGCGTGCAAGAGAATGAACAGATCTTGACGGTGGCGCGTATGCGCGCAGACGCCGAAGACGCATATGGACAAAAGCTGGGAGATATCGAAACAGCCACGAATCGCATAGATGGAGGATTTCAGAGGGATGACGGCGCTAGCGTCAAGAAGGTATACTCAAATTAAGACATTTGCCTGTTTGACATGGCGCTAATTTGACCAGGCGTACGAAGGCGTCCGCTCAGAAATGGGCGAGGCTTCTCGCAATCACCGCAAGATCGCATCAAACATACGGGAGCTGGTGGTGAATCCGTTTGGCCGCTGGTGCGATCAACACGCCTCCCGCGTGCAGAACAGTCATGACGATCTACAGAGTCGGATTAAGGCCCACGATCGTCAGGCTGACACGGTCCGTCAATACCGGAGCGCATACTATAACAAATGCCGTCGCGTGGAAGATCTCGACGAGGAAGAAAAACTTGCTTTTCAGGATCCCAACGCAGCAGCTGTTGCGCCTGTTGGTTCGCCAACTTCGGCCACAACTAGTGTTCCGAGTATCAAAGTAGAGGAAGAAGCTGAGGCGGAGCCGATCGAAATCGGCGACGAGTCTTATGAGCCTGAACAGATCAAGAAGATCATGACACATCTTCTCAGCAACATCAGACTAGGCGAAGCCAAAGTGCCGATTCTTGGAACCTATCAAAACGTAACCACCGGCGCGGAGATCACCGAATACATCCAGAAACATCTCGGGGGCACAAGCATTTCCTATGCCGAACGTATCGGTCAAGATCTGATCACTCATGGATTTCTGCGCTTGGTCGGCAACATGGGCAATTCATTCGCAAACAGCAGCAAAATGAATTACCAATGGCGTCCGAAGGCATTTCAGTTGACTGGAATTCCAGAAAAGCGACCAAAGTTACTTGGACGGAATACTACCATGACAAACGGTTCTGACACTGGTTCGATCATCGACAGCCCTGTCATAGGAGACCGTGTCAGCGAGTACCTCGGCGGCTGGAATCCTCTCAATAATGCGCATCCCAACGAGACACCGGCCGAGAAGCTCAGGCGCGAAGGCCGCGAAGCCGATGAGCGGTACAAAGCTGCAGTCAAGAAACTCGACGGTCTGCGCTGCACCTTGGAGGAAGCCATGATCGATCACCTCAAATTTATGGAACGCTGCGAGCTCGACCGATTGAAGGCTATCAAGAGCGTCATACTCGATTTTAGCGGTGCTATCAGTAACGTCATTCCTTCGCTGCAGTCGACAGTCGATAATATGATGCTCTTTCAGGAGACTGTACAGCCGCTCGGTGACCTCCGATATCTCCTTGAAAACTACCGTACCGGTAGCTTTTTCCCTAAGGTTACAACATATGAGAACTATTACAACAATGTCGACGAGCTCACATTTGGTGTCGACATCGAAGCTCGGGCCCGAAGCGATCGCAAACGTGTGCCACATATCATCACGTCCATTTTGACATTCCTGGATTCGCACTATCCCGACCTCGAGGGTGACGAAGCGCGACGCAGCATTTGGATGGTGGAGGTACCTCTGGCTGCGACACATCACCTTCGCAACCAAATCAACACAGGCAAGCCTATTGATCCGGAATTACTTGACAAGTATGAGGTGCCAATCGTGGCCTCGGTCCTAAAGCTCTATCTTTTGGAGCTGCCTGATAGCCTCGTCAGCTCGCACGTGTACGAAATCATCAAGACCATCTATACCACGACATCGCAATCAGGCTCGGAGGAAGCCCGGGTGCAGGTCATCCAATCTACCCTTGGTCAACTACGACTGGCGAACATCGCTACTCTTGATGCTTTAGTGACGCACTTCACACGCCTGATTGACCTCACAAGTGCCGATGACGCCTACACTACTCAGCTTGCATCCGTTCTGGCGCCATGCGTCATGAGACCTAAACAGGAGACTGGACTGAGCATGAACGAGAAGTTCAACATGCGGTTGCTAAAAGACCTCTTTGCACACAAGGATGCGATCTTCGGCGAGCTGAAACGACAATCGACCTTGACGCACACTAACTCTGGTGCCACTCGTCAGGTGCGCGCAGTCAGCACCGACGAGTCTAAGCGCCGAGAGCACATGGAAGAACGACAAAGAGCCATTGCAGCTGCGACTCAGGTCAGCCAGAGACATCGCGGCGTGAGTCCCAGCGGAAGCACACGCATCTCTGGAGAGGGAGGTCACCGCAGGGATCGCAGCCGTGGCCCTGAGACCCGCTTCCCAGTCGCCGCCAGTGTAACGTCTAGTCCCACGACGACGCGGCACATGTCGCGCACTACGTCCATCTCATCCAGTCACCGCGATAGCTTGTTGGTTCCTCAAAGCCCACCAACTCTGCCACCTAAGAACGAGTTCACCGTAGACTCTCCTCGCACCAACGGAAGGTTCGGCTCGATCCATCAACCGCCTCCCCAAGACGACGAAGTTCCATTACGACAGCGGGCAGGCACGGAGGCTGCTAAGCGCATCTCAGTCGTGCCCGCCATGTCTGCGTCCATCTCTTCGCCTTCTGATTTCAATGCACCGGGACACTATTACAGCACCAGTCTTGATAGCCCGATTGGGCCGCCAGCCGATCGGGCTCTGGACGGCAGTACTCCTACGAAGAAAGACAGCCTTGCTCGCCGTTCCGCAGTTCCCCTGAAGAAGACTTCGGGTAGCATGAATCGTTCAAGTCTCGTTGGCACGTCCAGTCTGCCCTCGCGTAATGATGCCTCCGAGACTCCGGCCAGCACAGCCTCGCCAGTCGATCAGTCAAGCGCGAAGCCGCCCGCAGGCGTCCAGCTCGAAGACAAGCCCATGGATTTCGACTAGGATCCGGTCTCATGAGTCTCCTCAGAGTTATTGTCCAACTAAATTTTAATTTGCGGCGTTTGATGTATAATCTGACATTTGCTCAGCATTGCACCTTTATCACTGTAAGAGTATCGTGGAATCTGTATTGATTGACTTGGCCTGATTAAGATGTCGCAAGACAACGCTCCGCCTGTGATCGCTGTCATGCGTTTTCTAGCACATGCGGGTTTGCATTTCGTAAATGAAGGTAGCGTTTAGGTCATTTGTAGAATACAATGCATGTATTTCCTCGCTTATGGGCGCACATTCTGGCCATTCGCACTATTTATTCGTGGAGGTCGCACCCCAGTGAAACCGGCGCTTCCCTATCGTTCTCACGGTGTGATACAACAAGCCAAATGCCAGGATGTCGATGCCCATGCGTAGCGCATACGCGAAACAAAGCCGGCCACCGTATGTGCCAACGTCTACCCATGCGGCGTAGCTACCGCGACTCGCGACCAGCTCACCAATCGGCCCACCACCAAGAGGGCCGAATATGTGACCTCTCGACAGAAGGGCAAGTGGGGTCTTGGGGGACCGCATCTCTAGGAATATCGTTGCATTGATGCGTATCATCAGAGACTCGAGCGGCAACATGACAATATCCGAGATCCAGTCGTCAGTTCTCTTAGCAAGATAATATGCAGGCAAATGTGCTAGGAGGGTAGAACGATATTTGTCTGCTGTTTTCTCGTCAACAGACAACGCTGAGTCTTTCTGCACCAAGCGACTGCTCTCGAAGTGACCCTGGTCTGGATCGTCTGAATCCGAATAGTCCTGTCGTGTATTGGTCATTGTCCATCCCAGCCACTTCAGAATCGACGTACGTATGAGATAATTTCGATGTACGGTCCATCCGAAGGGATCGGAGATGAATGTTGGTTTCTCCACCTGCTTGTATCCATCATCTATGGGCGGATTGCGATAGGACGTGAACAAGCAAAACACCGGACTTTGCGGGCCAATAGGTGTTGATGCCTTCGTGGGTCCATCCTTGTAGCAACTGTGATAGAGGATCATCAGCACCGCCGGTGTCAACAACCTTCCAAGCTTCCCAGCAGAAACAAGCGGCTTCCAGGCAAGGCGATAGGCTGGTAAGATGCTTGTAGGCCAAAACGTGGATGCAAATGGTCTGACGGGAGCAAAACCCAATCGCTGTGCATCAGCATAGATTGTAATAGGCCACAGAGCAAATTCAAACATCAGTGACACCCCAACCCCGAGAAAAGGCAGTGCAGTAAAAATTTGCCGCTCTATTGCTGGTCGTACAAGATTGCCAGCTATGAAATAGTTTTGCGCGCGCCCCACGATTTGGTCGGTTGCGAGTAGAATAGGAATGTCCAAGAAGATTGCTCGAAATAGAGCGCACAAGCCAGGAAATAACCGCAGAACCCCTCCGACCAGACCAACTTGACTGAGAGCATGCCACTCATGCGTCAATATCGAGGACAACGACATGTGGGAAGGGTACAAGCCTATCTGAAGCCGGGCGATGAAGCCGCCGACCCACATATGTAATATTGGATATAGAAGCATGACCGTACTAATGCCGTCGCCAATGTCATCTTCGGCCTTCAAGATGTGATGACGGGTATGTCTCATTAGTCGGTGACTCTCTTCGCCGTCGCGGATGATCTTGTCCTTCTTCTCCACGACGCCGACGATAGCTAAGATTTCATTCTGAGCATGGCGTAGTTCTGCATCCAATTCGAGGCTTCGTGGATTGAGCGGTCTGCCTTTCGCATCATACTGCTGCTGATTCTCATCGTCGAGCGCATTCGCGCCGTTTACTTCTTGATCGTTTGCGAGGTCCTCAAATGCCGATCTCCCGAGCGCGAGTCGCGCAAGGTGCGCTAACCTTCCCATCACGAGGTTTATAAGGCAATGGGAATCAAATGGTGGTATACGATCTCACACGATTTATGCCGTATAATGTCACAAGTTAATTGCTGAATCATCAAGGAGACAGCGTGTACAGCCCTAGAGGTCAGTGTGCTGACGGCTGTCTGCTCGCAGCAGTCATGCCATGCGCATTGGTATGTATCGCTGCTGCTGCTGCTTTGAAGATGCAAACGGTATCGATCGTCGTTATATGGACTTCCAACAGTATATCGCATCAACGTTGGTTTGCTGTCTGGAAACCGCTTGATGTGAATCACTCCCGACGCCATCGTAGCCAGCGCGGCCATCAGCACACGCGGGCCGAACGGGTCACCGAGCTCCGACAGCCGCTAAGCTTTCTCAAGTAAACCCTAACCAGCCGATCCTGAAATTTTGATATTCGGCACGATGCGTATCATTTTACCAACATAAATTGTCATGTCGTCTTTCTTCACATTGCCCGCCTCGCAGGCGAAACGAAAACGCCAGAATGCCGAGAACAGTACACGTCAAACTTCGCGGACCGGCAAACCAGCGAGCAAAGTCCGAGATGAGTCCATCTCGGGCAGTGACATATCAGACGACGACCACAATGGACCCACCACCAGAAGTGACCAAGACGGGTTGAGCTCTGATTCCGATGGTGAAGAGTTTGCCAATGAAGTGCCATCAGCAAAGCGACTCCGTTTGGCAGAGCAATACCTTGCGAATACACAACGCGAGGTTCTAGACGAAGCTGGATTTGACGCCGCCGACATTGATGCGGAGAATTTGGCAGCCCGAATGGGCGAGCGCCTCAAAGAAGACACAGCTGAGACTAAAGGGCGGCTGTATCGTTGGATTGCGGACGATTTCGATTGGACCAAAGCCGAGCGCGCACAGTTTCGACATCATCAAAAATCGGTCAACGGCGTCGCGATCGCTGGCAAATTTGCATACACGGTGGGCAAGGATGGAATAATTGTGAAATGGGAATTAGCGGAAAAGAGCTCAGGCGATCAAAGAACGAGTAGGAAGCCTAGACGGGTGCTGGTGTCACGAAGGTTTGGACAAAAGGTGGCTCAGCACGCTGACGATCATACGAGCTCTATCTACTGCGTCGCAGCTTCGCAAGATGGGCGTTTCGTTGCGACTGGCGGCGCTGACCGGAAGCTTATCATCTGGGATGCTGCAACTCTGAAGCCTCTCAAAGTTTTCCCACAGCATCGTGATGCTGTGACCAGTCTGGCATTTCGACGAGGGACGAATCAGTTGTTTAGTGCAAGCAAGGACCGGACGGTGAAGACCTGGTCGTTGAACGAACTCACATATGTCGAGACTCTCTTCGGTCATCAGGACGAGGTTGTGGACGTCAGTGCTCTAACTGAGGAAAAATGCGTCACGGTCGGTGCACGAGACCGTACAGCGCGACTCTGGAAGGTCGTAGAAGAAAGTCAACTTGTTTTCAGAGGCGGAGGCGCACAAGGCAAATCGCGATCGAATCATCGCCACGGAAATGTCAGCGACGTAGAGATGGCTGAAGTCGAGAGGCATCACGAAGGATCGACAGACCGAGTTGCGTGCATCGATGAGGAGACATTTGTCACTGGTTCTGATAACGGATCGCTGTCGCTGTGGAACATTTACAAGAAGAAGGCAGTATTCACTTTGCCCCTCGCACACGGTCTGGACCCTCCCCTGCCTCTAGATGAGGTTAGTGCCGAGTTGAATCCTGAACAAGCCGTAGCTGGGAGACCGCAGGCTCGATGGATCACCGCTTTACGCGCAATCCCTTTCTCCAACATTTTCGTCACCGGAAGCTGGGACGGCTATGTGCGAGTTTGGAAGATCAGTACCGATAAGCGCCGCATCGAATCTCTTGGCCGAGTCGGGTGTGCTGCATCTTCTATGCACGAGCTCCTTGAGCAGGAAGGTTTGAGCTTGGACATGCTCTCAAACGATGCGCTGAAAGCGTTGACAGACGGGACTATCAAGAACGTTCGCGTGGAAGGAATCATTAACGACCTTGCAATAATCGACGTTGGCGATCGAGCCAGCGACGGCGTCATTGTCATTGCGGCTGTGGGCAAATCTCATCGTTTGGGTAATTGGAAGGAGTACAAGGAAGGGAAGAACTATGCAGTCCTGTTCGAGATCCCTCGACTCGTAAGTGGCAGCACAGAAAGCGATGCCAATACGGAGGACACGACCCAAACAATTGGGCATTCGGTTGCAGATTGATGTATGTATATCCATGCCAGGAAGATTGTAAAATTTTGATTGACGACAACGGATCGGCCAGCATTGCCTAGTGTCTGACGACTTGATTGCCTGCGTGAATGATGACAAAATCTCCTGCGAGAACGGAAAGTTCGAGACTCACAGTCTGGGGATTGCTTGAATTGGAGTTTGATCCAATCTATCGCCAATCAATATTCTACTTGTATGGCTGCAGCCTGTAAACACGGGTCGGGCTTGCAGCGCGATCCTTACGGCCATGAAAAACGAATATTGTCGTCCTTGAGGCCCTGTTCTACGATGTTGAGTCCACCATTCTTTATCATCCATTCCAATCGGTGATCGCGATATTCTCTTCGAGACCCCGAATGCGGCTTAAAAAGATTTCCGGCAGTTGCTGAGAATACTTTAGCGGCGGCGACCATTTCTGCGAATGTCTCCTGAACGCTGGGGATTGCGGAAACCCTCTCATGCCATTTCTGCAGTGGCGACCCCTTTTCTGGACCATAGCCGTTGACGACACTGCGATTGACGACTGCAGCGGCGGCAATGTCAGCATAGGTAAACTCGTCTCCAGCGAAGAATGGCTTGTCGCCTAGCTTCTCTGCCAGCCATGCTTGGAACTGTGCCGTCAATTTCTCGGCTTTTTCCAGCAACGCTTCGGCCTCTGCTCCTTCGGCCCGCCTAAACCACTTGATCTCTGCGATGGCCCAATTATTGGCCTCGTAATGGGTATCGCAGACCTCCTCAATCATACGGGCCTCGGCACGTAACCGCGGATCGCGAGGGAGTAGAGACTTTTGTTCCGGATAGGCATCTTCTAGATACATCAAAATGACAGTCGAATCGAAGACGCCAAAGGGAGCCTTGTTAGGGTCACTGGGAGTGACCACTAATGCTGGCACTTCCTTGCGTGGATTTGCTGCTGTGAAAGCTGCATTCTCTTGGCCGCCAAAGCTTGCAGGAGTCTCTTTGGTGAATTCGAGACCCTTCTCACGAAGTGCGATTCGAACCTTCTGCGCGTAGGATGACACCGGATGATCGAAGAGATGAAGTTTGTCTGGCGTCGCTGAAGACATTTTGTGCTGATGGTACGGATCTCCTAGAGGGATGTAGTTGATGGCTGTGCAGGGAAGATACTGTAGTCTGGGCAATACTACTGGATTATTGATTCGGTCGTCAACATCTCTTTATACATGCAGCTGTACGTAATAACTGCTGTGGTCCGCGAATCCATCGTGACCATTTGCAGACAAGTGATCGTCGTTCAAGTCCCACAATGCCCCGCACTGACGTTGTCTGCGCGTGGGAACGTCCCTCCAAGCAGTGTGTTTGGTCATCCTGATCTGCATGTATTTTGTGGGATCGAATCTGCTCTACCAGAGAACCATACATCAATCACTATAGATATTCGCCATACAAGCGCCCGACATGTCCAAAACTGTACATATCACATCTCCCGGCCAATTCTCCACCCTGCTCAACTCCTCTCGCGTAGTGGTCGTCGACTTCTTCGCGGACTGGTGTGGACCATGCAAGGCTATTGCTCCGGTGTATGAGCAGCTGTCCGCGCAGCTGAGTCGCCCAGGACAGATCACCTTCACCAAAGTTGACACCGAAGCACAAAAGGCGATCGCAAGCACATACAACATCAGCAGTTTGCCGACGTTTGTCATCTTCAAGGCCGGACGAGAAACGAAGCGCATCACAGGTGCCGATCCCAAAGGGCTAGATGCAGCGGTGAAACAATTGGCGCGGGAAGCAGGGGAGGCAGATGCCAGCGGTGCAGGAGCCAGCAGCAGTTCTGGGAGCGGAGAGCGATGGCTAGGCGCGGCCGCTCCGCGAGCATATGGCGACATCACCGAGCAGGTGGAGATCCAAGGACTCGACTTCCTCAATGTGGATAGCCAGGCCGGCGCGAAGCGAGTCCTGTTCGCAAATGAGAAGCCTTCATCGTTGAAAGATAGTAAAGGAAAAAGCAAAGCGGCCTCCGAAGGAGAGGCCAAGGATTGGATCGAAAGTGACACAGATGAACAACTCATGCTGTTCATGCCATTCCAGGCGTCGATCAAGCTTCACACGATTCATTTGACTTCTGTACCCGTTGATGATGACGAAATTACGCGACCAAAGACTGTTCGGCTCTATTCAAATCGCAGTCATGTACTAGGTTTCGACGAAGCCGAAGACACGGCCGCCACACAGGTCATTGAGATACAAGAGTCCGATTGGGATGCTACGACACACACCGCCAAGCTCGAACTCCGCTATGTCAAGTTCCAGAACATCAGCAGCCTGGTCATGTTTGTCGAGGATGGTGATGGCGATGGTGAAAAGACGCGCTTGGACCGGATACGGCTTTTTGGTGAGACTGGAGAAAAGCGCGCAATGGGCAAGCTGGAAAAGATTGGCGACGAGCAGGGCGAGTAATCGGAGGTTCTATACACTTTTCCCCGTCCCCTAAAAGTTTAGTGAGGCAACGTCTTTGCAACAGATCTCTAGTCATGATAGGGGGATTGCGGGTAGTGGACATCACTAGACCTTACGAGAGCGCAGCGACTTCTGAAGGATGTTGGTGTGAGCTGGTGTAGGTATGATTACTGTCATAAGAAAAATACGTAGCGAGGAGTGTATGTGTAATGAGCGTGTCACATCAGTCGTTATTTACACCCACCATGGATTTTTCAGTATTGGGATTCGTCAAGACGTGATCATCGTAGTGGGGCGCTGAATCCAGACGCCTACAGCATGGAAGACACAGTGGACATACCTTTCCTCAACAGGAACCATTGCCGCGTTTTGCTAAATCTCGAGAAATGCTTGCGCCGTCCGCCATGGCTCCCAAAAATGCTCAGAACAGCAGACACGCGATCGACCTCGTCTGACAGCAATTCGATGCTTGCAGAACATGCTACGAGTCGCACATCATGCCCTAGTCTCCTAGAATCGCTCTTATCAATGCTTTGATCGGCGACCGGGTCTTTCCCTTCTTGCCCTCAAGTCCTCCTCAAATACGCTCTCGTCCTCCTCAGGCAGCGTATCAGGCAAGGGTGTCTTCCTTTCCCTGCGCTGGCGGTGCCTGCGTCCTCCAATCTGACTCGCGCTGTCGTCTGGTGCCAAGCTGGCCGTGTCGCCGAGTCCATCGTCGTCTTCCTCGTCAAAGTCCGTGATGCCGCTGGCGGGTGTATCGAGCCGCACACCGACAGGATCTAGACCGTAGCCACCACGTCGAATTTGAGCTTGAGCTGCTAGACCAGCCGATCGCTCTCGAAGCATTTGTCGGACCATCTCTGCGCGGCCGTGCAAGGCTTCGAAGGCGTCTTCAAGCCGCTCCATATCGAGAAAGAGATTACGCTCGAGCTCAGCAGCAACGGCGATCTCGGTATCCTCATCCAATTGCACGGGAGCAGGAGGGGCTGCTCCCATACCGCCCAGACCAGATAACCCACCGCCGTTATGAAGTAAGGATGGGTCTGTGTGCAATGAGCTACGTGTTTGACCAAAGGGTGTGGTCGTGCGGGACTGCGTCGACCCAACACCACTGAAAGGCGTCACATTTCTCGAGAACGGCGTCATATTGGGTCCTCGCGACGGCGTTCTCGATGGTGCAGTTTGAAAAGGTGCCTCAGCACCGGACCACAAGAAACCATCAAAACGACCTGATATAAGAATCTCCCATTCGGCTTCATTCACTTCTGCAAGCGTCGCTAGCATCCCGTGAAGATGTGGGTTATGCAGGAGATACATGGCGCTCTCGCAGTCTCGTGGTGCCGTTTCAAGGCGATACAAGCGCTGCAGTGCCATCTTGGCCCTTCGAAGGGCATTGGACGAGGTCGACGGACGCTCAGCAGGTGTCGGAGCTCGAAGTTCTGAGATGAAGTTCTGGCCATGCATGAGAGCAATGAAAATATTCCGCTGTCGCGCATTGAGCTTTGTCATCATGGCGAACATCAAAGTATCTTCGTCTGCTTCCTCGGGCGGACTGCACGGGAAATCTGGCTGCTGGGCCAGCCAACTCTGCACCGCACGCTTGGTCTTTTGATTTTGTCGAATATAGTGATCCCGATACTCTTCTGGGACGTCGATGTCGAGTTTCTGCATTGGCGCCTGCGTTGAGCCGAGACTGCCGAGAATGCCGCTATCAGAATCCATGGAAAAGGGAGGCCACTGGGGTAACTCGCGGCGGCCAGCGACAAATTCGAGGATTTCACCCCAGCTAAATCCACTATCTTCCTCGTCCGACATGCTAGATTGCTGTGTTGTCTTGCATATAACGCAGTCACAGCGTTCCGACGATATGTCTCTGGCGAACACCTGTGAAAGCTTATCTAGCAAACGCCTGGCTACAGATTTGTAGCCAGTGGCGACAGCAAGGGAGCCATGCTGTTCCAGTACGGACAAATAGTCGTCCAAGCGTTTGTGTATTGAGGAGAAAATTTTCGAGTATGCCTCGACAGGTGCTACTTGCTCAGCTGCTGAAGACTGGTAGAAGCTGTATTGCTGTATTGGGTTCGCAGGTCCGTTCGGGATCAGATGTTTCGGAATCGTGTAAGGTAGGCCGCCATGTTTAAGGAGATAGTCAACCCTCGGGGCTGGCTGAAGTCCATTCGGAGGGGGAGGAGGCGGCGGCGGTGGAGGAGGAGGAGGAGGAGGAGGAGCTGCTACTTGTGCATGTGGTGCATGTGGTGCATATCGGGCTGTTAAAGGAGTTCCCGACGCCGGGAAGGTGCTCTTGTTGGCCACGCCCACGTCAATTACTGGTGTAGCCTTTGAACTTTGGACAAATCCATGATCTTGAATAGGTGTCGGTGGAAGCGATTCGTCGTGTGGCGATGACGGCTCACCCGACCGGATCTCGACATGAGCCCGCCTTCCGGTTTTACGGTCTGGCGCCACTGAGGTAGCATCGGAGTCGGTCGTGGTATCGTCAGTGAGTATCGATTGGTTTTTCGAAGCTCGTGATGTGGTAGATGCGGTACGTCGATAATTGCTATTCGGGGTCGAGTTCCTCTCGTCTTCGGGGAACGCGCCTGGCATACTTGAAATTTCCGATACATTGAAATGGGCCTCTTTCGTAGCCGATTGATTTTGTCTGGTTGGTTTCCCTCCATTGATTCGTGTCTCGGCCTCACCGCCGTCCCTAGACGACTTCGGACCAACCTGTCTGTCATCTCGCGCGCCGGTCCTACTCCGGTCACTCCCTGATCGCTTAACCTCCGGGTTGCCTGCGCTTAGTGGTGGACTCGGCGGTGAACGCACAGCACCCGCAGATTGTGCAGAAATCGAACCCTTCCTCGTCATCTCTTCTCTTACTAGCTCTGTGATATCTATCGTGCCTTGCGCTGCATGGGCGCCAGTAGCACCGATGTCCTCTCTGCTCCCGACTGCTTCCCGACTGTGAGCTTTGCTGAAGTTCGGATAGTTTGTCATCGACCGGACATCACCGCTAGGCCGGCGATCCAGCTCCGGCATAGCCAACGACATTTTTCTCGCGGAGACCCGCTCCGATAGGCGTCCAGATGTTGAAGGTCGGGGTGGGTCCCGGTCCCGGTCACGGTCCAGCCGTTCTCTGCTTTCTGCATGCGACGAGCCATGCAATGGTAATTTACTCTGACTTGAGGATTTAGATTTGTGAGAAGAACGAATTTTCTCGCGAGAGCCGGTTAAATCGCGATCACGCTCACGATCCCGCTCGCGCTCAGGGTCGTGTTTGCGACGTCGGCGCGTCTCCTCTTCGCGAGAGGAGGGCATATTGAAGATCCTGGCGGGCACGCTCTCACGGGCATTTGGAGAAAGTATGCCCTTCTGTCGGCAAGCCGTCTCCAGGTATCGTGTCCAGCGGCGGCACTACCGGAGTCCTGCTATTGGTCGCAAGCCAGACAAAGTTCCGTGAAGCAAGCCTTTTCCGAGTGTCCCTCCAATCGTTGATGGTGCTGCCAATCTGCTGTGCCGCGTGCTTGCAGCATAATGTGATGAAGTACCTATGGCTGCTGCGTCTAGATCATCGTGGTTTCAATTTATCGCTGCGAGAATGGTTGGCCTGCGAGAGACAGTTGAATGTTCTTGCCGCGTTCAGAGATGAACGTGATCATGTGTGCGTTTATTGAAGACAATAGCGGGCAGTGTGCGCCTTATTGCCCAAACTACACACGACCACAGCACCGTGCACAATTCGACGTCATCCCACCCGCAACAAGATTCCACCGCTGGAAAGCTAAAATCAATGTATGCGCTCTCGAGCACATAATCAATCCATGATTCTTCTATGGACCTATGACTACTGAATAGCATGCGGATTTGGTCGGAGTTTTTGGACTCGCGATACATGTCATCGTACATAAATGCCGAGCAGCTTTCTGGTACTGGCGACATACGCGCCGGCGTTGTTCCCAGAAATAATTGACTTACGGGCACTCACACTGTGAGAGTGATTCTGATATCAGCTCAAGCAGTCCACGAACCTTTCCCAAGACATGAGCAGCAATCCAATATGATGAAAATTGTACGTTCCTCATGTACTCCAGTGGGACCTTGGAATGATACAAAAACAGGGGCACATAGCGTACATATTGATGATGGACAGAACGAAAGAGTGTCGATAGTGGGGCAAAGCTGCCAATCAACATTGCTCTGTTCAGCCCAGCATCGCATTCCAGGTACAGTAAATTTTGCGAGCGGTGATGTACGAGATTGTCCCTCGGTTGGCAATTCCCAATGTTCAGAATTAGAATAAGAGCCACGACTCACGCCTCAACTTATCCCGTACAACTTTCAAACTATGTGATGTTTCACGTGACAAAAGCTTCACGTTTGATAGGAAACTTCTCGCTGCAGCAACAAAGCGCCAATGTGATCGGTCTCTTGACGAAAGGACAAGGCAGAAATCAGGGATTGTCCAGCGCAGAGCGAACGACCTCAACAAGTGATGTGAATCGCGCTTGCGCAATAGCAGCATGGTGCATCGGCAGATTGATTCCAATCTGCGGCAACGCGCGAGCACACCTAGCCAGAGGGACTCGATGACCCGTATGAAACGAACCACCCCACTATCCGTCCACCACGTCCCGCAAATGATCATCGAGTACCGTCAAAAGGTCGAAAAGATCCCTGCAAAAGATACAGCAAAGCATGTGAGTTGACTAAAGCAGGCGTTCATCATGCACGGGCTTCTTGGGTCGCACACGTCCATTGCCCGCTACCTACTACCATCGGTCGTGTCTGCATTCCCGCATCGTGACGCGATGTCCAGCAGAATCTATATATCTATGACGTTGCCGTCCAGGCCAATGTCTCGTCTTCTGTACATGCTAAGAACAAAATTGTTCATAATTCATCTATTCGCTCCATCTTGAACATATCTGTGCTCCCCAAACACCCCTCGACCAAGATGGCAGCCGAAAAGCAAGAAGGCGGACAGGCCACTTTTGACCAATCAAAAGGGTATCAGAAGAAGGAATTGGACTCGCCCTATGTTCGTATCCCAATCACTCGTCTCGTTAGACAAGCACGAGAGGACAGCAACTCACATAGCCAAACGAATGTAGTACAACGACGGCCGCGAGATCCAACTTCTGCACTTCGTCTACTCACACCCCAAGCTTGAATCATTCCGCAACTCACCCCAGGGTGTCCTAGCCGCGATCGATGAATATGGCCGAACAAAGAAATATCTGATGAACATTGGCGAGGACAAGGGAAAGATCGTTACTGAGGTCATCGCTGAGGTTAAACCCGCAGTGATGGTAGAAGTGGGCGCATATGTCGGGTACTCTGCCATTCTCTTTGCCGATGCAGCCCGTCGCGCTGGAGGCAAGGCATACTATTGCTTGGAGCACAACCCAGAGTTTGCTGCAGTAGTGGCATCGCTCGTCAACCTTGCCGGCCTGGGAGACTTTGTGAAGGTTATTGTTGGTGGTGGCTCTGACTCGTTCACACGCTTGAAGCGCGACGGAACCTTCTCACACATCGACCTGCTCTTCCTAGATCATCTCAAGGAATTGTATGGTCCTGACCTCAGGCTTGCTGAGGAGCTGGGCTTAATATCAAAGGGCTCTGTTGTATGCGCAGACAACGTCATCTGGCCCGGAACTCCAAAGTACCTGAAGTACGTGAGAAGTTCTGTTGAGGAGAAGCGAAATGCTCCAGCGCCAGAAGAGGGACAGCGGAAGGGTAACCCGAACCTGATTTATAAGAGCGAGCTGAAGGAAAGCTTCGAGCCGACAGGCGAAAGGGTAAGAATCTTGAATTTTCCATCCCGTCAGTCCCGATCTTTTACTAACACTTTTGATCCAGGACGGAGTCGAAGTCACAAGGTGTCTGGGCGAAGAATCTTCCGCATGATCCACATTCGGAATGCGCGCTCAGGAACTGAAGGTCGCCGGGTTCTTTGGGAGGTCGTATGCCTGGCAGTGTGAATGTCGATTGAGGCCAGTATCAACGCACTTCATTCGCCAACGTCTAGCACACGGCTCCATTCTGTGTAATCCGTCCTCTTGAACTCGACACCTTCGCCAAAATATCCCGCATCGTTCCAAGCTTTCATCATCGTCAAATCGTACGGCCCATGCTTTTGACCACCGTCTCGCGCGTCGCTCCATCGATACTCCCACGAAGCACTAGAGAGGCTCCCTGGATTGCTCTCACGTGTCTCCGCAGGTGCTTGCCAATCTTCGCCCGTTTCACGTCGATATTGGCGTCTCAGTAGCTCTCGTTCGACATCGTAGATATCATGCTGGCCACGTGTGTAAAGTCGATCTGCGGCGCCGGTAATGGCTGCAACAGCCTGCTTTCTGACGACCTCGGCGGGTGTGTCTGCAGCGGCCTCGGTTGGGGCCGCGTTCTTCGAATCTGCTTGTCCTCGCATCTTTTTTTGCTTCCACAGTGGTACCTTTGCTTCTTTAGTTTTCCCTTTGTTCAGCCGCTGTAGTGCCTCGAGAGACGTCTCTCCGGTCTCAAGATTCTGTATTAAAGTCGAAAGTAGATCACTGCTCAGTACTGCGTCATCCTCGAGGGCTTTGCGCCTTTGGTCGTTCTCACGACGTTCTTGAGCTTCTTTCGCCCGTTTCATGTCTTTCTTGCTAAGACCTTCCAGCCAGTTGTCATTCAGCGCATCGGGATCGACGGCTTTGCGCACGAAATTGAGTGATTCGTCGAAACGTCCCTCCTCCTCTTCTGCTTTCAAGTTGAAGGCTTCCAACCTTGGCGCATGTCGCTTCTTGCCACCTGCACCAATCTCTGCCGCGAGGTCATCTTCCATTTCCGCAGGAAGCTGATCGCGCTCCTCCTCATCACCCGATGATTCATCTGACTCGGAATCGTGCTCCGATAGCTCACCCTCTGCGTTCGGGCCAAAATTAGTTGACACACGACCGCCCGAAGTACTATCCATGTTTTGTCCCTCGATTTCTGTATTGTCCATGAACCTCACATTCTTCGCTCTTAGCTTGCCTTCCTGCCTGAGCTCCTCGTCATCGTCGCCATCTGGCTGATCTTCCTCCACCTCGGCAAACATGTCGGCATCCTCCTCATCTTTACTCTTTTCTTCATTCTTCTTCTGTCGTGCTTTGGCAGCAGCGCGAGAATTGAAGTTGTCATCGTCGGAATCTGACTCGTAGCCATCGATATTCACGGCATTCCGCTTGATCTGTCGGCCTGATTTTCCGATGACATCAGCATCGAGGACAACATCATCTTCTGGTGCGTCAGCGGCGAGAGTGCTGGGATTTCGGTAGTCAAATCGCGGTTTCTTTGAAGTGTCGTCATGAATACGAGCAAAATCGTCGCCAGCGCGCTTTGGACGCACAGATTCAGCCATTTGGGGAATAAGCTTCTGTAGAATGCAGACAAGATCATGCGACTGATAAGTCAACGCTTTCATGCATCCATCGGCCAAGATCTAGCAGTCGAAAGTCTGCATGTGGTACAGTAGGCTAGCTCAGGCATGAAGCTTAGCTCAATGATGAATTCCACGGTTCTGTATAATGACCTTCCCAAGAATCCGGGCGACCTTGGAAGCCCGCCCGGGCACGCTGGATAAGGGCTGACTCATGTGTATTACATATGCAGGGACCGATTTATCGATAGTACATGTACAGATTAGCACTGTATGGTAAAAAGATGTGGCCCAGCGGATCACATGAAAATAGTCTACAATAATAGCATGGGTGCACAAATACATATGGATACATGCAGAGCACTAGGGGATACTGGGAATGCTCAGGCGGCGGGTTTCAACTGTATGCAGTCATGCGGTTCGCTTCGATTACACGGTGCCGAGGCGCGCTATGGGTTTTGGATTTCCAAGCAGTCACATCAGGCGACGGCGATTAGCAAGCCACGCGGGTCTTTACATCGAGCTGTCTAGTCCTCGTCTCGCGCCCTGGTCTCGCCTGCCGTCATAATATTGTTGCAATACACTCAAGATTGCCTGGCGCTCGTGAACCTCAAACAAATGTGAATTATGGAAACGGCACAGATGGGACTTCGCAAGGCTGTCCATCGATGCTGATTTCGACGATGCGCCCGTAAGATGGACTTCCACGCTGCGGCCCCATCATTCGCCAACGACAGCTCTCGATGGCGCGCAATTACTCACCGCGATCTGAACGCACACTGGTCCTTCATCTACGGAGTCACCTCGACGAAAATATATTGCCGACCGACTTGTTCCGCACGCGTGGCCCGGCGAGCTAACGTGAAGTTTTTCGACGACATCCCGGCTGCGCGCCGTGAAGGATTTCGACCCTGTGTTCGTTGCAAACCGGATGAACAAAATTTCCTTGGAGAGCGTGAAGAGGTCGTGATCCGTACGCTAGCTCTACTGCAGAGTCATGATGGAAGAGACCTGATGCGAAATGAAGGCCTGAGCGGTTTGGCAAAAGCCGTGGGCGTCACGACCAGCTATTTGTGTCGAGCCTTCAAAAAGACTGTAGGCAAGAGCGTCGGCGCCTACTTGACGGGGTTCGAAACGGGCCCTAATGACTATCATGGATCGAGTGTTGCCGGCGAACCGAATGATATCGGAAAGCTCTCCATGCAGGCTGCTCCATCGTTCTCTGAAAGCGATGTCACGGCGTCGGAGTGGTCGCCGATGTCGCGAAAATCACCTAAGTCAGGTCTCATTGAGACTGTCGCGACTACGTATGCAACCCCATCAACGCTTGAAATTGATTCTCCGCACACCGACCCTGGCTTTGTTTCGTGCGACAGCAAAATTTCTTCACAAGGCCTCCTGGATAACCCAAGTCTGACGCACGACTCTGTTTTCGAAACCGATCCTGAATCAGCAGTTAAAGCGATGGACTCCCGGCAATACTTGAACATGGCACCTTCCTCGACATCAGTGAAGACCTGCGGAGATCCGCTTATCGCAGGCTTTGACTTTGATGATCCGATCTGGAACGAGTCTATTATAATTGGTCCCACTGGGTAGTCGCAGACTCGATCTCATGAAGCATTAAATGAACCATCGTGTCCAACAAGGTCAACTTTCACGCCGCACCCGTGATAAACGGGGTGCTTGAGGGGTTTTGTTGATATTCTAAAGGAGGTTCAATGCCTCGGCGCAGAAGATGCCTAAAATCGATGATGACCAGACCTGATCAGGCTGTCGAGTAACCTCCAGGGCTGATTCGAATCTGTGCAGCACCGCTTCCACGGCTATGCCGGTCACCGTACGATTAACGTCGGGTACACGGAAATTCAAGAAGACGCATGGGCGGGCAAGGCCGAACTCATATTCGAGGCAAATGGCTTATTAAACAAATTTTGCTGCAACCCAAAAGTCCACTGCCTTAGCTATCAGTGGGCAGAAGTTGCGAAGAAATATGTCGAAAGCTCGACAGATGATTGAGGACTTGGGAAACTTCCCCAGAGGGATCGACAAAATATGTTGTAAGACCGAAACATATCCTCGAGTCACAGAACTGCGTGCCGAAAAGCACATGGCTTTATTGAGACGCCGCAGAGATATTGGAACCGCAGCAATGCATCGGCAAGATGCGACAGTACACGGATTGCGTGGGATCGATTGTGGTAGAAGTACATCCTTTGCCGGACGGGTTTGACAGAGCCTGCCACGGCGTGACACATGTATCAGTATTGAGCATTTTTTAATTTTACGTAGTGACTGCTCTTCTGCTGCCGGCAGGCCCGGACCTGAGCGAGACGCCGATTTTTTCAAGAGTGAACCAATCCAAAGCGCCAATTGACCAACTCTTTACGAACCTGCGTGTACATGGGAATCGTGCTGGCTTTCCTAAACATATCTTTGGTAATTTCGTGTCAAGAGACGAGCAACCCTCTTAAGCAATTGTAGTAACCGCACGAACTCGTTGACGTTGCAAGACGTGGCTAGCGGACGTTTTTGTTTACTTGTTGTGACCGACTCGTTCGAACTCCACCTGCGCTTACTCAAAGCTCTTTGGGACGATTGTATTTGTTGTGGTCCTAATGTCAGGGAGCACGTCTTAGCAAACCAACCGAACATTGCAAAAACGTTCTCGATTGCTGTCTGATAGATCTAAGAAGATGAAAGCATGCATGTTTCATAATCGCTTTAAAACCACTCCCCTTTCATTGAAGCCATGCTTGTGAAATTTTATGTGGCCTATCGTGCTGGTCAACGCAGCCGCGGTCATAGCCGATTCCGAATCATTTTCCTCCTCGTGGAGCGGTCGTGAGTCTAGTTGAGGGGGACTGCAGGCTCGAAGAGTAAAGGATAGACAGCGAGACGGGGCCGCAGCGTGATCGAGAAATTCGATAAACAATCTCCACATTTGTGTGGCAGTAGCGTTCTCAAACCACCTGGGCACACTCGGACAAGCCTCCCGAACAGAAGAGCAGCCCGGACAAGCCAAAAAGCGGTACTGCCAGCCAGAACAGTGGTCCCGATGTGATTCTCAGTAACAAGTCCCCCCATTCTGGCGTCTACTATTTTTTCGACGACGATCACGCCGGCGGAGGTGGCTATAGCACTCCGGGCGCAGATATTAGCCGGCCATTCAAAAAATCTGGCGTTGTCCGCAGGCGCCGACAGATTCGCCTCGCTGTCGCCAAATTCTCGAGGTCGTGTCCAGCGTAGGATAAAACTTGCCACCACCACCAGAGCGGAGGTCACTATCCGAGATAACGCGGCTCGGGGAGACGTTCATGTCTATGCGGGCGACGATGGAGGAGCTTGCATCCGTTCCACAGACGGCAAACCGAACGGTGATACAGTTGTTTCAAGCAATCAGCAACTGGTCGTCGAGTTTCATTAAGTTTGGTATTAGCAACTCGGGTGCGTTTTAACAGAAAAGCTGCATGCAGTCTGTTCTATTCGTCTTCCTTGTGGGGCCAAAGCAGAAAGGGTGTTTCGTTCGTGTCCGCCATTCTTCAAGCGACTTCCTCGACCAATTTCATTTCGACATCCTCCTTCTCCGTGTCTACCTCACTTTTTGTTTTCGTGGAATTCGCAGGAAGTGAGAAGACCTCCCCGACAGGTCCTGCTAACCACTCCTCTGGAACTGCGACCCGGGAACCCGCAGAATTTGATATCCACCGTGTGAAGAGAGGGTTCGAAGGCTCCTCATAAATTGCTGAAGCACCATCTGCGAGGCCATCCTGTCCAGAGGCGGCGTTGCTGCCATCCACGCCTGGCGTTCCGCTTTTTTTCTCACTACCAGCTGACCTCGCGGCCTTCAATTGGGCGGCAATAATTTCGGCACGGGTTTTTTTCTTGGAGGCGGGTTTCAACAGGAGCTTGTTGATGGTGTCCAACTGTGGTTTTTGAACGGATTAATGAAATGAATTCATCATGGAATCATACAAAGTACATGTACGACAACAGGCAACTTACCTTTTCCTCTTCATTTCGCTTCTCGCTGAGGTTCTTCCTCCTGCGAGCCATTTCTGCACGTCGTACGGCATGTTCCTCTGCTGTGAGATGCTTCTTCTTCTGTGCTTCATTAGAAAGCGCCAGAAGACCAATATCCTGGTCGTCTTCGTATGCGCCGCGTTGTCGTTTTGTCAACTTTGTAAGATCAGGCGTAGCACTTCTGGAGGCGTCATTGTCGCTATCTTCTTCGCCCGCGGCGTCATCGTTCGCGTTGTCTACTCCGTCTTCCTCGTCCTCCTCTTCTTCATCTTCATCCTCATCGTCCTCCTCTTCCTCGTCCTCATTATTAATCGATTCTAATTCAGAGAGCTCTTCATCGTCATCGTCGTCGTCATCCATTTCCTTTCTCTCCACACTCTTGACGGGACCTGGGACATGCGGACCGCTTACTACAATATTATTGCCTGCTTTTCCTGCGGGTACTTGTCGTATGATCGGCGGAGGAGGGTGGACTTGAATATCGTCCATGTCGTCGTCTTCCTCTCCGTCGGCGTCCTCTTCACTGTCTCCCATCTCCTCGTCCTCGTCCTCGTCCTGTTCTTCCTCCTCACCGAGCGCATCTTCAAGATCGTCGTCCGTATCGGGCTCCACAACAGTTCGTGGATTTCGCGTTGAGCGTGCTCCTCTCCGTTGAGCCTGCGGCGCGGGAGTGGCATCACTGTCACTCATGGTCGCGATCTCACTCTGATCGACCAAGGATTCTGTTCGCAGAGGCTGCCAATGAATTGTATTTGATCCTCTATGCGATTTGCTGGCGCGCCGATCAATAAGTACTGCGCCGAGTGTTGCCGGGCCTTGCTTCGAGTAAATCTGGCGTCGGTGCTAAAGCGGAGATGATGCTCGCATTGATCGCTAAAATGGATGATTGCCCGTCAATGTGTGCGTTGTCTGATCCGACAGGCGCAACACAATAGACTTGAACTTCTATGAACTTCAATCGCGGAGATCACGACGCGTGTCATACGACCTAGTACCGCAATCACCTGCGTTCCGGGCAGAGCATACTCCAGATTTATGAGCTCGACACGACGGTGCAGCTTTTCGAAATCGCATGCCCGTGGTGAGCAGCTCTGCTGCGGAAGAACCCTAGGAAACCACTCCGCCCGGCGCAGGGCATTTAATCCACTTCCGGTCCATGCACGACTTGCGACATGATTGATTACAGTAGATGGTTTGCAGAGCGCTAGATTGGAGCATCGCGGCCATCGTACCCGTATATTATAGAGCAGACTGATTCACTCATGTCGCGAGAATGCAAGATGCGCAGGCAGGCATACCGAATTCCTACGGACGCTTCAAATCGTAGCCTTGCTACAAAAACTGCTATGATGTCTTTGCTTGCTACCTCAGGTCTACATTTCCATGTCTACTAAACGAATCATTCGAAGGCTTACGGCTCATCTCATCGTGGGTCGTCTGTGAAGTATAATTGCGAAACAGCATCCGATAGGCATCTGGACCCAGCAACTCCTCGTGACGAGATGCGTTCAGCCCTGAAGCCGCATCTAACCGGTGCAAGTGCCAAAATACTTCGTCGTGTTTGCCACGATTCCACTGCATTAATGCCGAGCAAGTAGTCATATGACTGCCCGGGCGTGCAGCACAACCTTGGGAATCACGACAAGCGTAGATCAGCAACGGCTCGATGGATACTTATGAATGTCGGTGGGCTTGCGGAGTTCCTACTGCTTCACAGGTGATCCATGGGGCGGCTGGTATGTTGTGTTTGTGTTTATTTTCATTATGGTAAGGGCAACCCTACAGTATCGACCCCGCCGACGGCGCCCGCTGCCATTTTCTCCGCCATCATCAATGCGGCGCACAGCCCATGAAATCTGTCCACGGCAAATGGTGGGGCAGGATTATTCATTCGTTCATCCTCCGCCCGTCGGCGAACCAACCACAGTCGTTGCGTTTGTCCAACATTTCATCTAGACACCCTCTGGGCCCTCCATACTTACGCCGCGGACCCTTGGCGTTCCTGCAGGTGGCAGATGAGTGTCGCATGGCGCGGATCTTATCTGGTTCCCCCATCGATAAGTTGTCATACGCTTCCGTCACGAGATGTTCACGTCCATTGTCAATAGGTAATCGATATGCAAGTGTCCAACATTGACCGGTGACAATCAGCCTGCCCGCTACCGCCATTGAGATGACCCACTGCCATCAATGCGACTGAACGGTCGCGAAAGCCACGATGCCTTGCTGACAATGTGTCACTGCTGATCATCACTGTTGATACCTGGATCGTTTTTTCTGTCGAGTGTGGAAGAACGTAGTCCGGAGACAGTAGTGGGCGCATTACTGTAGGTTTGCCTCTCGCCCTCTGTCTGGCACTTGCCGGTCTCTGATGTGGGTCCACGATTTTGTTTCATTACGCTTGTCTTTTCTCTTCTCCTTCTATTCCCGATCGCCTTCCTTTCCTTCATACATTACCACCGACTGTCCTCCCCGAGCGCTCGTTTTGAACACTCCCTGTTCACTGTTCGGCCTTGCATCTCACGAAACTTAGCAAGCACTTCGCCTGATCCACAAGATTCCTTGCCACCTTTGACAAACTCGAACAACATGGCGCCAGGCGCGATCACGACCACTGAGGTCTCCAATGGCCATAATTCTGCCGATGTCTCCTCTAACAAGGCCGCCAAAAGTTCCTACCATGCTACCAGCACTGCTGCGGCGATGTCTGCGGAAGCCGAACACGCCGCCCACAACTACCACCCTCTACCAATCGTATTCGCTCGTGCCAAAGGTGTCTCTGTATGGGATCCTGAGGGTAAACACTACCTCGACTTCCTCTCTGCATATTCCGCGGTCAACCAGGGTCACTGCCACCCGCGTCTCGTCGCCGCATTAACAGAACAAGCGAGCCGTCTGACCCTTTCCAGCCGTGCCTTTTATAACGACGTGTTTCCTAAATTTGCCGAAAAGATTACCTCCATGACCGGCTTTGAGATGGTCCTGCCGATGAACACTGGTGCGGAAGCAGTCGAGACTGGGATCAAGATTGCTCGAAAATGGGGATACAAAGTCAAGGGCATTCCGGCAGGCAAGGCCTTGGTCATGGGCGTAACAGACAATTTCCACGGCCGCACTTTTGGTGCTATCACTCTGTCCACTGACCCCGAGAGCCGGGAGAACTACGGACCTTACCTTCCGGGCGTCGGTGCCGTATGCCCGTCAAGTGGCAAGGCGATACCGTTCAATGATGCGGCGGCTCTGGAGGCCGCCCTGGAGGTTCATGGGAAAGAGACAGCAGCGTTCATCGTCGAGCCGATTCAGGGCGAAGCGGGTGTAGTGGTTCCTGCAGAGGATTATCTTCAGAAAGTCCGTGCACTTTGCACAAAACACAACGTTCTCCTCATATGCGATGAGATCCAAACCGGAATTGCTCGAACGGGGCGCCTTCTTGCGCACGAATGGGCCGGCATCAAGCCCGACCTCGTCTTCCTGGGAAAGGCGATCAGCGGAGGCATGTACCCCGTCTCTTGCGTGCTAGGTTCAAAAGATGTGCTCCTGACCATCGAGGCCGGTACTCATGGCAGCACATACGGTGGCAATCCCTTGGGAAGTGCAGTGGCTATTGCTGCATTGGAAATTGTCGAAGAGGAGGGCCTCGTGGAGCGAGCGCAGCGATTGGGCGAGGTTTTCCGCGCAGGCTTGCAGGATATCCACGACGATCCACGAACAGGTGGTGTTCTATCCGGTTTCCGTGGCAAGGGCTTGTTCAACGCGATCATCATCGATGAGTCGGCGACACATGGAGCCACAGCTTGGGATATTTGCTTGGCTATGAAGGAGAAGGGTTTATTGGTAAATATGATTCAAGCTGCATGACAACTTGACGGAAACTAACAATATCTAATTTCAGGCCAAACCAACACACCAAAATATCATTCGTCTATCACCGCCTCTGGTCATCTCAGGGGAGCAGATCGCGGATGCCCTGCGCATCTTGAAAGAAGCCATCATCGAAGTGCCGGCCGCAGCTGCCGCCAAATCGGGGAAAAACTAAGAGCGAAATGGAACTTTTCCTTTCGAGGTGAAGGGAGGTCATTGCAAGATGGACGAGGTCAGCTTGCTATACGAAAAAAAGAATGCATGTTCAATGCTGCGTAATTTTAGTTTCTCATACCCGCCGCTGCCTCTGCTCGGCATATGACCCAAGGAAATAATACTCCCGCACCGAAAACTTCTAGCCACCATGACGCCGTCCATAGATACCCAAAAACTCTCCAAACCCTCAATTCCGTCCTCGATAATGCCTTCCCTCCAGTGCTCTTCATTCTCCATTGCGTATAAAGATTGACAGCCAAATTCTCCAGGATGATCACTACACCCATCGCCAAATGATAAATCAACTCATACCACGACATGTTCGCACAAGGCCCAGGACTCCAACTCGTAAGAGTATGCATGACCCCCGATATCCCAAACGCAGCAATCACAATCAACGCCCGGCCAAGATCAGTCCGAGGCCCATTCTCGCCCAGAATCTGCCGCACTGCCAGGCGACACGGCAAGGTAAATGCCCGCCGCATCAGCGTATGCCAAAGATGACTGTACCAACGTCCCAGCGTCCACGCGTCGGCGATGGACCCGTAAAGACCCGGCCAATGGACCGCGTCCTCGTCTACGTCGCCGCCGAAGAGAAAGGCGGAGAGATTGTGCGCGCTGCAGAGTGCGAGACTGGGCATTATCAGGCTTGTGCCGACAATTTCGATGCGGAGAAGGACCGCGTGCAGAGACAAGTTTCCGCGGACGAGGCTCAGAAGGAATGGTGCTTGTGGTAGAAAATCGTAGTAGCTTGGTGGGGGAAGAAATGGGAACAGAGGAGAGCTGCGGAGGTAGTTGAATGCTGCGAATTGGAGCACGGCTTTGGAGAGGCGGTAGAGGCGCCAATTTGGGATGAAGGAGACGATACGGCGGGAAATAAAAGGGGCTGCAGTCTTCTCCTTGGAACGAGATGAAAGGATCGATGGTCGTTCCTGCGTCAGAGGTGGCGTCTTGCTCCTCTTGCGATTTGCGGTAGATTGCACTGTGGTTGAGCGATGCCGTGTTGTGTTTGATTTGGATGGTGTAGATGAGCTCACGGAGAGCTTAGCCCTCTTTCCCTTTACAGAAGACATCGCCGGAGACGCATCTGGCACGATCTCCTGTCGACGTCGACGTAGAGTAAACCCCTCGAAATAAGCCCATTTCCATTTCTGCCAAAACGTCACTGCGGATGCTGGCGCTTCAGACGGTCGCGGCTCCAGGGCCAGCTGTCCGAAAGTGTGAATGGCGATAGCAAACATGGCTTCTGCGAAGCTCTGTCCTTCATGAGTGCCCCGATTCGTGGTGAACAGCGCCGCGAAACATAATGCTGCTCCGATGGTCGCTCCAGTGATTCTCGGAATTCGCGCGGTAGCCGGCGTAAAAGCTAATGTTCCAACTGCAACATGAAGGCCGACGAGTGCGCAGGATAAGTTCAGTGGAGTAAGAAAGAATGATCCATCTTCGGACATATTTGCGGTTGACGGGACGTTTGACGATCTTCAGCCGAGTCGTACAAATTCTTGCAGTAATCCAAAGGAGAAGGCCAGGTTTGGCTATTGTTTATTTGACATCATTGCACAGCAAAATGCCTTCGGGTACCCTTCGAGCAAATCCTGACCCCGGAAAGTACGGCAAGGATGCTGAAAGATTGCTGCTCAGGAGGAGACATTGGAAGTTCATATTGCGCTGATTCGGCCAGCATACTCGTTCGGATCAAGCCCACGACGCGACATCCACGAATCCCACACTAGCGCCCGCATCACACCATTCGATTATAGCCTCTCCGCCAGTGGCAGCCGTCCTGGGAAAGATATTGTGAATGCAAGTAATCCTATATCGAAAACGATATGCATGCGGGACGAGGCCGAGTTCAGAGAGATCAAACCGAGCCTTCATCGAATGTCATGACGACCAACGAAATGAAATCAATAATGGAGTTGTATAACTAAGTACATGTAGAATAGCCGCCGCGATCGCTCGGCCGTTGGCTCGCACGATCGTCGTGCCACGAGGTGTTCTCCCTCACACAGTTCACACTACCCAGCCTTGGAAATCGTCTCTGTCTCGAAACATCTACGTTGAGAAATTGCATCGCCAGAACAAGCGGGATTGCGACATGAAGCACACACGCCTCTTCCGCATGCTGGTGGAAAGGCACACCTACGGTTCTTTGAATAGGCGAAGCAATGCAGCCATCACACTGTTCGGACTCTTACCTCGAGATGAAATATAAAGTCGGGTAGAGATCAAAAAGCGACTCTCTAATTTATCCATGCTACTATACTACATGTTAAGTCTATAGAAGAGGATTTGATCGATACTCGGGTGCGTCGCCTTTCGCGTCTTCCTTGCCCTTCCGGACATCACTGTCACCCTCTGGTCCACCCTCAGCCAGATCATTCTCTGCTAGCCATTTCTCGGCCTCCAAAGCAGCCATACATCCCGATCCTGTGATTGAATTATGTCAGCATATGTGCTTTTAAATAAAATTCGTGTTCAAAGATTGCCTCTCTTCTGAGTCAAAGCTGAAAATGCAAGATCTGAGCTTACCTGCTGAGGTGACTGCTTGTCTGTATTTCTTATCCTGGACATCACCGGCCGCAAACACTCCTGGCACACTGGTCTCGGTGGTTCCGGGCGTTGTAACAATGTAGCCATCTTCGTCCATTTTGAGCTGGTCCTTGAAGAGCGAGGTGGCCGGGTCGTGGCCGACAGCGTAGAAAAGACCATTCGCAGGTATCTCCTCTGTCTTTCCGTCCGCGCTGTTTTTGATGACAAGGCTGGTCATCAACCCCCGAGGAGCTGGCTCGCCCTTGATCTCAACACCCTGTGTGTTGTACCGAATTTCGACTTTAGGGTGTGTCGACAGGCGACGTGCATTGGCCTTGCTGGCGCGCAAGACATCTCGGCGGACCAGCACGGTCACCTTGCTCGCCTTCTTGGTCAAATAGAGCGCTTCTTCGACGGCACTGTCTCCACCACCAATCACGACCAATGGCTTCTCCCGGAAGATCGGTAGCGATCCATCACACACCGCACATGCCGAGATACCATTTCCCCAGTACTGCTCTTCTCCAGGCAGGCCCAGACGCCTGGCCTTTGCGCCAGTTGCGATGATCAAGCTGTCTGCGGTATGCGTCTCTTCCTCCAGCGTATCATCGTCGCCCATGGGATTCAACCAAAACTTGAATGGCCGCGATGATAGGTCGACCTTGCCCACGGTTTGCGAGATGATCTCGGTGCCGCAGCCCTCTGACTGTGCGCGCATCTGATCCATCAACGTGGTACCCTTGATCATAGCAAAACCCGGAAAGTTTTCCACCTCGTCCGTGGTGGTCAATTGCCCACCGGCTGCGATACCGAGTGCGAGGAAACCTTCGTATAGCTTTGGCGAGAGATCTGCACGGGCGGCATAGATGGCAGCGGTGTGGCCTGCCGGGCCGGAGCCGATGATGACCACCTTGGAATGCATGCCGCGACTTTGAGCGCGGTTGAGAGCGCTGCTGCTTAGGGCGCTGTTCGTCGAGACCGTCCCAACCGGTGGGAGGTTTGTCGTAGAGATTAAAGGCGCTGCGCTGTTGTTGCCAGGACGGAACAGTGCTCCAGCGGCCACGAATGGAATGCTGATGCTAGAACGAAGAGGAGTGAAGTTGGCACGTCGGAAAGCGTGGGCGAACAGTTTGAAGATATGCCGAATGCTCGGCGAGGTGATTACGGTGCGTTGTTATAAAGATGCGCTGGAACGACGTTGAGTAATGGCACTCACGAATACAATCTATTGAAAGGAACGCCGTGGAGAGAATGCAGTCGAAAATGAAATTTAAAGATGACGGAGCGACGCTAGGAACGGTAGTATCTTGCTGTATGATTTCTCATCGATGGAATTGGGTGTTTGTGGAGGGGGAGAATGATGATTGTTTCGGTCTTCAAAGCTCTAGAACATGCCCGCCTGCGATGTTGGCCCACGGGTAGTGGGGATGCTGAAAAGGCCCCGATGATGCAAATCTGGATTAGTCATCGTGAGTCTGGAATTTCAATGCAGGTGGCTGACAAACGTCCATGGATGCAGGTGGCGCTGATCAGATTGTTCGAGTACTTTTTCCCGATAGGATGAGACAACGGAGCGAATGATGACTTGTTCTTATACATTTAAATAGATGGGTGATAAATATCACCACAACGTCGAGAACTTCTGATACAAATACACCCAAGAGCTTTTTTGGCGAGTTTACGTTACCATCGTTTCAACGCTGCCGATTGGTCTCGAAGCAAATCCCACACAACCCTCTACAATTCCCTTGCGTGCAGCCTCTGAACTGACTTTCTCACCACCAAGATATCCCAACCAGATGAGGCGTGAGATTCTCTCGTCCGTGACAGTGCCGAGCTTCTGTACAGCCTTCTCTGGACCAGCTCCATCCGGCTTGGCCTGAAACCACACATCAAGGTCTCCAGTGGTGTCGCGGGCGAGAATCATAACTGATCCCTTTGGTGCCTTGCCGCCTGTGAAAATACTCTTGAAATCGCCAACAGCTTTGCCAAAATCCTCGGCATCATATTCTGTTTCGGCGCCCTTTGCAGCGCTACGTGCTTCTCGTGTGCGATTGCTGATCCCAGTGATCCACCCATCACGGAGATGCCCAAAGTCCGTGTTCCGGGTTGGCGCAATCCTCCAAGCAGTCTTTAGTCCTGGCACCTGTAGGAGATCATTCCAAATCTCCCGGCTCTGGCCAGGGTCTAACAGCACCTCTCGTAGCTTTTCCTTCTCGGAGGGAATTAAGGTGGATGCCTGTCCATTAACGTTGTGAATTAATTTCTCCTGAAGAGAGCTGATATCACTCGAACGGATGTACATTCCAACAACATAAACCTGGATGCTGAGGAACGATACGCTCCTGATGCCCAAGCCGATCAGTGTATATTCTTCTTGGGCACCGATAGGTCCGGAGGCTGGACCTGCCGCTGGCTGCGTAGAAGGGTCGACTGACGACACTGGGAGACTAATTGTGCGTGGAAAGTGAGGCACACTGCTGGTACCGGTCTCGATGAGTTCGATATCTCCGCCCTTCCCATGGGCTACGATTCGCTTCCCTTCGCCTGCACCGATGACGTGAACCTTTTTGCCCTGAAATTGCTCATTGGCCTCGCTGGAAGCATCCAACTGCTGCCCGGCACGTTTCTTCGCAGCTGATTGTTCAAGTTTATCCAGGTCGATATTGTATAGCAACATGAATGTGGCAGCAATGCTCATGAAAAGGCCCATTCCGGCAAATCGCATCCTGCGCAGGTGATACTGTCGCTTCTCTTCCCACGCAAGGTAGTTCGCTCGCGCATTCAAACGCGTGGTGGATGCATTGGATGTACGGCTTCCAGCGTCGTCGAGGTTGCAGCTGTACCTTGTTGAGGCATGTCGAACCTGTGAAGGCAATGCGATTGATTGTCGTGGTTTGACGATGATCCGTGAAGTCCCTGGTAATCGAGCAGCTGCCCGTGTTGTATAAGCCATGTTTGTGAGTGGAAATTGAAGTTGTCGTTATATCGTGCGGAAGTATCATTGACGATGACGACAATCAAGAAAGACTGCAATACTCCAGGGCTGGACATCATCCACGACTCGCGAGAGCTGCGGAGCTGAAGAGCCCGCCGAGGCTAGACCCAATAGGTCTGTGGTTCAGCGGCGATCATCGGGCGGGCTCGGCTCGCAAACCCAATTCCGCTGGAACCAGGAACTGTTCATTGATTCATCAAAACGGCAGTGAGACAGACCAAGGCATGTTTGAAATGATGAGACGCATTATCGGAGAATATGTGTTCACTCATGAGAATAGCAGTTTACGTATAGAAAAGTTCCGCAGCTGGGAGACAATCCAGGACGTTTCAGAGAGTGTGCAGGAACAAACCTCGGAGTGAAATGATCCATACAACCTTGATGAGTGTGGCCTTCTGCAGGTGAGAAATGCCCGCATGCTGGCGTGGGAGCACACAGATTCTGACGCTATGCTATGCGCGAATATGCCGGTGCTCCCATCGTTTTTGTGATGAATTGCCACCGGAACAGATACAACGGTGCACTAGCGACAATTCATCATTCCGAAACCACCAGGCGGCGCGGGGTCTCGGTTGCCCAATCGCTCTATGTATTTATTACTACAGTGCTCACATACAATAAACACCTGCCGTCCGCAATCGGAATCTCTTCTTCCGACCTCAAATTTTTAATTCTCAGGAGGTGCCTAATCAACACACAGTAGCACCACAACACAACTGACCTTCGCTCATCTTTGGGCATCACAATGTCCCGCACCATGACGGCCACATATACGGCTGTGGAATCTCACGAGGAGCCAACTTTGGGATCCTCATCCGGTACAAATTTCGACATCGACAACGACCGAGCTCGGCAACGACGACGTCGTCACTCCTCGTACCAGCCGCGGGCATGGAGCGCAGAACGCGAAAATGTCTCATTGATTGTAGATGAATTCATCAAGGATCTAGGAAAGCGACTGGAAATGTTAGAATCGTACGGACAGCTGAAATTCGACGAGGGTGTAAAGACACTGCACGACACATTGTATGCCATTCACGATCGCTGCATGCACGTCTCCGACGAATTCATCGACGCTGGTATGAAGAGACACAAGATCTTGGTCGAGACCCTCGAGGCACACTACCGTGATGCATTGTCCACGCGAGCCACAATGGAACAAAAGGTCCAGGAGGGCATCAAGATGCTGGAGACAAATCTTGCGAGCCTCGAGCAAAGAGCATACTCGCTACACAAGGCTGGAATTGCCGCCACGGCATCCGAGATGTTGGATTCTGGCATAGCATACATGGACAAGACGTCTACCAAGGCCGCGGAGATCGTGTCAGAAGTTGCGGTAGCTGCGCGGAAAGCTGAGGAGCGTCTTAAGCTCAAGATTGAGGAGGCCATCAGCCACGCTCGCAAACATGGATCTATCACATACGACATGTTGCCCGAGCCATGGCGTGTCAATCCTCACATCCTCCGGGGTTACCGCTTCCGGGAAAGCAAGCTCGACTGTCTCCGCTCCTGCTTCACACTCAACAACGAGTCCTTCAACATTTGGTCCCACGGCCTCGGCTTCATTCTCGTTCTTACGCTCGCATTCTACGTTTATCCCAACACTGAGGCTTTTGCTTCGGCTACGAACTTTGACATCCTCATCGCTGGTTGCTTCTTCTTTGCAGCATGCAAATGCATGCTTTGTAGTACCGTTTGGCACACTATGGCTTGCATCTCAGACCAGACTCTCATGGAACGATTTGCTTGTGTCGACTACACTGGCATTTCCTTCCTGGTCGCTGCAAGCATCATGACAACCGAGTACACAGCATTCTATTGTGAGCCCATTAGCCGCTGGATATACCTGTCTGCAACCCTCGTCCTCGGAATCGCCGGTACTATCCTTCCATGGCACCCGACTTTTAATCGCGCGGACATGTCATGGCTACGAGTTGGCTTCTTCGTCACTCTGGCTCTTACAGGATTTATCCCAATCGCGCAACTCACCTACGAGCGTGGATGGAACGCGACCGCATACTTCTACCGACCTATTCTCGAATCTGTTCTCGTCTACTTCGCCGGCGCGTGTCTCTACGCTGCCAAGATCCCGGAGATCTTTCTTCCTGGTTGGTTCGATTACTTTGGCTGCAGTCACAACATCTGGCATGTTGCAGTATTAGGTGGAATCCTCTTCCATTACAATGCGATGCAGAGCTTCTTCGGAGATGCTTTCCGACGGGCATCATATGGAGAGTGCTCCGTTTACTAGCCAGTTTTACGATGTTGTCTTTCATTTCTTTTCGCTTTGAGATTAGCATAGCCGGGGTTCTTTATGTACGACTTCCAAGGTGGTGTTTGGAAGCAGACGTTCGTTGGTAAACTACTGATTGGTACGCTGGTGACTAGAACGAATTCAATTCTCCTATTTTCATGTTCATCTTCTTCACTGACGAGTCTCATCCTACTGCAATCCAAACAGAATAACAATGCTTGCCATATTGTACATGTGCCTTTGTAACATGCATGTGCGCGGCCCGGCAGCTCGACACTCGTCCGAAATAGGACAAAGTATTGTGAGTGTCGCGACACGCGCTAATTGCAGCCAGCATACATGCGGGTGAACTTTGGACGCGACTTTACGCGAGCCCAAGCGCTTTGGATGGTGCAGGTGGTCTTTCAACAATCAACATATATCGACCATACCTTAGGTGTGACAGTCTCCAGGTAATGCACAGCAATCGATCATAGCGAGTGAGCGTATTCAACACAACTGCATACATTATGAAAACCAGATCTAAAAAACCGCCGGCGACGGTATCTCGAAAGACAGCTTCAGAGACGAACACAGCGACAACCAAATCACTCGATCAGAGTGTTGAGCAGCCACCGCAGATGTTTGTCCTGCCAAAGGATGCGAGTCAGGCCGCTCGGATCATCACGGTGCCACATCCAGCTTCCGCGACGCCGACGCGCTTCTTCGTTTGTCCTGAGCGAGGCTTCTATGAATTCACTCGTGTTGCGGCGCCCAAGCGATCGTGCCGCAGTTGGCTTCTCGCGCCTCAGAGACCAGACATCGATAATGCAATTTCAGCTACGAGCAATGAAAATGAACCAGCACTGGATGAAGAGCAGGACAGCGAGGAGGGGAAAGGCTACGTCTTACAAAATCCAGACTTGTTCGTCGCGACACCAATAGATCCACTATTCATCATACTCGTTGCTCTCGTTGGCGACGGCAAGACTATTGGACAAGAATACCTCGCTGCTTCCGACTACACGGCTTCCCTTGCAAAGACCTCGGCCCATCTGCATCAGATGTTGCAAAGTCCCGAAGGGGAGAATTTCAGGAGACTGTTAGAGGCCAGAGTCGAAGCAGTCTGCGATTGCATAGACATGGGTGATGAGAAGCTTTTTGCGCTTTCTCTATCAAAGTTGTCGGAAGAGCTCGTCAAAAAGGCAAAGCGGACGGCGGCAAAGGGGCTTCCTGCTAGCATGGAGGACAAGTTCGTTCGCCAGGCTCTGGATGTGCCCATGCCCAGCGTGAGGCGTGAAGAAAGTGAGATCAGCATGGCCTCTGTGACAAAACAGACCTCCGAGGGCAATTCACAGGCCACCGAAACGTCTACCACAACAACAGCTAGTGCCGAGACATTTGCAACCTCAGTGACCTCTCACCAAGCTGAAGTAGACTCTAGCATCCCCGCACTACTACGCATACGTGTGGCTCTACGGTTCATACAAACTTCATACATTCCTACTCGACTGCAGAGTCTCATGCAGCCACACTTACAGGATGTGAAGTTGACATCAATCGACTTCGAGCCGCTAGATGCGCGTCTCTCACATATTGCCAAGCTCAAACGCGATGCCCAGGCTCTACGCTCAATCAGTGACAATATTAGCCGCAAGCGATCAACCGCTGAGGAGGACGAGGACATCGCCATCAAACGGCGAAAGAAGGACGAGGAAGAAGAGAAGAAGAAAAATGTCAGCCTTGGCGTGAGGAAATTACTCAAGGCCGACACCAGCGGGATGAAGAAAATGAGCGCCTTCTTCACGAAGAAGTCATGATGCTCAATCGATAGGGTCGACGACATAAGCCGCCCTGACCTTGATGCAGACAGCATGTCAATTTGCATATTAGCGTCATATTATATGCGCAATGCTTCTTTCAGCCATGGAGAGGCATGTGTCAACAACGGAGTGTATTTCTGGCGTCATGACACGACAGAGGCTCCTTCTGAAATTGCCGACTCAAGAGCGCAGCTCTGGATTCGTACTCAAGATGCTAGAACGGGCCAATACGGCTCTGTGGTATCACAAGGCGCATACAGAGGCAATCATAGCGGGAGGCCAAAGCCTGTTCTCTTACTTGAGGGGAAATGTGCAGGACCGCCCAGCAGCCTTGCTGATGTCTCGTTCACAGGCTTGAGCAACGATCTTTGTTCAGCATTGGACTGCATTTGGTACAAAGTATTTTGGGAGTCTGCCTGCTGTGCAAGAGGACACCGATATATACTAATCTCTGACCACCTTGTGTGTACACATCACAGCATATGCAAGCATGCGCAAGATCGTCGCCAGGATGTTTATACTGTTTGTAGAGATCCGTCGGCCTTCGGCATCGGGCTCGGAGCATCTGACATGTGCATTACGAAACGCTGTGTTTCGGTCTTCTTGAAGACTGGAAGCATTATGCAACAATCAATCCGCCGCAACATTTGCCGACGATGCGTGCAACACGCGGGACATACCAAGTCGAGCGGCCATTTGTCCGGTCAAGGTGTGACGAAGCCTGTTTGTTGGATGACTTCCCAACCACTTTTAGAAGCATTGAAACGTGACGCAAGAGGAGCGAACAACATTCCTGCCATGCTCAATACGTCCTGAGTATGACGAGATTCTCAATCGCTCGAAACAATTCTTTAGTCTGTGTCGAGAGGAGCATTGGGTATAAATGGTGACAGCTTCGCTACTTGGGTTCCTGTTCTATTGAAGCTTCCGGGCCCATCTCTACACGTCACACATTCAAGACGCAGTGTATCATTTCGGTTCTGGCCACAAAATGTTGTTCGCCGGAGTGCTTCTTCTGCTCGGCGCGACTTCAGTACTGAGTCAGACCAACTATGCGCCCTTCCAGATCCACTGGCTTACCACCCATCAGCCCAATGGCAACCCTGCTGGTCAGGTCAATCACTACCAGATCGCATTCAACATCACCAGCGCGAATGGCAACCCAGCCGAAGAGGCGTATTGTTGGCAATCTTGGGGCGACAACAACAACAATTGCGGCAACAGCTGCGTGGCCTACTCGACTGCGGTGCCCGCAGGAGAATGGATCATCTGCGCACGAGACGCGAGCGACCTTGGTGATCGAAGCAGCGGGTTCGCATTCAAACTCTTCCCGTATTTCAGCATTGGCAACTTCTCGCTCGCGGTCCGCCAAAACTTCACTCAGGAGTCAGGACCCAATATCATCTCCCAAGCCAGCTTTATCGTCACCAATTCGTCTACGTCGGACTTCGTCTGCGACATCAATCCGCAAGAGGTCTTCTTACAGCAGCACGCGCAAGGCGACTGCTGGACCCCTGACTCATCTTCGGGCTTCACAGTCCCCGTCGCCGAGGCCACACCCGCCTGCTCCCACGCATCAACCGTCAGCCTATCGTTCCCCGTGACAGAGCGCACGGGTCCCGGCGACAAGGTCTACGTAGTCGGCAGCATTCCGGAGTTGGGAAATTGGGACCCATCCCGCGCTGTGGAGTTGAACACGGGCTCGTACAACGACATGAACACGCTTTGGACCGGCGGAAGGGTCAGCGTTCTGGCGGGCACGACTTTCGAATACAAGTACGTCCAGAAGAACGCCGACGGGAGCCTCCTTTGGGAGTGCGGCGAGAATCGTGTCGCGACGGTTTCGTCGTCCACTTGTGGCGAGCAGACGATTGGAAATGATCCGGATTATTTCCGCTGTGGGACTCACTGAGCGCTCGCAAATTGGCGAGAGCGGCCGATCGATTATCCTTAAGGAAAAGAATTTCTGGTGGAAGACACGATGCTGCCCTTGGGGCATACCTTTACGTGTACTGTTGTTGATTGCAAGGTCCGGTCGATAGCTCATGCTCCCTGGATGCAGCGACCCGACTCATGTCTTTAGCAACGAGAATGATAATTATGACAACTGCTTTTCAGAGTCGATTGTCTTGTGCCTTGATTGTTCCACGTTGTCGAAACGAAAATCCTCATTTTTTCCCCTTTCCTTTCTTCCCTTTGCCTCCACTGGCGCCGCCATTAGCGACGGACTTCAAAGCGGCATGACCTTCGTCCTTGATATGTTTAAAGAGCGTCGATCGGGATGCAAATGTTTCATTGCACACCTCGCATTGGTTTGTCGATTCGACTTTCTGTGCCGCTGCTGATGCTGCAGCCTTCTTCGCTCTCTTCTGCGCAGCTTTGCCCATCTTCGGCTTGGATGATTGGGATCCTCCCTCGTCTGAATCTTCTAAGATAGCGGCTTTCATTCGCGCTTGTATTATTTCGAGGGATGCGTAGTCTTCGTCTGCCGAGTCGGTCTCATGATCTAAAGCGTCACCTTTCCCCTGTGCTTTTTCCTTTGGACTGATCTCTGTTTCGACCTCTGTGGTGTCCTGCGGGTGCTTCGGCTCACTCATGGCCTCAGAATCATCGTATTTTGTGGAAGTGGTAGGCTCGTCGACATCGAGAGCTCCATTTTCGCCTTCTAGGAGCTCGTCCTCTGCTTTTCCATCGTGGATCTCGTCTCCTTCTTCAAGCACGTAGTCTGCATCAGGATCAAGTCCCTCATCCTCCAGATCCAGATTCAAATTTTCTTTTCGCATCTTGTGCTGCAAAGCACGCAAGGCTTTTTGGTGCTTTTTGCTTTTCTCATGCGCCTCCCATTGCTTCTCGCTCTTAAAGATTTTATTGCAAGCCACGCACTCCAGTACTTCCAGTGGTTCCTCCTCTTCCTCCTCCTCTAAGCTTCCCTCCATCTCATCTGGCTCTCTTACCTTGGTCCATTCCGGTATATCGTCGTTTAGCTTCGCAGCGTTCGCTGCTCGGGCTCGATTGGCCTGCGCGATCGCGGCCTCACGTAAGGTTTGCTGTCGTTCTTGCTCCGACTGAGTGTTCGGAATGTAACGCGGGTCACGCTTACGAATGAAAGCTACGAGAGATCTGACAGCGTCATTAAATTCACGCTTCGCGTCCTGTCTGATGCGAGCATTTTCTTGCTCCATACGCCGGCGGTACCAGCGGTCGGGAGCTTCAGACAATCTATACTTGTCGGTCCATGAGAAGCTCTTTACGGTCGCGAAACTGGCCCACGCCGCGTAGAATTGCTTCACAACGTCACTGTAGTCATCGTCCTTGTGACCAAAAGTAGGATATTCATTGGCTTCTACGTTTTCCCAGTTCGCGGCGGCTTCTTCTTCTTTTGCAAGTTGGTCAAAAGTGTCCCGAACGAAACCAAAGAAACCTGAAGGAGAATCGGAGAATTCAACATTGCTATTGAACTTCCTCACCAAGCGGGCTAGATCATCTGCCGTGGTGATCTTGACATCATCGTACGAAGGAGCAGCACCATCGGCGGGATCATCGCCACGTAAGATGGCGGACTCGTGACTATCGTACCAAGCTCGCTCCTGAGGATCAGAGAGGACTTCATATGCAGCTTGAACCTCGGCGAACGTCTTGGTTGCTGCCTCTTCGTCGCCGAAATTACGATCGGGATGTAGTTCGAGCGCTTTCCTTCGATAGGCCTTTTTGATCTCCTCTTCGGTGGCTTGACGGGCGACGCCTAAGAGGTCGTAGTAACTAGTCTTCACCTCTTGCGAAGCAGCTGCTGCAGCACCGCCACCACCCGAAGATTGTCCAGCGCCCATGATGAAGGTGTGACGCAGACCATCAAGGTGTGACAATGCAGAAGGAAATACGAGACGAAAACTTGGATACTAAAGGCGTGTCGGTGAATGATCCGGATGCCAAGCTACGTCACATCGACTCATACTGAGTAGAAAATCCGCATAAAACTTTTTTTCACATCGTCGCTGATACATTTCAGCTTAGGGCTTGTTACCGTCGGGGCATGATTGAGCTAGAGCGCCTCTAGAAGGCGTCGATTGCGTGGTCAAACTTGAGTCCAAACCCAGGCCGGCACGGCTTTCCCGATCGCGTTCACTACGAGTCATGCGATGGCCGCCCACGCCCGCCGCTTAGCGAGTCGAGAACCAACCACAAGGCTGAAGCTTCATGCCGCGCCCTCTTGCGCGCCATTTTCTTTCCGTTAGTCTGCACGGCATTCACGGCACGCGACCTCTCTCCCTTTCTAGATGCACCACCGAAACACCACCACTCCTTGGAAGATCAATCGGCTTGCAGTAGTCAGAGTTTTCTCTGGGACGACTGTGTAGATGAGACATTTATTATATATATCGCAATGAAACACTACGGACGCCTCCCCCACATTTGTGGAACTGTCTCTACACAAGCTTTTGATGTCCGATTCGTTTCAAGGTTCGCTTATGATTTTCGACACGATCATCCGACAAGCGGCAGATCTCTTCACACATCCTATCATTCGAACACATCGATTCTGCATTGCAAAGATTTTTTGAAGCATACCAAACATTGAACAAGATGAAGTTCGGCCACGAATACAAGGTGGCCTTACGCGATGAGGGTTTCCCTCAGGAATGGGTTGAGAGCGCAATCGACTACAAACACCTCAAGAAGGTAATCAAAATGGTCCATGATGAGCTTCAGGGACTTGGGTTGGATGCCGCAACACTCGACCGTCTACGTGAATTAGTCAAGGCGCAGGCCGACCCTCCAGTAGCCGCCCGCAGACCTTCGTTGCCTGCGGGAGAGTTCTACAGCGCCTCACAGCCAGAGCTTGCAACCATCACTGAGGAATTTATTCCACAATTGAGGATCCTGGTTGACAACAAGACTGGTACGCCACTCGACGTCAGTCTAGCAGCAGAAACGAAGGCGTCTTTGCGGCGACTGGTGCGTCATGAAATGGTCTTGGCAGGGCGACGGGAGCATTTAGGAAACACGATTCACGTGAGTCCAAACAACCAAAGTGGCAACGCGCCTGAACAGCATGACGCCGACGATGGTGAACTCGACGAGCAAACACAAGAGTCGCTAGACGCGAGATGGATTCAAGTGCCTCTGGCGAGCGCCCGAGATTTCTTCGACGCTCTTGAGCCTAGTTTCGTCCAACTTGACACAATCAGGGCTACTGAAACGCGAGTTCTGGAGGAAGAAATCCTTGATCTCGGTGACGCAGTGACAAATGTGGTACAGCCAGTCCGAGCAGGTTACGAGACTAAACGCGACATCAGCTACCGCGATCTTTACTTTTGGCGCGAAATGTTCAGATTATACATTGAGAAACCTATATTCTACAAATCGACAGAAAAGAGTCGAGGAGCTTTGACATTCGCCGAAGCCAAGGAGAACTTGGTCGAATACGATACAAAGTTACGAGAGACCGGCCTGCTCGCAAAGATGAAGACTCCTCAAGCCAAGGTCGCAGCCCAACAATTCCTCGACCTCAACCTACACATCCTCAAGACGATGCAATTTCAGGAGATGAATGCCCGTGCGATGACCAAAATCCTCAAGAAATTCGACAAGCAAACACATTTGGGCGGCAATACATTCATCAAAGCGCTCGGGAACCAATACCCGGCCCTCATTAGCAACCGCAAAAGCAGCGCCGGCGGCTTCTCTGACTCCATCGCTCACGATCTACAAGCGGAGATCGGCTCCAAGGTCCTCGCTATTGTCCCGCAACTGGACGATTGGGTATGCCCTGTCTGTTACGGAATGGCTTGGCGGCCTGTCAATCTCGGATGCTGTCGTTCGGTCTTCTGCATCCGATGTATTATCAAGCTACAGAGGGAAAAGATGAAGAAATGCCCTATGTGCAATGCGGAGAAAGTCATGAAGGCTGATGGTCGTAATATCGACTTTGCAACGATGGAGTTTCTAGAGACGTTCTTCCCTCTCGAGGTCAAGAGGCGGCAGAAAGAAAATGAACGGGAGCAATTAGTCAGTGACTATGGCGAGGAATTTGTCAGGAGAGATTGTGTTATAATGTGAGGGAGCAAGCTTTTGAAGGCAATTTTGGAACAGATTGGTCGACGGCGTTCTTCTTTGGATGGCGGCATTGCAATTTTGCACATAAACGATACCCAGCTGTTTTGGCAAATGTATTTAGCGCATTTTTATCCGGTTTCATTCAAAGGTATACGAATCCTAAGAGGTCGCATATGTGTATCGGATACACTATTTAGACGGGTAGGTTTTGGCTATACGACAAGGGAGTGGACCTTAGTAATAAATCAAGGAGGCAGTCACCACCTCAATAAGAATCAGTGAGGATTCAAGGGTTGATGATTGCCTAGGGTTATGGTCTCAAATTACGGAGTGCGACACAAAACAATGATCGGCCTCCAAGCTTGTCCAGGTGTACCTGGAGAGGTCAATTTAGATCAAGCTTTCGACATGTGAAAGAACCAAATATGACGTCCAAACAGCGAACGATATCGGCCATTTGCTCACTATTGCTAGACGCTTCTTGTCTGGTGGGCAAGAGTGCAAATCCAGGCGCGTGAAATCACCGCGTACGCTCAAGATTGCTTCACTCATTAAATCGACATGGCACCCAACATCGACCCCGAAGTGGGCTGCCCGATTCCCGAGCCCGGACAGTGGCCAGTCGACCCTCAAGAAGACGTAGAAATTGCCGAGAGACGCCTGTGGATCGATGGTTGTTTCGATTTCTTCCATCACGGTATACCTCGCGACTCAGACTATGTTTGCGATTATGCAGAAGACTAACGCATCATCTCAGGCCATGCCGGCGTCATGCTCCAGTCCCGTCGTTTCGGTGACGAATTGCTCGTCGGTCTCCACAACGATGAGGATATCGCTGCCAATAAAGGTCCGACGGTCATGAACCTTGCTGAGCGGGTTGCGGCAGTCAACGCCTGTCGTTTCAGTACTCTGTGTGTCCCTCATGCGCCCTATGTCACATCGATTCCGTGGATCAGCCACTACGGCTGCAAGTATGTCACTCACGGCGACGACATCACGAGCGATGCAAACGGAAACGATTGTTACCGCTTCGTGAAGAAAGTTGGCAGGATGAAGATCGTGCCGCGCACGCCAGGAATTAGCACGACCGACCTGGTGGGTAGGATGTTGGCCGGGTCTAAGGATCATTTTATCGCCAGCCTGATCGATTGTATCGAAGGTCGCGAGAGCGGCACGGAAGGCGACCGTCAGGAGACTGGGGAGCAGATGCAGAAGCGATTCCGCGAATATGCTGCGGCACCAAACGGTCTGGACCCGTACGTCGAAGTGTTCACCCTCGAATCAGCCGGCGATGACAGCACCAAAGCAGGTCATCTTGCACAATTCGTGTCGGGAGTGAAACCTCGACCTGGTCAAAGAATCGTGTACGTCGATGGAGGCTTCGACCTGTTCTCTTCCGGACACATCGCATTTCTGCAAACCGTCGCTAAATTGGAGTCCGAGCTCGGCCGAGAACAAGGTTGGTACAGCGAAGCAGCCAAGCAACAGCGCATCAGCTCGACAGGATCCGACTATGGCCCTGCATACGTGATTGCCGGAGTCCACGATGATCGCACGATCAACCACCACCTCGGGAAGAATTTCCCAATCATGAACATTTTCGAACGAGGACTTTGCGTCGTACAGTGCGAGTACATCGACAGTGTGGTGTTCAACGCTCCGGTAGCTCCGTCAAAAGCATTCCTTGATCTCCTTGCTACACAATTTGGCAGCTCGCCTAGTGTCTACTGGCATGGGCCAACTGCTTTCATGTCCATCACAGGCTCAGATCCCCACGCGGATGTGAAGGCGCTCGGGATTTTCAGGGAGACACCTGCGCATGAATTTCAAGATGTCAATGCCGCTCAGATTGTGTTGCGGATTCTGAACAAAAGGGCGGAATATGAGGAGCGGCAACGGAAGAAAGGTGTGAAGAAGGTCGGCGAGGAGGAGCAACATCGCTTGGAGAAATTGCAGCACTCGGGATAGACTCATTGATCGTTATCATGACGATAGACGTTTAAACATGCAAGCGTGATAGACTCGAGTATTGAATAGGCCCGATCAAGCTCATCAGAAATCGATCTCGTCTTCATGCTCTCTCCGCCCTTCTATGCCATGCGCAGCATCTATTTGACCCGCTACGTTCCCACCGCCCTGATCCTCATCATCTAGCCCCTCATCCAGATCCTCAATTGGATATGTAAGGATCGCCGCAATCCCACCAAGACCCTCCAACCTCTTCCCGCTCTCATGCATGCTGCTCAAAACCCTCACCTCACCTCCCTGCTCCTTGACATCATCCACCACCTTCACCCATCGTCTCCTCGTCGCAATATCCTGACTGCGGAACAATGCGTTCGAGATGAGCAGCACTCCACCCCCCTTGCCCACCGCACCTCGCTCCACCGCCAATTCGCATTCCCGCGGACCGTACCACGCCCGGGGATCGTCCTTGCGCATCATCTCGAAGAACTTCTCCATCAGAGAGGTCTCGCGCGCGAATTTCGTGTCGCTGAGTTTGCTCGTCACGGCCGGGCTGCTGAGGACTTCGGAGAGGCTGTGCAAGTGCGCAGAGGCGGAGTGCGCGATAGTGATTTTCGGAACGAGTTTCTGTAACGATTTGTTGGTTCCGGTCGAGGCTTGGGTCTTGATGAAAGAGTGGAAACTCGTGGCGGTGTAGCCTGGGCTGGCGAGGAGCAGGGGTTTGGGGTCGGTCAGGTCGATTTGTCGAAGGAGAGAGTCGAAGGTCATTTGGAAGAATCGCTTCAGCGATTTCTCGTGGTCGGAGGACCCAGCGCGTTTCTTAGGAAGGCTGATCTCGACGCGCTGGCGTAGGATGGTTTGATGTTCCGTGATGAGGCAGATGTTGGCGAGTCCTTCCTGCATCACGACCGCCCAGAGCTGGGCTTTTGATTCTTGATTGACTGCTTCTTTGAGCATATCGAGGGCGATGCTGTCCCATCCCTCGGCTTTTTCGAGGGTGAAGTTGCGCTGGAGCTCAAGGTCGAGGGTGTGGAAGCTGCCTAATTTGACAAACTTGTTCTCTTCGGAGACTTGTCCTGAGACGTGTAATTGACCGGCTTGAGGATCAAAGTCCATTTTCGTGACTCGAATTGTTAACATCATGTGGACCCGTTCGTTTGATCGACTACCGGTGTCTGATTCTGTAATGATCTTCCGAACTGCAGATGCTCGAAGGAGGTCGGTTGGCCGAATGATGTTGTACGCATGCCACTTTGTTCACCAAGTCAGGTCACCAACATCCGTCAAGCTTAATATTCAGTTTCAGACGAGCGCACCATATCTTCAGGTTCTTCTGGAAGAAGAGTCGCACTTCCTGAACCATCTTTGATCTCGATGTTCTGTTTGATGAGCCGCATTTTGGCGCCGATTCAGATGTTCGAGGATTCTGATGTATCTTGTCCTTTGGGAATATTGTTCGAGACTTCAGGCTCGTTTTCTTACGATCTTCTTTGCAGACTCAAACCTTGGAATGCTTGTAGTTTGGATGATCCGCAATTCTGGGTATGACGAAATCCACGATGACGAAGGGCAAAAGGTGTAGCCCGCTGCCAGGTACTTCAGCCGCCTCAAGCTTCGCCTGAGTGATAGCTACGAAGATACGGTTAATTCAGCCCCCTTCCACTACTTAAGGTTACTCAGGTCACTATGGTCGAAGAATAGTCTCTTCATCGCGTGAAGATTCGGCAAAGAAGAAGACGAAGAAGAAGAAGTTGTTGACGAAACCAAATCGAACTCAGGCGTTGATTGGCTATGCTACAAATTATATACTCAAAATTATGATCGTGTGTAAACACATAGATCCTATGTACAAGAAAGACAAAAATCAACCAACCCAATTTGAAGTTCCTCATGCAGTCTTGTACTTCTTCCTGTTCGGCTCAGACTCGAGTGTGGAAAGCACGATGGTCAACACGCCTAGAGCACTTACAATCATATCCACGACGTAGATGGCCCACCAAATATGCTGAACACCAAACATACACGAAGCATACTCGATCTGCCATCGCTGCTTCTCGCAGTCCCACCAAGCACTGAGGAAACCAACATTGCCACCAAACTCGCCCATGATACTGCGGACGGTAATTTCGCGCACCCCGGCCGTATCATCGATCGTTTTCGAAATGCTGCGATCGGTGTCGTTGTGTACTACCCAGATTGACTCAGTCGTGTTGTCTTCTGAGATGAGTTCGGTCATCTGGTGCCAGGTTTGGCAGCCCTCGTGATCATGGCCGTTAAGAATGATCGTCTGACGCTTTCCGTCTTGGCCGGCAAAGCCGTTGAGCATATATCTGCTGACGTCCTGATCAAGATGATTCTGTTCCTTCAAACCGCCACCGTTTTCGGGTGGCCAGTAAGTGAAGAAAGGCCCGTCAACGCACACACCTTCCGGTTTGTAAAGTGGGATGTGCGTGAGGAGGACCGTTGCAGTCTGGGAAGACAGCTTTTGCTGCTCGAGGAACTCCTGTTCAAGAAAATCGTGACTCTGTTGTTGCAAATCCATGTCTTGAGCCGGGCCGTCCAAATTCATCGAATTCAGAATCACGAGTCGAAGTTCGGGGAACACTTCTGATTCAGACAGAGGTAAAGACGATGCATCCGATTCATTATGGCTGAACGTCATCGCCCAATTGACGTTCCCAAAGGCGTCTTCGAATCGCCTCATGCGATCCTGATTCACATCGCCAGCATATCCAATGTCGTGGTTTCCCGCGACAGCAATAATCCTGTTCTTCCAGCTCTGATCCGACCCTAGTATCTCCCGATGCCCACTGTCTTTCGCCATGATTTCTTCTGGCAACTTTTCGCCATCACTGAACACTCTGTTCCAAAATCTGCTACTCCGCCTTTCGAATTCGTCATCTTGAATCCATTGGCTCCCAAGCAAGTCGCCCAGAACAACAATGTGGCTAGGATGTGTGTGCGCCTTGACTCGCGCATAAACATGCGCAAGATAGTGGTCATTACCCCATAGGTCCAGTCTCTTGCGATATGCCTGCAGGTTGGTGGGAATGTCGCTGAGCAGGAGAGCGCTGCCCGCAGGGATCAGCTCGGTTGATAGTGTACCAAGCCCGGACTCCTGCACATTGTCCCACACTCGTTTGATGCTTGGGAATGTTGGCGCATCAAGGTCAGGAAGTGAGGTGTCGCCTTCCAGCTGCGGATCTCCTATTGCGAGTAGTCTGAAGGGCGCAGTCCTCCCGACATCATCATCTCGATATCCAGGTCGTGTGTGACATGTGTCCCCTATCGGTTGAGGGAAATGACAGTCTTGTACCAATGGGAAGTAGTAAAGATAGGCAGTGCCTATGAAAGCCGGGACCAAGAGGATCCGGAACAGCAGCCAGGACAACCGAGATAGAGGCATCGAGGCATTGCGACACGACGTTTGCTGATGGGTTCATGCTTCACGGTCGGTCGACTATAACCCTTTTCCATTGGAGATATGCCGAGAACATTAGGCTAGGGTTTGGGTGAACGCGCCTTGTGTGGTTTTCGACGCGTCGAGGGGCATACTGCAGGTGGGCAAGAATTTGATACGGAACTCCAGACATTCCAAGATGTCTTAGTGATACGGAGCACTGCGTCAACTTCAAGTCCACCGCGGGGTTGTCTCGCTGCCCACGTCCGACACTTTATCATTGTGTAATAACAATGAATGACCTCACACCTGGGCTGCCATCGCGCTTCAGTCAGCCCCGCAGACAACCTCCTCTAGTGTGCCCATCCTAAACATGACTCGAATGCAGCGGCGATAATTGTAACCGCCGAAAAACAGCGCCCGACCATCGTGAAGCACAGTATCAAGGTGACAGGTTGTCGACTCCGGAACATCGTGGTCGCCAGAGAGTCGGTATTTCACAGCTCTTATCATACGCGTCATCGGGTCCGATAGTGATCGAGAGACAATCTCGGCCGCGTACGTAGTTCAGACGTAAGAATCGTGAATTGTTTCTTCCTCATAGTTCTCAAAGGACGATAAGCGCCGATGCCGCCCCTGCTTTGATAAGTACAGTCTCACGAATAAACTTAGTGGACCCATTCGTCGGCTTCAGATCTACGAGTCATCATTGTGCATGAACATATAGACCTCTTATCGTATACACGATCAGCATAAGAATCTCTTACCAGTATCAGACCTCCGCCGCATCATTGGCTCGAATTAGCACGTCCTCGCCACATACCGGACAAAAGCATTTCCCTGCAATCTTAGAACATCATGGGCAAAGAGGAACCTCAGCCGCGGTCATTGACCATTCAAAATATCAACCCAAACGTCAAGGAAGCCAAATATGCCGTCCGTGGTGAGCTGGCCATCAAGAGCGAGGAATACCGAACCAAGATCGCCAAGGGTGAAGGCAAGGATCTTCCATTCGAATCAGTCATCAGCGCCAACATTGGTAACCCTCAACAACTCGACCAGAAGCCCATCACATTCTTTCGCCAGGTCACCAGCCTTCTAGAGAACCCGCTTCTATTGGAGAAGGAGGACGTTTTGATCAATGGTTTGGGATACAAAAAGGATGTCATTGAGCGGGCCCACACGCTCCTGAAGGATGTCAAGAGTGTTGGAGCCTACTCACAATCGCAGGGTGCACCGGGGATCCGTGAGAGCGTCGCCAAGTTCATTGAGGAGCGGGATGGTCATTCTGCCGACCCCAAGAACATCTATCTTTGTGGAGGTGCCAGTGCGGGTGTCAATGCCTTGATGAATGTGATCTGTGCTAGTCCCGAAACTGGCATTCTGGTTCCTATCCCTCAATATCCTCTCTACACGGCCACACTGGCGTTGCTCAACGCCAAAGTGGTCCCATACTATCTCGAGGAGCAATCAGGATGGAGCACAGATGTTCCTGGCATTCGCGAAGCATTAAGCAATGCCCGCAAGGAAGGCATCGATGTGCGTGCTGTTGTGGTCATCAATCCCGGCAATCCTACTGGTGGTTCATTGAGCGCCGACAACATCGCCTCGGTGATCGAGCTTGCTGCAGAGGAGAAGCTGGTGGTTCTTGCCGATGAAGTCTACCAGACCAATGTCTTCGAGGGCAAATTCCACAGCTTCAAGAAGGGGCTCCGTGATCTCCAAACGAGCGACAAGAACAAGGAGGGCAAGTTTGACAACGTCGAATTGGCCAGCTTGCACAGCATCAGCAAAGGCATGGTTGGCGAGTGTGGTCACCGCGGTGGCTACTACGAGATGGTCGGCTTCGATGAAGAGGTAAATGAATCAACCTATGTCTTTCTCTCGAGACAAGTCGCTAACACTAACTTTAGGTCGTCGCACAAATCTACAAATTCGTCAGCATCATGCTCTGCCCACCCGTCATCGGCCAATGTCTGGTTGAGCTGATGGTCAACCCACCCAAGGAGGGCGAGCCATCCTATGCTCAGTACAAAGAGGAGTACGACGGAATCTTCAAGGACCTACACACCCGCGCCATGGCGCTCTACAAGGCTTTCCAGGAGATGGAGGGCGTCGAGTGCCAGTACCCTCAGGGCAGCATGTACCTCTACCCGACCATCAAGCTGTCTGACAAGGCTATCGAGGCGGCCAAGAAGGCCAACAAGGGCGCTGACGAGATGTACTGCATGGAGCTCCTCGACGCGACGGGTATTTGCATCGTCCCAGGATCCGGGTTTGGACAGAAGGAGGGTACATTGCATTTCCGAACGACCTTTTTGGCACCGGGCACGGATTGGGTGTCCCGAATCACTGCTTTCCATGGGAAGTTCATGGACAAGTACCGGTGATTGGAATAATGCTAGATATTGGAGTGACAGTGATGGACTCAGTTCAGTATATACAAGATAGCGTTGAATCATGCCTCTACTTCTCCTCATATCGTTCGTGCTCTTATGACACGGGTCCGAGGATAGCTCAGATGCTGCAATGCACTGTTGTGGAAATGTTTTGCTGATTTAGGCAGAGCTGCATTATAGGATTTCAAACTGCTATGGATGTATCACGGCTCTTATGTGTCTGGGCGACAACATTGTTCTGATTGCAAAAAAGATGCGTCGTCCATGCTCAGGAAGTGTCGTTCGACTCTTTGAATACATCTTGCTTACGTAATGCGATCTGGTCATTCGAGGCTACCACATGATGTAGATCTTGTGGACAATTTCACAACCAAAAATTGAGGATTTGAATACAAGTCACTTCTTTGATACGAAAGTCTGAAGATATAACGATTTCATATCCCGGCCAAAAGACTTGGAGACTACCATGGCAGAAACAGCGCCTCTCACGTCGGTACGATCTCCTACTTATCTGCACTATTATAAGGTCTGACATATCGGTAGGCACTTACACATGCTCGCAAAGCAGCTCGGAGCTCTATCGATACAGACTGGGCAGACGCTATCGCCGAACATCAGCAAGCGGCCGCAGAATACTCTCGCTCGGCAAGAACGACGAACGATTCCGAGGTGTGTTATCATGATCAGGGCCAGAGCGTCGCGCAGGGCTGAACATTTCGCCATAGGCACTCCGAATACTACGACTTCTAGAGGCCGAGCATGCCAAGCTTGCCCAGATCATCCAGAATAAGGATACTTCCAAGCAGCCAGGATCACCGCCGACCAATCACGAAAAGCATGCAGAGCCCACGACGAGCAAACGAGACCCTGGCGAGACGCGGCAATCTTCGGTAGCGGCAAAGGCCTCGGGTTCGCCTTTACAAGCCGCTCGATTCGGTAGCCAACTACGAGAATCCTCGCCGTCACTCGCCAGAGACATGGCCTCACGGAGAGGGATTCCGCCGTCAAATAGATTGTCAGCCGCGGCGCAGGCTCGAGCCCGACCCCTCTCGCCAGAAGCCCAGCGTCGCACGACAGGTAGTTCGATGCCAAAGATTCCTCCCTCAATCATGGATAGTCAAGGACTTCAGCAATCGACCGCGGGAAAGAAGGCGCAGGATGACGACGCCTTTGCGAAATTCTACACCAATCTCACAACTGGAACCATGTCTAAGCTTTCCACAGCTCTCGCATATGCCGGACTCCCGCTATCACCCGAAGAAGCACCTGTAGAGCAAAGTCGGCAGAGAATGGAACGCAGCACAGTTCACGCGAGCAACGACCCCGATGTAAAGAATCTATTCTCCAAGGCTGCCCTCGCTGCCATCGAGGACGAACACCGCCAGCGGGGTCGGCAAGGTCGCGTCTTTGGGCCTGCCGAGAGTTTCTACGTGGTGCAGACTGGCGGCGGGACCTATTCATACGCCGACATTGCAAAAGCCCAAGCGCAGGATCAGTCCAAGCTACAACAACAACCTCATCCTGACACTATTGAGGAAGAAGACCAAGAGATCTTCGTGGACGCCCGCGACGCCCGGGAACCGCCCTCGCCCAAGCAGAGTCGAATCTCCGGTCAAGGGAGCCTCCGGGGAGGATTCAGCCGGAGTACGAGCGAGGAGCTGGAACTCGAGAACGTCACCCTGAAGCAGACCCTGGAGCAGCTCGCCACACGCCTCGCAGAGTTCGAAACCCACGCGCAGGACGCCTCGATGGCGGCTCTGACGCAGAGCATGGCGAACGTCAAGGCTGGAGGCGCCCACAACGTTGTCGCGGGATCGGTCGCCGGCGATCGCGTCTCGCAGCTCGAGAAACAGCTCGAACAGATGACTGACGAGAGACAGAAGTATTATTCCCTGGCGTCGAAGCAGGATAAGACGTTGAAGCAATATCGCGCTAAATGGGAGGACATCAAGAAGAGCGCGCGAGAGAAGGACCGGACGAAGAAGGAAAAGACTACGACGGACAAGCCAGGCGAGGATGGACTGGTCAGTGCGAATGAGCCGTGGAAGGCGAGCGAGCCGGCTCTTTAAATCTCACGCGGACGATTCTTCTTGCGGCCTGCGACCAAGTTTGGACACATATCGTCGTTATATGTACCTGGAAACTTTTCGATCCTAAATCTTCGACTGTTTCGCTTTACGTTTCGCTGCGAGGGGAATGAAATGTCAGCATGCTGGCCCCATGAATTCGGAACGTACTCTCGAGGAGAAGAAGTCGCTCCCCCACTCACCTTCCAACTCATCCTTCTTCGCGCCCATCCTCCTCGACGGCTCGCCGTCCACGAACCTCTCGGACAGCGCATTCCACGAATCGAACAGGGCCACGATCCTCTTCTCCCTGAGGGGCGCATTCGCCAACCTCTTCATCTCCATCATGCTCTTCCCGTCCCTCTCGCGGAGCACCTCCCTGAGGTGGGCCTGGATGCTGTCGTGGAAGCCGTCCTTGGGGAAGACGCGGTTCACCATGCCGACCTTCTGCAGCTCCTCGACCGTCACCCGCTCGCCGAGCATCAGGATCTCGTTCGCCCGGTGCGAGCCCAGGCTGTTCGCCCAGCTGTACGCCGACCCGTTCTCCGGCACCAGGCCCAGCTGGCTGAAGGTCACGTGCAGCCAGGCGCCCTCCGCCGCGTAGAAGAGGTCGCTGCTCCCCTGGAACCAGGCCGCGCCGGCGCCGACCCCGGGCCCGTTCATGGCGAGGACCAGGACTTTCTTGTGGTCGATCAGCGAGCGCGCGAGCTCGACGCCCTCCGCGAGACGCGTGGCGAAGAAGACCTTCTTGGCGCCGTCGTGGGCGAAGGATGAAGTCATGGAGGCAACGTCTGTTTTGTTTTTGGAATCAGCGCTTAGAGAAGGTGTGATATATACCTCCCCAAATCAGAGAGACGAGACGAGGAATTGCGAGATCGCGATGTCGTTCCTGCGGAGTCTCCGGTTCCTTGATATCTCGGCGAGGGAAATGGAGGGGGTTCAATGGGCATGGAAGAGGAGAGGCTAAGGAAAGGGGAGCAAACGCACTGGTGACATCGGCCCCCGCAGCGAAGAATCTCCCCTCACCGGTGATGACGGTGAAGGTGGTATCGGGATGGTCATCGAGTTCGCGGAGCGCGGCGATGGTGTCGGAGACGAGGCTGCCTCCGAAGGAGTTTAATTGTTTCGGACGGTTGAACTGAGGAATCGAGTCAGTCGGTGTTTCTGCTGCATGTCTTCACACGAATGGCTTGGGCGGATCATCTCTTGTATGATAATTCTCGGAGGCCGACCGGTGTCGCGAACAGGTAGAGGGCCGGACTGACCTTGATTGTGCCAATGCCGTCGGCGATGGTGACGACGATGTCGGTGTACTTGTTCTTCGACATTGCGTGCGAATGTATATGCAGTCCGAAGAAGCCGTGATTATCTTGTCTCAGGACCGGTATATCTGTGTATGTCCTGTGTAGATTCTTGTATGATATATCTATGGAGTGTTTTGGGTGTCAGAGGTTGTCGTCATTCCCTCTCTTACTAGGTACGCAGGAGGACGGTGCTGTGGTAATAATGATGAGGGAGGCCCAGCCACACGAGTCAGCCGTCGTCGGTCAGTATGGGTCCGATCCGTTCAGCAGCCCATGGATGCGCCCGGGCTTGACTAGGTACTCTCCACGTGCAAGATCTTCCCCAGATTGTGCAAAGACCCTGTGAAAGTCGCGCTTGCCTCGGCTTTCCATCAGTTCATGTTGTGTGCATGTGAGATGGTAGGTAGTACTGTGACATCCCCTTCACAATAATTGCCGTCGAACTATCCCTAAGGAGAACGCTCTCCAGATCGATAGGTCGCGATGGCCGAGATCATGCATACGAGACAGATTTTCTCACATTGCGGACACGGCATCTCGGAAGACTACATCGTCACATCACATCGTAACCATGTCTTCACTAGTGAGAAGTTGAAAAATGATGTTTTTTTGTCTCATAAAAGCGTTATCTGCAAAAGTCATCAAGAACGGGTATCGTATCACAAAACACACACATCGTGTGGACAGAGCGTCAGACAGATAGAGGAAGACGAGCCGTCATGGTTTTTCCCATATCCGACAGGCTCGCTCCGCCCAATCCAGGGCGTCATGTCCACAAACACGCTCAGCTCAGCTCCTGCTCTTTCTACAGGGTGTATCGGAAACCCTCCAGGCCCTCGATGACCTTGCCACCGGCGGCGGCGCGCTTGTTGGCGCGGTAGAATTTCCAGTCGAGGAGGGCGACGATCGGGATGATCAGGGCGGACGCGATGATACAGGCGATCATACCAGGGACGTACTATACGAGGAGAGAAGTCAGCATTCGTGTCCAGGTTTGACATTTTGGCCACAGGAGTGGTGGAAGTGAAAGTAGGCAAGGGAGGGCAAAACTTACGCCAGGCTTGTCCTGATCACGGAAGACGGTCGAACCGATGATACCGCCGACACCACCCATGCCGACGAGCGTGGCGGACGCAAGAGCGCGCTTCCACTGGCCACGGATGTTGTTGGCCTGGTAGCTGAGCACGGTCGGGACGTTGGCGTTGGCGGAGGTGGTCGCGAGGAAGACACCGAAGTAACGAACGGCGTTGTTGGTAGAGAAGCCGAGGAGGGGCACACCGATGACACCGAGAAGGGCATTGATGACGACGAAAGGTCCTCGCAAGTGATATTTGTCACCGTAGATGGCGCAGATGTACATCCAGATGGCTGCAACCACGTAGGGCGGGGCGATGAGGCACTGGGCGGCGCCAGCGGTGAAGCCCATTCCGGTCAGAATCTGCGGAAGGAAGTAGGCGATGGCGTAGGTGACGGTGGTGGTCAGGCCGAAGAGTGCGGCAAAGGCCCAGATCTTGATGTCGAGGGCGCCCCTGAGGTAGGTGCCGAGCTTGAAGGGCTCGGCGATGGCATCGCTGCGGTCCCTCTCAATACGGGCGACGATGAAGTCCGCCTCTTTCTGGGAAAGGAATGCCATAGCCAATGACTTGGACTTGGTGGCGGCCTTTTCGGGGAAATCGGCAATGGTGAAGGCTCCAACCATGGCGACGACACAGGTGATGATACCTTGCATGATGAACTGTGAGGGGACATTGTCACGTTAGCTCTCCATTCTTTCATAAAACGGTCCTCTGACTAGAGATGTGTGTCACTCACAATCCATCGCCAGCCAGCAATACCACCCTGGATGGATGCAACTCCAGCATAGGGGTTCTTGGGGTTGACCAGGATGCGCTTGCCGTAGTCCGAACCCAAGTTGCCGAGGCCGCTCATCTGATCAAATCCAAAGGCCATGATACCAGAGAAAGCCGACGACAAGCTACCGATGAGGTAGAAGACGGCGTAGCGCTTCTGAAGGTCGTATCGAGGGTACCAGCATGAAAGCACGTAGGCTGCACCCGGGAAGAAACCGGCCTCGAGAACACCGAGGAGAAGACGAAGACCGATCATCTCAGTCCAGACCTTGACGAAGCCGAAGCAGATCATGACGATACCCCAGGCGATGGTGATGGCGGGCAGGAAGATCCTCGGGCCCAATTTGCGCAGCACGACGGTCGCGGCGGGTTGCAGGAGCACGTAGGTGAGGAAGAAGACGAGGGTGATGATGGAGTAGCGGAAGCCTTCGTATAGTTTCAAGTCGACGGTCATGCCCGCAACAGCAGCGATACCGAGATTCGTTCTGTAGAGAGAAGAGAAAAACCACAAAGTCAGATTCGCGTCGTTCGTGTGAAGGGCGATCTCGTCGGTTCGCCATTCGGGTCTCCTTCGCGATGCTCTCTTACCTGTCCATCAGCGAGACACAGTACATGAAGCCCAATGTCAGGACCAATCGAATATCGATGCGGCGAATGACAGCCTTCTGCTCCGCAGGCGTGAGGGCGTTGATACGCGAATCGATGCCATCGGACTTGTTCGAGTCGGCAGACGTCTCGCGTTGGAGTGTCTGGGTGCCGACCTTCTCGACGTCGGCATGCTGCTCCATTGTGAAGGTTGATTGTCCGAGGACAACGGTTGGTGATGGATGCAGATGTTGTTTGGCGATAGTGTTGGTGAAGTGAAGTGATGTAGCTGTCAGGCTGGCCGCTCTTGTTCAATCGCTCTGATTGCTGTACAGAGAGAGGGCGCAATCTTCGCTTCACAGGCGGCAATGAGACAGACAATGGAAGGACGACAGAAGGCTACACGGAGGGATAAGTGAAGCAGCGGTGGGCACAGGCGAGCTTCTTGTATGCACGCGGACGGGAGGAGAGCAGCAGTGAATGTTAGATGGCCATGTACGCCGAGACATGGAGGACTGTAGCTGTTCGCGACAGAAGTGTACTTGTGCTGTTGTACATGGTGGTGGTGGTGGATGTGGACCTGCCGAAGAGAGAGAAGCTGCAGAACAGTACCGCTGCGTTACTGTTCAGTTCCAGTCCAGTCCAATTCAGGATGCGCCTCGCCTCGTCTCGCCTGCTTCTACTGCTTCTTTTTCCCTCCTGCCATGTGCCCAATGGAGGTGGTACGCTATACATTGCAGTACAGTACAGTACGGTACGTATCTGTAGACACCAACTCACCTCATCTCATCCCGTCGCCCGCACACATGTGCACACCCACCCGGGCTCCGATATCCAGTGGAGATCTGATGCTGGCTTCACATGGCTCTCAGAGATCCACATCTTACACAAGCCAAGACCCAACACGAACCAATTGAGTCAGACTAGCTAATGAGGCGCACCATGCTCCCACTAGAGCTACAATATCTAGTAGACCATGTGTGTGTGTGTGTGTGTGTGTGTATGTGTGTAGGTATGTGTGTGTGTGGACACTGTATTTGAAGTAAGAATAAGCCGAAGCATGCTACCTAGGTGGTTATGGGAGGGAAAAGAGCCATGGACCAGCAGCATATCTCACCTTTTAGCGTGTCTTGCCTGTGATGGTTATTAGCGGGGCGCCTATTCTTGCACGCCTCGTTCATACCATTTCAGGGCTGCTCTGTGATGGCTCTGTCTGCAGGGAATACAGTCCAGTCAGTATCCATCGCTGCTCGACTTGTCTGTCCTGCGCATTCGCCCGCCGCGCAACGACTGCGATCCTTCAGGCGCAACCAGGGCGCCCCAGACGATGACAACCTTAATCATCGCGAATCCATCGTCTCATTTCGGGATTTCACTCTCGATTCGCCGATCAATGCCCATAGATACCCTGGGAGATGATTGCAGCAAGGGGACCTGAGCACTGGGCCCTTCCATACGCGCTCCCATCACATAGATAGCGAAGGACATCCTTATCGACGAAGCAAGCTCTTCCTGTCGCAAAGCTTCCTGACATCAAACAGCAGCAGCAGCACCACCACTCCCACCACCACCGAATCCAGGGACACACGTGCGGGGAAATGATGGTTCCTATCGGAGCGCTGCTGGACTAAAACTAGGACCAACACCGCCAAGAGAAAAGTGCGCACATGGGACAGTTCCCCGAATCAGACGATGGTGGCGGGTCCTTCTAGACTCACACCACGTCCTTTCCCCGGGGTGGACATCCATCATGAATCGCGATGGATTTCAATTTGAGAGATCGAACCCATGTGTGTACTGTACACAAGAGAAGAAGAAGAGATGTGCCATGTGTGTGTGTGTGTCGCGGTGTCGGAGCCGCGAAATCTTCGGTGTGACAATGTTCTATGGTGATTCCGTATTGTGTTCATCTCTCCCCATAACGATTTTCAACTTTTAGCAGACCACCTAGGTACACATGGTTCCCGACCGGCGGACACGTGCGATGCTAAAAAGGTGCGGCGTCGCAAATGCCTCATTTGGGCAATATCGATTGTCCATCATCAGCATGGAGCTCCGACGGCGCAAGGCATGTTCGCTGATGGCGAAGACCTCACTTTCGATATGCAATCGATGATGTGATGCAGCATCCTCCCTTTCCATTCGTTGACAGATGACAATTATTTGAGGTTTGGCTGTTGGATCTCCAATGGCAAACGCGGCGGGATAAGCGTGGTCGCTCGTGCATTTCAGGCGTGCAGCTATCGACCTGCAAGCGGTTCGACTGTCCTTCTCGCTGTCTTGGACCAGCACATATCTCCGTCTCTGGCCACAATATCCGATGGGACGGACAGGCAGGCAGGCAGGCAGACAGACATCTCCCAAAATCTGAGCACGAGCATCACCATGAGAGCATCATCAGATTCAATCAATCAATCAATCAACAGAATGAGCAACAACCAGCCCTAAGTCAGTCCCTTTGCCACTGACCACGCCACATCACACAACATACAATCATATGGTATATCCACAGTACAACACGATACCCTATCCTACACCATCTCCCAAAGAGAGCAAATGCCCAGGCGCGAGGGACAGACATCGACCCGCAAGCCACGATCACGTTTTCTTTCCCACGCGATCCTCACATGGCGCCTCTTTCCCAGAGCTTGTGTGTGTGTGGAGAGAGAGAGAGAGAGAGCCAGAGAGAAGAGGCTTCCCGTGCGCATTACCCGCCGCCGGCGAATTAGAAGGTCGAGTAGGGTCGCGATGGGATTAACCACGCCACATCGTCTCGAGCCGCACGCATTAATTTCTTCCACGCTTTCTTTTTTCTATTTTCTCCTAGAGGGACGAAAGTGTTGTTTACTATTACCCCGGATCGCTGCTCCAGTTGTGTGGGGATAGAGTGTGGTGTGCAGTCGATTTAGCCCGTCGATAGATCATCGCGGGGGAGGAGTGCCAGGAGGAGAGAACCGTTTCCCCATCCCATCTCTATTCTTCTCTCCAAATTGTACTATAGTAATAAATAGACATTCCATCCTGCTTCAACCGGCGATTCTGACTGATCGGGAGGAACGATCAATGACTCGCTTCCTTTTCGCTCCAACTGCTAGATCGATAACGACACTTGACCCGAAAGTATACATTCTATTACAAAGAGGCACACACCAAAAACAAAAAACAAAAGAGATGGCTTGCTTGGCTCTTTCCCTACTACAAGTTCCGCGCGCGTCCGGTCGGTCGGGTGTCACGCGGCGTCTGGATATGACACAAACCTTCCTCCGTCTAGATCTGCCGTGGACGAATAGCTATGAACCATTCCAATGCCCAAGGGCAAGTCTAGTCGAGAAGAGCGAGAGCCTAATGACCTTCCAGAAGAATGGATGCGTCGGCGGATCCGTCATGACTCGCCCGCACTCGGGATCCGTCAGTCCACAACACTTCCACACGGTCCACCTTCGACGAAGTACTCCCCAGTACAGTAGGACTCCACTCCTGCCTACGAAGGGGAAATCTAGGCGCGGCGCGGTGGCCTCTTGGCGAAAAACGCCCTCTCTCTCCCCCCCTCTCTCTTCCTCTCTTCCTTCCTCGTGTGAAATATATAGCGGCGGCGGAGCGGATCCCTCCATTCACTCGAACCCGCCGCGCGCGCTTGAAAGGGGAAAATGCTCCGTCTGCCGCCTCCATCCCTGTCCTACCTGCGTATGACTGATGGGCTCCTCCTCCGCGAACCTCACGTGTTGACATTAGCGTCGTCGCCCCGGCGGTTCCATCGTCATCGTGAGGTTTTGTGAAATCTGGGGTAGAAGCTACCCCGGGCGAGATCTCGTCCGGCAAGTCTTGGCCTTGGACTTGGATCACAAATACCTTTCCATCCCGGCGGCCTTCCGTTCGAGCGAGTGATGGTGGGATGATGGAATTCCTTTGGAATATTCATGGGTCGAGGCCTTTATTGTGTGGCGCTCGCTGCTTTCGGAGGTCGCTCCTTGAATACCCTCCTGCTCCGAAATATGTCCGTCCGACGTTCCGGCATATCGTATCGTGTCTCTGGGTGGATCGTTCACTCTTGTCATGGCGAGAGTTTATAATTGGCCGCTGATTGACTCGTCCGGGCTCTGTCATTCTCCTTGACCCGCCGCCGCTCGGTGTGGTATCCACATTGAAATCGCGGCTCCGTCTGGGTGAAGACACTCGATCTCCACTTTTTCTCCAGTCGAGTCCGCCGCGAATATCACGCGCGAGGGACCCACCTACGGGACTTCGATTTCACCCAATGTCCGAATATCACCCGGAGTTTTGGTTCCGATCGGAGCAATGCACAAGCGATATACGACATGTCATCTGACGGAAGATGCATGCATGGGGAGATATGCGAACATGTTGCTCCATCGCCTGATTCCCATCGAAACGGTGATGGAAGACAACCCATCGCGACATGCTCTGTTCTGACATCATGGCATTAAGGCCGGCCGTTAGGGTAGGGTAGCCCCTCCAGGCTCGGTTGACTTTCCCATCTCCATTTCTGAACCCCTCCATCATTGGCCTCGTCACTCACCTCTCATTACAACAACAGCAAAAAATATAGTTCCCAAAAACAACATCCTCGTCCCAGTATCCTCATCACTCCATCACTCCCCCATAATAACACATCCTCCTTGAATCAACCCGCCAAACCATGACTCGCTTCCGCCCCTGCATCGACCTCCACGCCGGCTCCGTCAAACAAATCGTCGGCGGCACCCTCACCACCGACTCCTCCGCCCTGAAGACCAACTTCACCTCCGAGCACCCGGCCGCCTACTTCACGGAGTTATACCGGGAGAACGACCTCCGCGGCGGCCATGTCATCATGCTCGGGCCGGGCAACGACGAGGCCGCGCGGGAGAGTCTGGCGGCGTGGCCAGGCGGTCTGCAGGTCGGCGGAGGGATCAAGGATGGGAACGCGCGCGAGTGGATCGAGAGGGGGGCGGAGAAGGTATATACCTATTTATCTATCTGTTTTCCCCAGTACCCAACTACATATCTGTCCGGATCCTCGAGACGGGAGAGGAGGCGACACAAAACGAAAAATTACATACCCATTTCTCCATTTCAATATATCTTCCCCCATCTCTTCTCTTTTCCCTCCTCTCTCTCTCTCTCTCCTCCTTTGTAGAATTTCAGGCGGCTGATTCGTCGTGTCCCTCGTCTCCGTCCGTCCTCCGGTAGGTCATCATCACCTCCTTCCTCTTCCCCTCCGGCACCTTCTCCCTCGCGCGGTTAGAGTCCGTGCTCGCGAACCTCGACGGCGACCGGAGCAAGCTCGTCATCGACCTCAGCTGCCGGCGCGTGGGCGCGGGCTGGCGCGTGGCGATGGACAAATGGCAGACGATTACGGATTTCGAGATCACGGCAGGTAAGAACCGCGCGCAAGTTCCCCCACGGGCGTTTGTCCCCACCCTCTAATCCCTTTCTTTGCCCCCTCCACAGAGAACATCGCCCTCCTCGAACCCTACGCCGGCGAGTTCCTCATCCACGCCGCCGACGCCGAGGGCCTGCAGGCGGGCGTCGACGAGGCGCTGGTCGCCCACCTCGCCGCCATCTGCTCCATCCCCGTCACCTACGCGGGCGGCGGCCGGAACCTGGGCGATCTGGAGCTGGTGGAGAGGTTGAGCGGCGGGAGGGTCGACCTCACGATCGGGAGCGCCTTGGATATCTTTGGCGGCAAGGGAGTGACTTTTCGGGAGTGTGTGGAGTGGAACCGCGGCCGGTAGGGGATGGTGATGGTTGATGATGATGACGATGATGGTGGTGGTGGTATGGAAAGTGGAGATGGGAGGGAGCCGTCGGGGGTGGGATTCAGGCGGGAGAGAAAAAGAGGAGAGGGAGGAGGGATGAGAGGAGAGGGGGGGATGAATGACCGGAGGGGCTGCTTTCGCCTAGTGGCGTTCGTTGAGGCGATAGAGACTTGTAACAGTCATCTCGATACATAAGCGGATGAGGGAGAAATTCCCAAGCATCGGAAGACCGCCGATGACACGTTCGGAAAGAATTCAAATTTTCACCTGAGAGCACGCGGCTCCGTACTCCTTACACCTCTCCTCCCCCAAAGCCACATGAAACGTTCGCTAGAAATCTCCCATTCGCATCGTCATCGTCGTCACCACCCCTTCACTTCAACAGATCCTCCCAGAGGGCGCCCTGCTCCAGATACCCGTGGTGGATGACATTCACCAGCCAATACCCCCTCCGGACGCTCTCCAGCAGTTTGCTGCTCGGGGATCCCGGGGCGTACACGCGCTGCCACTCGAGGAAAATGCCGAAGGCCTCCTCCAGCCAGGCGCGGAACGACACGGCCTCGACGATGGTGGGGGTGATGATCTCCTTGCCGGCGAAGCAGCCCCACGTCACCGGGTTGACGCTGTCCGGGTGGTTGCTGGAGAAGTCGCCGCGGTCGTTGCCCGCGAAGTAGGTGATCTGCGGGTGGGCGAGGAAGCGCTCCTGCAGCGTGGCCCAGTCGCCGGCGGGCACGAAGAACTCGACGAACGGCTTCTGGAAGACGAAGCCGTTCCTGGGGCCCCAGCCGTGGGTGGCGTCGGTGGAGGGGACCCCGTTGACGGCGGGTTGGGAGGCGACGGTCCACCAGCCGCGGTCGATGAGGGAGAGCAGTTCGGCTTTGATCGAGAGGGTTTCCGGCTGGAGGGCTTCTTCCGACCATGGCATGGAGGGGATTTGGCCTTCGATGTGGCGTCGGAATAGTTGGGAGATGTCGGATGCGCTGCACGGCTCGCCCCATATGCGTTTGGCTTCGGGGACACTCACGTGGAGACTGGTGCCGTAGCCGTCAATCTCACCGTATGCGGGAGAGCGAGCATCACCCCATCGTCCGTTGGGGAAATCGTCCCAAATGGCTTCTCGCCCTAGCGCACCTCGACCCTCTGAGATGGCAAGCGTGTTGGCTCGGCTGCTGATCTTTTCTTTGGGTACCCCTGCTTCATCATCCGGCGCCTCGAAGACGGCGATGTGGGGATTGCTGTTCTCTTTCGTCTTTTCTCGTGATACGACCACTCGGTTGCCTGGCTGGGAATTCGTCTGAGAGGATAATCTCCGTCGCCTCCTTTGATCCGCATCCGGCACGACGATGAAGCCATCCGTCTCTTCTTCGATGGCCTCTTCTGGACCACTGCTGCGTCCCACAGGACTCGCATCGGGGCTGATGGAACAAGGGATGAGGTCGCAGCGCTCGAGGATTTGTGCAACAGCCTTTTCCAAATTGAGAGTGTAAAAGTGAAACCCTCTGTGGTCAGCCATGTCCAATGCTTTCAACGATTCAACGATTTCGCTCAGTATGTCCACGCCGACCGCCTTCACAGCTTCATCGTCACTTCTGACCGCTTCGACGCGCTTGAGGATGTCGTCAGGGAGTGAGGCATGGCTCAATTTGGTACTGCGTCGAAGAATTTGATAATTTTGGATCGGCATCAAGCCGGGAATGATAGGGATCGTTTTGAAAAGACCAGAGTCGTGCTCTCGCAGCAATCTGACATACCGCTCGTATGCTTGCACATCATAGAACAATTGCGTCATGATGAAGTCTGCGCCGGCCGCAACCTTTTCGACCAGATACGGGAGATCGTGGTCGACCGATTGATGTTCGGGATGTGATTGATCGGAATGTCCCTCGGGGTATCCAGCGACTCCGACGCAGAAGTAGTCTCCATATCGCGATCGAATATACCTGACCAGATCGACGGCCCAGGCGAAGTCTTTATTGCTATCATCCTCCTCCTGACCGGGCACGCGATCATCTCGATATTCAGCGCTCCGGGGAGGATCGCCCCTCAATGCCAACAAATTACGCACCCCGAGTGCTTTCGCTTGGTCCAATGTCTCGTCGATCAGCTTCCGTGACATGTTCGTGCATGTCAAGTGCAGGCACGTGGTCAATCCGAGAGAGTGTTGGGTGAGTTCGGCCAGAGCGAGGGATTTGGAAGCCGTGCTGCCTCCAGCACCCCAGGTGACATTGACGAACAACGGTCGCAGCGAATGCGACATGCGCACGAGGCGAGCATGGAGGTTGGAGAAGCCCTGTTGGGTCTTAGGCGGGAAGAATTCGAGGGAGAAGTAGTTTGTTCCGGGAGGCAGAGCAGCAATTTTATCAATAATCTTGTCGGAGGACGACGCCGCGACGGCTGGCTCAATGACGTGCGGCATCTCTTTGGGGAGCAGAACGGGACTAGGTGGTGATTGATTGTTCAGCGCACAGCACTGCGTTGTATGAACTTGTCTATGGAGACGGTCCCGTGAAGGAGTTGGAAAACAATCCGATGAGGCATTGGTCGAGTCGCGGCAGCGGTAGGCATGAGTGGTAGATTTTGCATCTTGGGCAGAACCAGGCCCCGAGCCCGCTGCATGTCCGCCACTTTCTCTCCCATCAATATGCACCGGAGCTTCCTGGTCCTTCACTTGGGGCGCAATGAATTACTGCTCGCTGTTATCGGGTTTGCCCCACGTTGGCGATAAGAGTGGGTGATGGTCATGGTCACGTGTGAGCGTGCCTGTTCGCGTGACGGTCCGAATTTCATGTCTCGAGATGATGAAACGGAACGAACGAAGCTGCAGGTGAAGTATAGGTGAGAGAGACGTCCAGACGATTGCTTTGACCTGACGAACATCCATGGCTACGGCAGGCAGTAGAGACGGCCGTATACTGTTCGACTCTACCGTGCTCGGCGGGCATATCTGCGCGATCGTAGGGGGCAGCATTGGGAGCTGGGACAACCAGCTTGCTTGGATGCACCAGCGGGCGAGCGTGTTCGAGATTGGGAATGATATGGGAGGGCAGACGCGAGCATTCAGTGAATTGCATATACATGTATCGGTCGAGGCTGCTCGACGTGCATCTCGCAGGGATTAAATCCAGTTCATCGTCAAGAATGTGCATATATTCTGCAGTCACGATATCCACCAGCAGATCCCCTTGATAAGCTCCACCCTGTCCATTGGATCTGGTCGACGACGATAAAGTTTGGGTCTCGCAATTACATGCAGGGCGGTGCCTTCTTCTCAGGGTCGTCCGCGGAAGCATGAAAACTCACGGCCAGCCTCCTGCTCACTACAATGCACGTTCCAAACTCTGCTGCCACTTTTCGGGATCGCGGCTGGAGGTGTTGTACAGTGTATCCACAGTTGCATTCTTCCCTTTCACGTCCAGGAGAAATTCTCTGATAAGGTAGTCCTGAGTCTGTGATTTTCTGAGCGGTAAGGACGACATGAAGACATCTGGTTGTCTTGGCATTCCATGGGGAAACCCAAGCACAAGAGCGGCCAGTCGCGAGAACACGAAACATGCTATCACGTCCGGGCATGTATTGGCGAGCCTTGAAACAGCGTTTTCGTCTCCGCACTTCCAGGAAGCTTGGATTGCAGTCTCCGTGCGCGACGCGTGGTCATTGACGAACAACGGTTTTCCCCGAGTGGGAAGAGAACGGCGCAACGGCCCATTACGCGAAACATGCACGTACCGTGCGTGAATCATCGGTTGCCGTGAGGCAGGCTGTCGATACTGCGAAAACACGCCCACAGTTGGAAAGCATCTCCATCGAGAAAGATCCGCTGTGGCGAGCACGAGCGCTGGGAAAAATAGAGCGCGCAGGAGTGGGATGTGAATCCTACAGCGGTCGTTTGGCGAAGGAATGAGCCTAGACGCGTCTTACCAAGAGATGCGTGTACTATATACTGTGCTGCGCTGTGCTTTGCGATGCAGGTGCCAGTCATAGCGATCCATATCAATTGCCGAGAAGGAAATGTTTGGCTGCAGTCGACCTCGGGATAATGATGGTGATCGCGATGCCCGTCCGATCGGGAATGCCATCGATGCGTGTCTGCATGTGTACGGGATCGAGAAAGAATGCGGACCAACAATCCTTGCCACCATGGACCCGAGGCCTTTCTCAAAGATTTGAGGCGTAGATTCGTCGTCGCGATCCATGTCAGATTCAGAGCTTGGGATTGGTATACAACGCCGGTGACGAAAGGTTTACCAGGGGTCAATGTGCAGGGGAGGAGCATTTTCGCGTATTGGCGTCAAAATAGCCCGTACAGCAGCAGCAAGAGCAATTACTGTCGTCTGCTCCGGCGGGAGATGCATGTGGTATATGGTGTTTGGTGGCGCACAGAATTCAAGTCCGGTCCCGTGACGAACCGAACCGACACCCACTGGGGAGAGCCCGGCGTGAGCCACAGTTGCCGCCACCAAATCTCACTCATTTTCGGCAGGCCGGCTGGGAAAGTTTTCGGCCAGAGGGGGGGAGAATCGGGGGCCATTTTATTGTTATTAGTTGCTGGAGACCAATATATAAATGTGCCTATATTATTATGCATACATTGTTCGAAGACATCGCTGACCGCATGTATGTCCGATATCGTCCATATTACATGCACCGTAATAAAGTGCGTCCTCACCAGGTTTCCACATACCTATCAATCTATCCCCAGCTCCAGAAATGCATGATGAGATGGCTTTTGCTGCACCTGAGCAGGGCTGCCTTCGTGTAGATTTGAGGCTCGAACGAGGGCGCGACTTAGCGGCAGCCACATGCCCTTTGCATGGGAATGGCCTTTTCCCTCGCCCTCGATCGCATTCTACCACCGATGCCCCTGTCGCAGGGCCGGGGAGCCGACGAGTGCAATCTACAGTACAGTGCAGAGAGACAGTGCAGTAGGTTCACAGGGGTGTGTCAAAAGGTCACGAAAGAGCAGTCGGCGACTGGGTTTCTCGGGCTTTTTTTTTCTCTCTTTTCACTTGGCTGCAACCAGACAAGGAATCTTTCCCTGGCAATGCCCGCCTGCCTGGGGAAATGCCCAGCATTTTCTCGTCATGCGACGAGGACTCGGCCAAGACAACTTTGATCGATGATGATGGCAAGCCGTCGACCACCATGCATCTGCTTGCTGGTTTACAAGTACCTGCTGCGGCTCCAGACCACGTGAAAGCCGGATTGAAGTGTTCGGGACAGCTTTTCGGTGAGGCTTGCCAGGGTGTGGAACAGGTTCACCGTCCCATCAATCAATCATTGTCTGCGCGCCCACGGGTTTGGTAGGTAAGTTGTCTTATTACATATTACATAAAACATGCGGGACATGCACATGCAGGTATATTTCCACACCATTCCCAGATCGCGGTGTACTCTCCACGCACGATCTCCCGTTGTGGGAGGAATAAGCTATCAATTGATTGATTGATTGATTGATTGATTGATTGATTGATTGATTCGTCGTCGAGAGATATCCTGTGAGGACACGGAGAGGCGGTTTGAGGACAGAAGACGGGAAGGGTCAAGGAAATGGAGCATCGCGTGACATGCGGATGGGAGATCACTGGCTCGTTTCTTTTCGTGGTCCAACGGGCGACGCGAGGGACGGGAGAGGCTTGCAGCAGTGCCCAGCGGTCGTCCGAGCCCGTGCCCGGCAGAGTCGCATGACATTTTTTCCGCCCGCTCTTCTCTGCCCTCACCATCTCCAGGCTCAGGATTCACAGGTCGCTACACATTATCATCGTCCAACACATATGGGAGGATGGGATTTGGATGCGCGGGGAACTTCCGTGGAGCATCATGACTGGCGAACTTCCCATCAGATATCCTCCTCACCCTCTCCTGGAAGTTGCCGTGTTTTCATTGTCGCGATGGTGGTACAGCGCAGTAGTGAAATGACCAAGACAGCCCTGTAAACCTTGTACCTCCCCTCGGCCGGGGAATAGAGACAGTACAATGCGACAGTACAGTACAGTCCAGTACAGTACATACATAGAGTTCCTCTGGTTGTGGGGTCCGGCCCGTCTGTTTGTTAGTGTGTCTGTGTGTGTGAGAGAGAGAGAGAGAATGAGTGCTGAGCGAGTGCCATTTCGATTTCAATTCGATTTGTTCCCTTTGCTATCAATATTTTGTTACCCAGTCTCTTTCAATCTGTTTGAATCATCCGGTTCAGCATAGGTTTCAGTCGATCCAAACCCATCGAATTGCGAGATCAGTTCGGCACAAATCGGCCCTAGCTAGACCCAGCGGAGGACCGTCCGCCACGAGCGCTCAGTCTCACTCGTACCCGAGATCAGGGCCGGTTGGGGTGGAAACAACGTAGAATGTCTCTGGGCGACCATGTCGTCGGTGTATGTGCACCGGTCCAGACGAGCACGCGTGCATTTTGCATTGTCACCACAGAGAGTCGGAGAGGAAGAAAGGGAAGACTGAAGTGTACCAGACGTGTAGATCGGTACGGGCAGCCGAAATGGCCGAGCTCTGTGTCGCGACTGCAGCAGACTAGACCTAATATAATACCACCTAGGTAATAATAATACTGGGCTAGACTGGTTATCCAGTAAGAATGAAATATGTGGTGCTGTAGGACTGTTGTAGTAGTCGCAGCAGTAGTAGTAAAATGACTGACTGATACCTAGGCTAGGTACTAGGTATGTATGCATCATGCCACACCACAAACTACCGCCAGGTGGACAAACAACACACACACAGACACACACCCCCCCCCCCCAAACGTACACCCACCTCTACGTATGGCGTGCATGGCCCGTCTTTCGCCGAAAACCTAGTTCACTCATACTTTTCCGCCCAGGCCCTGGCCACGGACAAAAATAAGAAGCAGAGGCCCATATATATGTATTGGGCATGACGCCGCGACCAACGGCATTCTTCGGTACGTGTGATGACACCGCTCCAATCTCTTCTACCTTTAATCATTGTCACCAACCCATACCATAGACTCAAACCTACCACTCAGTGACATCCCATCCTGACCGACCCGTGGTCCCGACTCGACAGGCACGCGACTTTGTCTCGCTCTCTCGTGCAGTACCCTTGGATACATAAAGATCATCGTCATCGCCTTTCGCCGAGCTGGGATAGACAACCACCCTGTGTAATTCTCCTTGTGGTGATCGACCGTGTAGCAACCACCTATCACCGACTCCAGCACCATTCTGTGTCTTGTTTGTCATCCGACAATGACGACCGCGAATCCTTGTGTGCCCATGCCCGCCATGCTTGGACACCGACCGGCCTCCAAAGGCCCCATCCATCCCGCTCCCAAGCAAAAGGCACCTTTCGACGCCAAGCTGCTCTGTGCAAAACTGGAAGCCCATCAACGAGATTTAGATCTCCAGCGGGCTCGCAGAGAACGACATGAGTCTTCCTCCAAACGCCGAAGCATCTTCGTCCCGCAGAATGCTGCCCGACAATTCGCGGCCACCACAACCTGCATGCCCGATGTTGTCGTTAAACGACCCAACCCTTCACGGCCCACCGTGTCCATACCAGTTGATGCCGACTCCTCGGCCATGAACCCGAAGCAGATGCATGCGGCTCGAAGCGCTGGCATGTCAGAGACGGAAGCCGTGACTGCCGTCAGCCATGCCAACGAACCTGTCCGCAAACGAGACTCATTGAGCCCTATCTCCTCGTCACAACAACATGAGAGCTCCGACAAGCCTACGCGCAAATCTTCCGAGAGGAAATCCGATGAGAGGCCGCGACGCCGCGACGCCCAAGATGAGGTCCGACAGAAACGCATGAGCTACCGTCCAGGCGACGCCGAGAAACGCCGCGGCGAGGCCAAGGTGACCTACCAACCCGACTTCTCCTTTGGCCTTCAGTTTCAACAAGAGATCCCTTCATTTCTCGCCAAGCCCGTCATTCCCGCATATCGCTTAGCCCGCGACCGCGAAGAGGATATGCCTTACGGTCCACTCACCTTGCCGACCCAGCACGAGATTCCCGACGAGCACACCGAGCTTCCGCGTGGCCGCCCACGACCTCAGGACCGACCCAACTGGCGACAAGATTCGCAATGTGGGGACGAAGCCCGCGACATGCTTCAACACCTTCACATCCCGGGCAAGCCGACCACCAAAGCGAGAAACCTCCACCCATCCGACGATCGCCGATCACGAAGCGAGCAGCGCGCTGCCGGAGCCTCGCCAAACGACCAGCCCCGACGCGGCAGTGAGAATTTAATATCGGACGCCGTGCGACTGATCAAGAAGGAGGAGAAGCTACGCAAGCGGGAGAGCGTCTTAGCATTTTTCAAGCGGTCCAAGTCATGATCTCCGCGTCGGCGTCTCTTGAGCGTCCTCTCATATTTCCTTAATACTGTACTTTTGCACATTTCCCCTGCTCGCATTGTTACTCATTTCTTCCTCATCACCACTCGATTCGAGATGGACGACGTATGACGAATCACCAAAATTTCTCTAGATGATAGCATTGAGATAGACCGAGGCATTTCCCTGCTAATTTGATCATCTTTCTAATTTTCATTGATGCTGTTCCGGCTCGACCACGGTGTGCTGATTCATCTTGGCGATACTTCCAAATACAATCCCTCTCCCTATAGAAAGCTGTGCCGTCTCTGCACATTTGTTCTACACACGATCATTTCACCAGACTCTCGAAATCAACTCTCTCAACATCTCGATGACGGCATCCTCCTATCCTCCCGAGGTGCTCCCCGGCATTTGGGCAATCCGAAAATAAAGAGGTCCACTTGCGCTTCCTGTCCCGTGACGTCACGCTCCACGGCGGGTCCGAATTCAGAGTTTCCTCGAAGCGCATTCTAATCAAATAGTGCTTATGTCCGTCGTGATCTGCCCGACTAGACACGTCGGCGTGCATTTCCCGTGTCTGCTACTGTACACTCCAAGCAGGTTCCGACTGCCGTGGAGTGCAGTTCACAGGTGGTGCTGCGACAAGGGATCTGCGGATTCTGCTAGAGCAGTGCATCGCGAATCTCGCTACCACAAATTTGCTGCGCGCCTGTATGCGAACTGGGTTAGGGTTGCACCCTTCCACATCTCCATCTGAGACATCATTATTCGCGCACCTCACTACCCTCCAGCTGCGATCGAAACGTACAGATCCACCCCAGGATCATCCTGCGAGATCTCACTACTGCGGCGGCTACTCCTAGATCCGCGTGACAAGACGGCGCAGGTGCTCGCTTACTGCCAGATCATCCCACGATGCCGCATGGATCTTGAACCTCCCCGCAGCGACGACGACGAAGCGAGACATCGTACTTCCACTGCCGCCTTTGAGCGTACTATCGACGAGAACGCATCGCGCGAACCACAGACACCCGAACAGGATGAAAACACACAGGGATCTGCTAGATTCCCCCTCCGCCGCTCCGAGACAAATCTTCGAAGCATCGCTGGTAGCAGCGACAAAAGGGCGCGAGACATTCTCGAACCCTGTGTCATCTGCCTCGAGCCCATCACCGAGCGCGCCATCGCTGCGCCCTGCAACCACCTGAGCTTCGACTTCCTGTGTCTCGCCTCATGGCTGCAGGAGAAGGCCTCGTGTCCGCTGTGTAAGGCGGATGTCGTGAGTGTGCAGTATGACTGGCGAGCTCCGGATGATTTCAAGACATTCTCGCCGAAGAAGCCTGCTCCCACCGCCGCTGTCACCGGGGAGGCATCCTCAACCCGCCAAGCTGGATCATCCGAGCTTGCTATCGCGCGACCTTCGCCGTCGCCGTCGCTGCTGTCTCGGAATCTGCCATCGCCGCGGCGAGGCACGCGATGGCACCCATCTGCATCTGCGTCTGCAGCATCCCGATCTGAGTCATCATCATCAGATCCAGCCTTGCTCTTCCGCCGCCAGATCTACGCACGAAACCGCTTCTCCCAACGCATCGGCAGCAACGCGCTTTCCGGCCACCGCGATTTCGCCGCCAGGGACTTCGCTCTCTCCTCTGCCCTGCAATCCCGCGCGAGGATCTTCCTGCGTCGCGAGCTCGCGGTCTTTTCCTTCCTCGACATCCCGCAGCGGGGCTACCTCGTCGAGTATATCGTCGCGGTGCTCCGGGCTTTCGACGTCAAGGGTGCGGACGGGAAGGCGGCGGAGCTGCTGGCGGAGTTCCTGGGCCGGAGGAACGCGGTGCTGCTGTTGCATGAGTTGGAGGCGTGGCTGAGGAGTCCGTGGACGGCGCTGGTCAGGTGGGATAGGGAGGTTCAATACGGGACGGAGAGTGAGGTGGAAGTCAAGTGAGGTGGAAGTCAAGTGAGGTTTTCAATTGGAACATATGGTGATGCGAAGCAAAATTGTACATTATCATAGATCTAGATCTTTAAAAGGTCGTGAGTGGGAGTGTGAGAGAGAGAGGAGAGTGTCAAGATCATGTGTTGACGGTCAGACATCCGACGGCTATCACCAGTGCAGCACGTCGTTCTGCGAGGCCCATCAGTTCGCCTGTCGGGAAGGAATATCCAAATGCCATCGGTAGCCTTTCAACGACCCTCATGATTTCGTCGAAGGACGGAGATATTCGGCGTCGTTCTCCCGATTGTCGGCTCGGGCTTCTTCGAGCATGGTATCGATGCCGCGCTCCTTCAGCACTTTCTGTCCGTGCCAGAGGAAATCCATATGTCAGCGATTGATCAGGCTCAATGTCGTGGCTGCACGCATATACGCCTTCCCTCAAGGGATTGCCAAAAACTCACCTCGAGGCAACTCCGGTACTGTGTGAACAAGGGCGCGCAATCGTCGGTCGTGGCTGTGCCGCGGAGATATTCTTTCGAGAGAATTTAGCGCCCATCGATGAAAAGCTCGTGGTCCTGTTCGGACGACATACTGTCACTGTACCATTTGAGGAAGCAGGTGTCGTATCGTCTGTCATCACGATGGTTAGGGTTCATCTTCGATCTTCAGTATGGACGAGTTTGGTGAGGGACGTACTCTTTCACTTCGTTGCATTCGGGAGCTAGTGAGGCGGACATTGTGCCGAAGGGGAATATTGTTATCGGGATGAAGAGGCGTCGGAGAGGTCTGCGCCGATGGTAATATCATGAGATCGTGGAAGGTCTGGAGTTGCTGTGTATTTCCATGTGAAAGCTGGATGGGATGGCTTGTGACTAGGGTTTGGGTACCTGCATTCCCTGGCCGGAAGTGGCGACTTGCAATGCATTTGCGGGACACAGGCGTGCATTCCCGCGCGTGCACTTTTCACGTCTCCGGAAAGATATCTCGTGCGCTCGCATTCCTGCTCTTCACCAGCGATGCTTGTACAAGCAATGTGACCATTTCCTCCCCTTCGATCCCTCGAATCCGTATTTCCCAGGCCATGTTCCGACAACTCCGGGATCCAGACGACCACAACGGAACCCTCCTCGGCCGACCTCCCACGCCACCCTCCCGACCCAGCAAAACGCCCTTCACCCTCGCCAAACCGCCCAGCGTGCCTGCGCCCAGAATGCCCGCCGCCACGGCCAAGAGCAAACCGAGTTTCGGCCGGACATCGACCGCGAATTCCAGGACCACCCCGATCAAATCCAAGTCCAGCGCTCAGAACAACAAGAGCATTTTGACCTTCTTCAAAAAGTCCGAGGACCATCCCAACGCTGCGGGCGGAGGACTTTTCGTGCAGGAGAAGATCGGCTTCTACAAGCCATCTCTGGCGGAAGAGGATTCGGAGAATCGCGAAATCGTCCAGGAAGAGGTGCTTGTGCCAGAGGAGGACTTGGATGACGTCAGACAGAATGAGAGTGATTATTCTGTCAAAAGGCGGAGGATCAGTGTAGAGGATGGAGGGAGACGGGCAGGTTCCGCTGAGCTGGAGCTGAAAGGGAGGAGCGGAAGTGAAGTCAATACCGGCGCGAAGAGGAGAGGCCCATTTCTGGATGCTTCAGATAGTGAAGGGGAGGACGAAGAGGAGACGGTGGAAGAGAATCGCAACGAGCAGCAGGCCACTCCTGAGCAAAGAACGGTCCAGTCTGCCGCGGCGCCGGCGGTCGAAACTCCGCTTGCTCCGCCGTTGATGAAACAGGAAACATTGGAGGAAGTCGAGGCTGTTGCGCCGCTGATCAAGCAGGAAACTCAGGAAGGAGCGGGCATGGATTTCACAGAGTTCAATGACATGGCGGATTTCGATGAGGATCTGTTCGACGAAGGAGACGAATACCGGGAGCGTCGCTACATGGAGGAGCAGGCCCAACTGGAATGCGCCGAATTGGATACGGCGATTGAGGGAGGTGACAGCAAGCGAAGCGTTATGCTGGTGGATTCGCCCCCTGAGACACCCACGAAGAGTTGCCCGATATGCAACATTGACCTTGGGCCGGCGAGCGAGCAAGATGCAGGTATCCATGTCAACAATTGCCTGGATGGAAATCCTACACCCCTGCCCGAACGAAAGCCTGCTACCGAAGCAGCTCCTGCATCACGCCTGAACCATTCGCCTTCTGCCGATCAGTATCGCAAAGTCGTCAGACCGCCCAAGCCCGGTCAAGCAAGTCCGTTTGTGTTAGGAGAGGCTAGCATGAATGGCGGCTCCGCGTTCAACAGACTTATGTCGGGTCACGCAGAGGATGCTGCGTGGGCAGAGGCCGCCGCTAGAGAAAATGCCTCGCGTGGCAAGCCTGCGTACCAACGTACTTGCCCTTTCTACAAGATCCTACCAGGGCTGTCCATCTGCGTCGATGCATTCCGGTATGGAGCAGTCGCGGGGTGCAGGGCATATTTCCTCAGTCACTTTCACAGTGATCACTACATTGGCCTGACATCGACGTGGAATCATGGACCCATCTACTGTTCCAAAGTTACGGCCAATCTTGTTCGCCAGCAGCTTCGAGTGGATGCGCAGTTTGTGGTTCCACTAGAGTTTGAGCAGACTGTGGATGTTCCAGGCACCAAAGGAGTCAAGGTCACAATGATCTCAGCGAATCACTGTCCAGGTAGCTCTCTGTTTCTATTCGAGAAAGTCATCGGCAAAAAGACCAACGGCGACCCTCGCCTACAACGCATACTCCACTGCGGCGACTTTCGAGCTTGCAAAATGCATGTCGAGCATCCCCTTCTCATGCCCGAGGTTCGAAATAAGCTGAGCGGAAAATCCGAGGAGCAGAAGATCGATGTGTGTTATTTGGACACCACATATCTCAACCCGAAATATGCCTTTCCGAACCAGCAGGCTGTCATTCAAGCATGTGCAGACATGTGCGTATGCTTGAGCAAAGACACGCCGGATGAGACCGATGGATGGGAACAGATGAAGCGGCAAAGGGCAGGCGAGGGAATGGCGAAGTTTGTTCGAAAGGAATCGCAGTCTGACGTCAAGATTGAGTCGACGGAAGACGACGATGTTGCAAGCATGCACGACATCAAGATCGAGAAGAACCCACATCAAAGCCAACAGATTCTCTCGTCTGCCCACGAGAAGAAGAGCCGAGGCCGTTTACTGGTTGTGGTCGGCACCTACAGCATCGGCAAAGAACGCATCTGCGTCGGCATCGCCAACGCCCTCAACTCCAAAATCTACGCCCCGCCCTCCAAGCAACGCATCGTCGCCGCGCTCGAGGACCCCGAACTCGACGCCCTGATGACCTCCGACCCGCGCCAGGCCCAAGTCCACATGACGCCGCTCTTCGAAATCCGCGCCGAGACCCTCGACGACTACCTGCGCGATTTCTTCCCGCACTTCACGCGCGCGGTGGGGTTCCGGCCCTCGGGCTGGAACTACCGGCCGCCCAACACGCGCTTCATCGAGTCGCCGCCGGTGCAGAACGTGCTGCACGGCGAGAACTGGAGGAGCGCGTACAGCATGCGCGACCTGGTCCCGCAGCGCGGCAGCTCCAGCCGCGCCAGCTGTTTCGGGGTCCCGTACAGCGAGCACTCCAGTTTCCGGGAGCTCACCATGTTTTGCTGTGCGTTGCGCATCGAGAAGATCATCCCCACGGTGAACATCGGGAGTCAGAAAAGCCGGGAGAGGATGAAGGCTTGGTGTGAGAGGTGGATGGTGGAGAGGAAGAAGAATGGATTGTATACTTGGGAGTGAGCAGGTTTGATATGTATGAGTATGAAGGTCTGCGTTCTCACTGCGTTATTCGGTCTGTGACCAGCTGTCTCTCTCCTGATGATGTTGTTAGAGTCGTGGTGGCTCACATCTGGTCACAAATACAGGCGAAGGCGGGGTGGTGGGACTTTGCATCCATGCATCATTTCTGATGATGAGCCAGAGGGAAGATACCATGTACCATCCTCCTTGCCTATGCGATAATAGCGATAGCTATCCACGACGAGTGAATACCTGCAGTATTACAATTCACGATCGGAAAAAAAATGTCTCTCGAAGAACGAACCTCGCCTCTCCATTTCATGCGCCTGGCCCTGACCGAAGCCGGCCGCAGCCCTCCCAAGCCGACCAATTTCTGCGTCGGCGCCTGCCTCGTCGCCCACGACTCCAGCCCGGCCGCCGAAGTCCTCACCACAGGCTACACGCTCGAATGTGCGGGCAACACCCACGCGGAACAGAGCTGCTTCATCAAACTGGCCCAGCGATACGGCTGTTCCGTCGACGTCCTCGGCGAGAAACTCGCGCGGGAATTCCAGACTTCAGCTCAACAACGTGCCAGCGGCGACACCGACGACGGCTCCTCCGCCGAGGGACTCCTCGCCTTATACACCACCATGGAGCCCTGCAATCGGCGCTCGGCGGGGAACACGCCCTGCGTCGACCGCATCCTGGCGTTGGCCCGCGCAGATGGAACACCGGTCATCCGAAGGGTTTATGTTGGCGTCAGTGAGCCGGAGACTTTTGTCGGTGTCAATCTGGGCAGGAGGAGACTGACCGAGGCGGGAATCGAGGTCGTGCATGTCGCTGGGTTGGAGGAGGCGATCTTACAGGTGGCGACGGCGGGGCATGAGAGGAAGGAGGAAGGGTCGTGAGGTTCGTTGAGTCGGTGATGGTGATGGTGATGGTGATGGTGATGGTGATGGTGATGGTGATGGTGATGGTGATGGTGATGGTGATGGTGATGGTGATGGTGATG